TGCGGTGAATACGCCGTGGACAGGGGCCCCGTTGAGACACGGTCGTCTCGTTTACATGCCAACTGCATAATATCACACCAATTGTTCCAGCAATCGGGGTGAAACAGCCCCAAGACTCCTTGGAGTTCCGACGATCTGACGATTGCCTTTCATGCTTGACCGTTTTGGGAGGTCCGTCGACGTTTAGGCCTTGGGCCGACCGTTGAACCATACATCATTATGGGGCGCGAGTCTGTGCGCGGAGGCAAAAAGAAGTCATCGAGATGTTGCGATCAGGTTCTCTCCCAAAGACAATGACATCCAACGGCGTGGGTCTTAAACTCAAAAGCCCTGGGTCGATATTTTCAGTCGATCGCCTATGCCCTTTCGATCCACCGAGGGTATCTTTGTAGGATCCAAGTTGATAAGTGACGGAGCCGGGCTTTCATCCACATGTCTGACACATAGCTCATACGCACACAGCCAGGAAAGGTAATGGTTATGGCCAGGTTCTTTCCCTAGATCTTTCCTTAGATCTCCTCCACCAGTCCTCCATCTTTTGTTCCTGACATTCCCTCCCTATGAGGTCTGCGATCTCACCAATAACCGTTCCGTGTGGTCCGACCCCGATCCAAAGCTTAAGCGCAACGTGAGCACGACGGCCACTCCTGAAGGGGGAAGCATTCTCCGAGACGTGAAGCATCTGTTTTCTCTTAGTGTGCTTTAGTTCCCCCGTTTTTGTGACTTGCGCCCGATCTTGGCTAATGGCGTGTGACGTAGGTAATATAGTACAATATAGTACAGCCTAGAATGTAGCATAATATAGAATATAGTACAATATAGTACTGTAGATAAAGCGCGATAATATAAAGATAGAGATCTAGATCGAGGGAACCATGGAACGGGCCACGTCAGGAGATCCTGTGTAACCTCAGCCACGACCGGTTGCGATTTGAAGAGATGGCTCGAGTACAAGTACAGAGTTATTCTATTATATTCTATTATATTCTATACGTTGTTAGTCTGAACAGGGTATGGGATCACACCGTCTACGTCTACACCTGCCATAGTATATCAGTATGTCTATAATATTAATAAACGTGAATTAATATATCTACCTTATACACTAACTATATTCACACTAATCCTGTAATACGCAGTCATGACGATCTTGTAATTTACCCCCCTGTTCCCTACCGATCCGCTCATCTCGATCCACCCTAATTTTATTATTTTGGGATTTTCTTGATTTTTAGGGATTTGCTTTATTTTATTTCGATTTTATGATTTTACGATTTTACGATTTTACTGATTTACTTTTACATTTCTATTTTATATTTTATATTTTTACTACCTTACCATTTATCTTAAAGTTCCTGGCGGTCTTCCATTCTTTCTAAGCTTCCCCCGGTTCATTCTTAGCCTCGATCCCCTTGCCCCCTCCATACTCTTTATATTCCTCCTCTTCCCTCTACGCTCGGCCCTCGATATCTACACCCTTTCTTCAATTTGACGCGTTGAACTGTGTTGAACGGACATAATTCGCAGCCGGGCTCCATCTAAACGCCACAGTCAAAACTTGGGTCGACCCCCTCTCCGGGATCTTGGGTTGACATCACTTCCCACGAACAGGTGGAACACTTTTCCAAGTCGCACGAGAGGCGTTCCGACGGCCTTAATCTCTGGGAATTCGGCCGGATCTCCTGACTACTTTATCTCACTGCTTCCCACTTCGGCGCACATGAAATAGCAGAGTCCATCTAGCAACCGTGATGGGGTCTTTGGAAGTCGCACCCAGGCACAGGTTGGTCGCTTTTTCTTTGCGCTTCGAATCATGACTGACTCGCCCTCGAGCTACAGAGACCCTTTGCCTGCGATAGGGTTCTTAGGCAAGGACGGATCTGCCTACACTCCGAACCATACGAACAGCGCCACTGCGTCGCCGACTTCGATGATGAGCCCAAACGCCATGTACGGCCAACTACCTTACTCCTACGCGTCGACCAACGCTCCCCAACCGGGGTACATCTCGCCCACGGAGTCCCGTCGGGTCATTGAAGATGAGAAGGACAAACCAAGACAATCCCTTCCATCGATCCACGAAGCCCTCGGCAATGACAACCCTCTCCCCTACCCTGCGCCCACCTCAGCTCCTCCTCCCCAATCCGCACACACCGCGTCGTCGCATCTCGGACGATCGACTGCAGAAGGTCCAGCAGGACCTCCGAATCCTTTCAATGGACCACCCGGGTCAATGATGCGGGAACCTGGTTTCTCTCATCAAGCCCAGTTGGCCGAAGCCTCGCGGGCGAGTCTCAACTCCATCAACACCCAAGATTCGCGCGCGTCACTACACTCCCTCAGCACGGGCAAATCTCCCACACAGAGCGCTAAAACCGGCCTCACCTCTGTGTCCGGGTCACAAAATTCCGGGTATGAATACAGCGCGCCGACCTCGGCCGGGAGCGTGGCTTCCCCCAGTGGCTACGGCCATTTCCCTCCCAACTACACATTTTCATCTCAACCGGGCCCCTCATACCCTCCTCACTACGACAATCGATCTTACATGGCACCGCGGGTGGAAGAAGTCAAGGGTGGATTCGTGAGCCGACCGATGTCTGGTCCACCCCATAGCGACTCCGTGAAGCGGCATCTGGACGTCTATGATGTGGAGACATCTTTGAATGAGGTATGGATCTTCCCCTGCAAGATTTGATTCTTCTATTTTTGAACGGCAAGAAATTATGGCATTTGGTCCCCGGTGTCGATCAAACGGCTTTACGCGATTTCCGAAATTAATAATGGGACTAACACCGTGGGATAGATCGCCGATATGAGCACACGAACTCTTGACTTTTCGCGGCACTATGCGGCACGCGCACACCAGACACAGCGGTCTGGGCCGATAATTGGATCCCTCCCTTCGCTAAACGAGGTGGAAGACATGCTCCATATGCAACGGCGGAACCAAGATGCCTTGATCCGGATACGGACAGCCGTGGTGAACCAGGAACAGGCGCTCGCCGAGCAACAGATGGCTCAGCGGAAGGCGTTCAAGACCGAGGACGAGCACATGGCCATGTACCAAGAAGAGTTCAAGGGCACGGGTGGCTTCGCGGGCGCAGACCCAAAGAAACGGCGTGGAGTAAGTCTGGACGTTCTTCCCCCGTTCATCATTTCCCTTTTCCAGCTTTCCCCTGGCTCTGTCACCGTGGTTGACACCCTGTCAATCCCCACATCTCGAAGCATGTTTGGCTAACCACCACGTTTCTAGAAGGCGGCCCCTCCTGGTCGTTGCCACAGCTGTAACCGAGCCGAAACACCGGAATGGCGTCGGGGTCCAGATGGTGCCCGAACGCTGTGTAATGCCTGCGGCTTGCACTACGCCAAGCTGACTCGCAAGATGGGCGCGAACAAGGCAGCGAGCCTGGGTTCAAATCTCAAGCCGAAGACGGCCCTTGACTCCGCCTCGCCAACCAGTCATTAAACTTCTTTTTCATGTGGCGTTGAAAAAGGTGGGAAATAGAAGGCAAAGGAGTTTGGCCCATTTTTCCTGGGATTGTCATGAGTTTCTGTTTTTTTTATCCCCCGTTCGGCATATTCCGTTTTCTTATTTTGGGATTTTATTCCCCATTCGTTCTTTTTCTTTTGTTTTGACTGGGACCTTCCCCTACTCGGTACCCTTCGATAATACCCTCACAGCTTCTACCTTTTGGGAGAAAAATGGCATCAGCATAGATTCCCCCGTTTGATGATTCAATTGCCATTATCTGAAACTGATTTCTGTTTCCTTATATCTCGCTATTTGTTTCCCCCTCTTTCAAGATTGTCCCTGGTTTATACCCTGCATCTTTGTTCCCTGAGCCAATCGGGAGGCCCATTGTCCTCATCCCGCCTGTCTGTTTGAGTATGTCCCTGATATGATGTGTACGATCGTGTCTCATTCAGCGTGTCTTACATCTATGTTCCTAGTCGATATTTATATGTTTATGGCACTTTTCTAAGTATGAGGTCTTTGGAATTGTGGCAAAATGAAATGATTTGGCTATTATTTTCTACTACTGTCGTCATAATGTAAATTCTATTGCGTATTTGGCTATACTTCGCCTGCGGCGTTGTGTCCGAGGTGTCGGCCGGGACAGTTACTCAGCCACAGCAATGTTTGGGTCACCCTTCAAGTCTGGTTCCGAAGTAACCTTGAAATAGAATAGATAGATGTACGGAGTTGATGTTCAATTTGCACGTATTTGGAAGCCCATTTGCCATGTGGCAGCCAAGAAGTGATGCAGGGCATTCTTTAGAGTTTTGCTCGTTTCTTTACTCCTTTATCTGTTGCGGCGTTTCCGGGGCATTAGCCACTTGCATCGAAGGATGAAGAGATATGGGCGTTAGCTTCATTCGAAGAATCATTTTTCGATTGACCTAAAGATATATTACAAATAAAAAGTAAGCTAAATTACTCTAAATTACTTATGAAAACTATCAAACATAAAATTCTTGTAATTGATGCCACCAAAGGTGGATATACAACACTATATCCCCGAACTGGGTCAAGAACAACCCCTCCTTAACCGATAGACGCGGAAAGAGCCCTAAATGGCGAGATTCACGAGATCACGCAGATCATCGAGATAGATGATCCACATTAAGGTTAATGATTTAACTAGTGGGCGATACAGCACGGTTATTCGCTGCAAGTATTTGTATTCACGAGACAATCCCAGATCCATTGGGAGGAAGGATGAGATCGCAGACCAAGGAATAATTAAACGACTCGACACGGAAATTCCTTACACCGCTACCGGACATCAAAGTCTCAGAATTTGTCAGGGAAATTTGAGATTGACTTTGTTAGGGGACCCCTGTTCGGAGGGATTGGGTGGATCGGTATGGGGGATAGACGGAATTTTGCGACGACGGTACATTTCAATGCGTGTTGGACCCTTTGCTTTTTTAAGCTAGGGTGGTTGTCCACACTACAATCGAGATCCTAGCCACGTTCGCTTATCCCTGCGGAGATCATGTACATTGTTCGGCTCGGGATATGCTTCGTTTTACAGACTCTTACGCTGTACACGGTAAGGTAATCCCAGATATACTTACCGCACGATCTACTATACACTGGGTCCACAGGAAAGGGATCTTGCCACAAGATCTTGGCTTCGGACGCAATCTTCTATTCGGATCTCGATTTCATCATCGTCATCGCCATCGTCATCGCCATCTCCCTCGCCCTCGCCATCCGAGATCCGGTCCCGGCCGAAACGCCCCCGGGTACGCCGCCCATCTAACAACTGCTAATGCATCTATTCAATTGTCCATCTTCGGAGGGCTTCGAGCCTTGTACTCCGCTAAGAAGATGGGTGGCATAAAAACCTCGACCGTGGCGCGATGGTTTTATGGTAACGAACCTATGTTCACCATTGTGCTCACCGTCGTATTCACCGAGTTTTCGGGCATAGGCTAGCGACCTTTGGTTCGCATCAAATGTGCATGTAGATCGGGTTTGGACTCCCCGAGATCACCGCCGAGAGATGCACGTCCTATACTGTAACAAAAGCATCAAGGGTATACTTCCTAATGTGGCATAGGGAAATTTGGACCGGTCCCCACAATAAGTAAATAGTCTGTGCGGCCACGGTTTACTTTGATATACTCCATAAATACTCCATTGATACTGTTGATCAGCTACAGGCCTATGCCGCACGGCACATAAGCCTCGAATCGGTGCCCGACGCAAACTCTATCTTGTATGTGGCGATCGTGCGAGATACTGTACATGTACATGGCATGAACGGCGAACTGTGCTCAAATGACAATACTATACACCATTTACGACGGAGTACAGTGCATTGTAAATGTCGGTGTAAGTCATAGCTGAGATCCACGCGGGATCTTAAAAGCTAAGTGGTAGATCCGTATTTACTTGCTCTCAGACCTCCCAACCTTGCTGAGTTAGGGTGGAATGGAATGGTCGGGGGAGTGGAGTGTAAGGTTTTATGTTCTTTGAGTGTTCTACTACCTTCGGTGCGTTTGCTTGGGGTATATGGCGGTCTAATGATACACTAAAGGTAGACTATCGAACTTGGCCGTGGATATCTGCACCTGACACAACGTACATACAGTAGTACTGCAGTAGTACCACACATCTCGATATAACTTATGCAGACAGTACATGTGTGCGCATTCTCTTACAACTGGCATTGCAGTCCCAACTGCAGCGGATCTATCCGAAACTCCCAAGTCCAGCACCCCTGTCTGTACCACAGTACCTACTTCTTGGAATCACGATATTCTTCTTCACCCGTCCCAGCATGAGAGAACCTATTGCGGGAACCTAATCGACAGATCGTCTACCCGTGTGCATTCTGATTGGAGCGTGGGAGCAAATCCCGTCGGAGTCAACCCGTTTTGCCTATTTTTGCCTGTGCAGCACTCAGGCCCCCCGGTTATTCCCGTGTGATTATTGGGTCTACATGTAGGGACTCCACGTCTACTGCCACCTTAAGAGGACGGTTTATTTCCTGCAAAGTTTATCTGGCTGTCTTCAGTGGGGCAAATCGCATTAGTTTGTGGCGTTGAGTGGAGATAAATCGACCATCCAGCCTGCTGGGACGACTATTAACTACCATTTTCGTGTTAGTTCGCCTGTAGGCTTTCTGGTTTTTGCTTTTTCCACGCTTCGACTCAGGGACTCCGTGTATCGTAATGCAGTTGTCAGTACTTGCCTTGTACAACCCCATGCATACTTACTAACAGGAGTATCACATCCAACTATGGTCGGAGATCAGTTCCATCCACCAGAAGCTGCATGAGGCTTTCAATAATTCCATATCCGCATCCTTCCAAGATCGGTTTAACTGCACCTGCCCGAATCCCCGGATCGAGAGCGAGATCGAGCGAGATCTCCGTAGATGGCTTGCAGCCTGGTTGCATATGTACACATCCCCATCGAGTAATTGTACATGTCGGATTTGAAGATCGAAACTAAGCTATTTGAAAAATTACCAGACCTGCATGAAACTTTCCAGATCGTAGATTTTCCACCCTGATCTCGATGGTGCTGTCCAGGTGATCCTTACTCGATGCAGCCCTCCCCGCCTGCGATCTGAGATTGGCTCCAAGCCAACCGCGATTGTTGAGATTTGTGGCGGTGAGGTTGGATCTGTACATCTATATGTAACTCACGTTACACTATTGAAGCGCATGGCCACATGAGTTGTCTGGTATGTGAGTTTCGGTGTCTGCTCAGCAGATAGCTGGACTCAGCCACGTCACTTATCCCCATTTGGCAGCGGACACATACTGTATTCACCCCTTTCCTTTTTTTTGAGTGATTTGTGTTTTGTTTTCCTTATGTAGATGGTCCCCGAGGACGCTACTGCATGTACATACTTCTTCCCACTAGTTGGTGTGGTGGGGGTGCGGCCCAGTAGTTCGCCCAATATTGCCTTTTTTTACCAGTCGCTGCCGATTGACCCGCGCAATAAGCGCGTGCTGTGGGAACTTGACTTCATCTGGATAGTATGATACGTGCATCAGTGGACGGAGTTTCCTGCCGGGAGGCCCACCTTGGGGGGCCCGCTGTGTCTCACCGCGGTTCCTTCGATTTCGATTCGGAGGGGCTGTGAGGCTCATATAGTTCGTGAGTGCATTCGGGAAGATGTGGAGCGCATTATTGAATATTGGGGTGTTGCCGTCCATGGTTCATGATTCACGTTGGTCTCGATATGTTGAAGATCTGAAGGGAATCTTTGGGACAGAAACTAGTTTACGAGCCCGACCCTGGCGCTAAATCTCGATTTTCGATCCCTATCGTCAGTGACGAAGTGATGAACGCGTGGGCCTGTTTATAGATTCGCTTAAAATTTGACTTTGGCTTATACTGAGACACGTTATGTATGCGTTAAGGGGCTGAGAGATAGATTAACTACCTATACCCGCCATGCTTCGATATTAAAAAGGTGACTAAGCATAGATCTCGGAGCCGTCGGAGCCGAGGGATCGAACAACGTGGAAGTTGACAAACTATGGTACCAGATAGATTGGATCGTTAAAATCGGTGGTACCCTCGGCACCGGACCCGACGATTGCCCGAATTCGTCGAGAGTATAGTCGGCCCCGGCCTAATACAGTGTTGATCTGAACGTATCTCAAATTACCTGTACGGAGTATCTTTACCGCCAAAAGGCCGGCGCAACAGAGTTGATGTAATCAATCCCATCTTGGCGCCAGGTATCAGCCTCCATGTGGCTAGTAGTATTAGCATCAAAGAGAAGATCAACTGGTTTGCCCGTGGCATAAGCATCCCAATGCACAGACTTATTGACGACAACAGGATTGGGATCCAAGTCATGAATGAAAGATGCCCACATGCTCGTCATCAAGGAACTGAGATCAATGTATGACTGAGGCACCCCGGCAAATGGCTTGCCGTAATGATATCCCAGCCCGGCGAGGTTGTGGAACACAAATGCTACCTCCTCAAAATGGGTTGCACCCGCGAGGAGTGACACGTCTGCGGATCGCACATTGAACCGGTAGCAATATGCTGGTGTTGATGCCTCGGCCCAGGCTTCGCACTGGCGCCGGCGGTTGGCATGCATCATCCAGTCGCCTGCGAATGCAGAGGTGCGTCGCCATTCATATCCGTTTGATGGGACGCGTGCGTCTCCTAAGTAGGTTGGGATTCCTTGGGATGGGTCATCTGGGTAGAGCTCGAGGATGCGCTTGGCTACAGATGGTGGTGTTTGGAAGTTGAATCCCCCGTCTGGTTGGGTTAATTGTTGATACAGACAGTGATGACTCCATGTTCATACCTGTTAAGTAGTCATACCATTGTTTCGTGGTATTGATTCCTCTAGGGCCGAATGCTGTTCCTTCATCGGTATTGGTGCCGGAGATGATGGGGACTTTTACAAATGCGTGCTTGTTCAGTTGGATACTACCCCAGTTTCGAATAAAGTCCCCGTCCACCACCGGCGAGAAGTTATAATCTGACCCACCATCTGTACCGTTGAAGACGGAGTTGAGGCTCTCAAAGGGAACTTCTCGTAGACACTGCAGCGAGTCCACAACGTCTGAGCAGCCAACCTTGGAGGCGATGGCATCGTAGTCCGATTGGAAGGCTGTATAGTTCGATGCACGGGGAGCTATTGATCCTCCTGATTGCATGATACCAGCTCGGAAGAGCTTGTCATCACGTCCACCGTATGCTGTGAGATGATATCCCACAGACATGCCACCAGCAGACTCGCCCCAAATAGTGACCTTCTCAGGATCACCGCCAAAAGCGCCGATGTTCTCTTGGACCCATTGCAGTGCTAGCCTTTGGTCTCTCAATCCAAGATTAGTGTTCCCACTGCCGGAGACTTGACTTGAACTGATGAAGCCCCATGCTGACAGCCTGTAGTTGAGTGTGACAGCGATAAAAGGTTTGCCTTGGTTCTCGGTCAGACCGGGCGTTCACGGGATTTGAATGGGTTGACTTACCGATATCATATGAGTTTTCTACAATTGCAGACATGTTGTATCGCTCATCTGATCCAGAGCCCATATAGAATCCACCACCATGAATCCAGACTCCAACGGGAAGCTTCGAATTCTTCTTGACAGATGAACCTCTGATGACATTCAGTGTCAGGCATGCTTCCGATTGAGGATACCAAATAGAGTCGGTCTGTGCCACGTATTAGAGAAGGCACCATAAAAAAGATGAAGGAGTATAGTATACTCACTCCGTATCCAACACATATATCCGAGTATGCTTTTGCATCGCGTGCACCCTCCCAACTCGTGTCCAATGATTGCGGTACAGTGAAGCGCAAATTACCCACAGGCTGCTGGGCATATGGCATACCCAGGAAAAAGTCCTGATTGTAGGTAGAGCTGTGCACTCCCGTGTATGTTCCATTACGCACTTTGACCGTAGGAGACGACTTTGATGCCGGGGCAGCAAGAACCGCCGTCCACAGGACAAAGCCAATCGCAAATCCAAACATGATGAGGAATACAGAGGGTCCTGTGGGTAATTGCTTGACATTTTGTCTTGTCCCAGATCCCATTTATAGTCCCACTCGGTCATAGTCTGGGGTTGAGTTGCGGGGAAGGCCCCATAACGGGACTTACCTGAAACGTCCAAGATCTGCACCTTTCAGTGAGATGCAAAACCGGTTCAATTATGCCCCGGTCAAGCTGTCAGGGAGTAATAAAGCGGGATAGCCGGTGCGAAGCCCTAACTCCGGGTGAGAAGCGGGGAGAGGTCGAATGGTTATGGCTTGGCTTAGGCTTGTCGCTCCACCATTTCCCCTTCAGGACCTGCTGCGCGGGGTATTGACTCCTTTTTTCGAAAGCCTTCACGGGTGAATGCCTGTTTTGGAGATAGGCTGTTTGAATAGACCGAAGATTAACCGAGTTTGTTGCTTTCGGCATCAGTCCACGGGAGTTGACACGGCATTTTGTGGGTATAAGGACATATATGAACACTTAAATGTAAGACATACTAGCTTCAGCTCGAGGGTTCCGAGTTTACTGTTATTACGCATGGCGACTACAGCATGACGAGCTTTCAAGGTTAGACCCGGATAGGAATGGCAGTCTGGTACACTTCATATCTGATAGTCACACATGGTGCATGTCCAAACTATTCAATAATCCAATAACGGAAAGAATCAATCTGAGAGGGAGCACTGCATCTAGGTAGGAAGCCGTACCAACCACCAGACAAGATAAAGTGTGACATACGAGGCACCCATCCTCTGGTATGACGGTGGCGGAGATCGCAGGAATCCAGATATGGAACAAGGTCATACAAGGTGCAACAGCGCGAAACAACAAGCCGGTGGACATTGTAACGGTGACAGCAGTGATTGAAAAGTACATCACTTGTACAGGTACTTACACATGTACAAATAGTTATTTGCTGTCTGTTGCCGAGGACAACCATGAGATTGAGATATGAAGAAAAAGAAACAAGCCCCGGAAGTGAAGACCTGATGCTTTACACCCTTTGAACCTGTCTAGCAATGTGCTGGTCATTGTCAACTCACCCTCACTCTAGCGAAGCACTCCAACAAAGGCCCTCGGAGGAGGCAGATGCCATCATCGCTGTCACGCATGGCTTCCTCGCCGCACTGAGCACCAAATCCCGAGTCGACTTCGAGAAACACTGTGTTCGAGCTGGAGGAATGTCCCTCTCACCTCCATCTCCGACTACCCTGCGCTTCTGCACGATCGGTTCGTTTGTTGAGCATGTCGCCACGCTCAAGGATGATATCGATGAGCGTATCTGGGATCCCGAGGTCAAGGTGCAGGAGTATGGTAATCTAGCTGCTGTGTGGGCGCCTTTCAGGTCGAAGATAAACGGGGTCGTGGACCACGTTGGTGTCGAGCTTTTTATCTTGCATAAGCTCAACGGGACATGGAAGGTCACGGGGCTGGCGGATTCGTGTCGGCGGCCAACCGAGGAGGAGAAGTTATTGGAATGAACAGTTGAAGAATTGTGATTCAAGATGAGAAATATTGATTGATCAGATGCTATGAGAGCTGACTCGAATGTCATGAATATGTGAAAGTTGATTATGCTCCGGCTATACATGCTTCCACTCCGGATATCTATTTGTGAGTGGATGCCTCTATTTAGTTTTTTTGCCTCGAAGAAGCTCCCATCCAACTGATCCATGTTTGCCCTCTTTGATAGTCATCTCTTCAACCGCCTTCACAAGATCGTAGGTAATCTCCTCGGAGACAACGCTGTCTTGCTTGTACGAGGGGTGCTTGGCGACGAATTCACGGATCCATCGAGCCCCAGTCCAGAGAGTACCGTCGGCACGCTTGCGGATCAGGTCAAGATAGCTGGCCAGGAAACATCTGGTCTCGACGTCCACATTGACGCTGTTGAGGTAGGACTCCACCAGCGGAATGAGTCCTGGGAAAGTTCCGTCTGCACAGCCATTCACAATGTCGGAGATGGTCATGAGATCGAACTCAGAGTCGACGGGACCAAGGGGTGGAGAGGGAGGCGGAGTGTTGACAGCTGAGGATGTCGTGGACGAGAAGGCGCTGCCGTTCGTGGACTGCTGTGCGCTCCGGGGAATTCTGCGAGAGAAGGGATCCTTGCGGAACCAGAATTTCCGGTCATGGATAGCGTTGCGAGCGTGAGCTGTTTCCATGTTCTCGGTTGTACGCTGAATCGGGATATAAAAGTTGAGATCGAAACTCAAGATAGCACGAGTAACAAGGACGATGAAAATGCTGAACGCTGCATTCTCAAAGTCGGTAATCTGGATCTCCATGGAGCGGAACTCCACTCTCCAGCCAATATCATCCTTGTCAGGTGGTGGTGGCTTGAATCGCATGTGCTGCCAGTTCGTGGACTGTAAATTCTCGAAATGATCACCCTTATTGAGGTCAAGTTCTTCAAGATCTTCGGAGAAAATGACCAGTGGGTCGCGGATAAAGAGGTGTGCAAAATGAGTGGCAAGTAGATCATCCATTCCCCCGTCCATGAGGCGTTTCTTGATATCCTCATCGACGACTAAATCAGGATCGAAATACTCCTTCCGCAGCCGAGGATCTTGGGAGATATAGGTCGAGTTAGAGGCATATCGAGACTTTGGAATTCTCCAACGGTCATTTTTTAAAGGCTGGGAGATGTTAGTTCCAGGAGCTATGTTCATTATTTCAGAGGTACCTACAGCTTCGCCAAGCTCCTCACGAGTCCTGTCATCGACTGCATTGCCAATTTGGTTCCATCGCACATCCGTATCGACGAGGAAACCCTTGTAGATAGGTGTGGCGGCAGTGAGAGCCAAAAGAATAGGACCCAGAGGACTTAATTGATCATAAAGCCGCCTTCCTTCAGTCATGTTCTTTGCTTGGAAAGTGATTTGCAAACAACAACTGCCCATTCCGAATGCCATTGCATCCATGTAAACATGATCATCTTTGGCAGCACCATTACGGACGTCGTCATCCTCAGGCCAATTATGGAGATCGTAGTCGACTGTTGGATCCTTGAATGGCCTGGGAGTGTTGATGTCATGGAAGACTGGTACATTCAATTCGACCTTGCGGCCTCTTCGTGATCGAATGTTGGCGGCGAGAGTTGGGAACCGAATGTGGGGATTGGCAATCTCATCAGGGACAAATTGTGAGCGAAGAGCTGGCCCAGAGGGAGGATAGTATGGCTGGATGTAATCATCCTTTGTTCCCAGTCGAGGGAAAGTCGTTAAAGTGATGGGGACTTCGTTCGGGGCCATGTGGGCACTCGCAACTTCTCGTCTTTGGAGTCATTAAAATATTGTCAGGCCATGTTTCTGCTCATAGAACTTACCTCCACTTCATATTGGACTCTACCTTGAGTAGATCCTTGAACCCAATGCCCCATGGTTGTCCCGGAGTAGCTTCCAGCATGAATCTTCCAAACTCGGGGTGGAAATGAGGAGGTTCCTCGCCATCACTACTAGCTGTTAGATATGGTACCCTCGTTCCATGTCGCACCCCACTCACTGCTCTCCATTCTCATTGCCCTTGCTAGTTCCAGACTTCCACAGCGCTTCGTCTCTCGCCAGGGATTTCAGGATTTCGGCCTGGGCTAGGGACAACCGGGATTTCTTTGCTGCATCATCGAGGGCTACCACGAGGTATTCGACCTAAGTCCATGATTGATAAGTAAATGCGACCGGGACACACCCCACTGAATGCCGTACCTCGTCACCCCAAAGAAGAGCGTCGCGCTCTTTTCCCTTTGCTCTGCGCCAATTGGCAAGTAATTGCTGATCGTGTCAGCAGTCGCTCTCTGCAGGTGTCATGTAAATGCATCGAATGCATGTCACATACTTCAATGCCCCACTGGCGCACCTGGCCCGCCTTTTTCTTGGCTTCAGGCCATTCCAGCGCTGTTCCAAGTGCTCTGTTTGTTGATATTAGACAAGTGATAACCGGTTATTTCGGCCATGGTAAGCACATACAAAAGACCCATTGTATCAAGGCTGGAAAGCTTGCTGCGACTTCAGGTACGACGCCCGGCCACAAGTATGGGGTAAGATCGGGGCAGGTCCAGAGGGATAGAAAACCGAAGTCGAACACGAAGAACCCCGGGGCAGATCAAGCGTATATACCCCGCGCATGCTCCAAGTCCACTTCTGCCTGGTTCTTTGCAATTCGGAGACGACAAATCGCATGAGGGGGGAATTTTCAGACGCCGCAACCGCCGCTGCTGGCGGGGCATCTCGGCGATAACGGCCTTGATTTCTAAGCAGTCAGGTGATTGGTTTATTTCCCTTTGTATATATTGCTGGAGTTTATTTGAGTCTGTTAGGTCAGTTAAAGATTAGACAGACTCATCAGGCATGATATTCTTGCGTAAAAGGCTGGACAGAGCCTGGTGAGACTGATCACTGCACCTATGTTTTCAGGGATCATCATAGAACCTGCATTATAGGCCCGAGCACTGCAGCTGTAAGAACATGGAACATGATAAATGTTTGCGCATTATTAAAAGGCTTTTTCGTATACACTTAGAGTTCATAAGACACTAGAAAGGCCAACGCAAGCCTATTGTTGGACGATATGGAGAGCAAAACCCACCCTTCGTCACACGGTCACATTGTGCAGGGTGCAAAGTACGATGATTCATTTTATCTTGCTCTTATAACAGCCACTGTTTGCTCAAATCCCATCCTTCACCTTCGCTAGTGGGGTCAGGCAAAGTACCATTGTTGTTGTTCCTTTCTCCCACGCCGACATTATGAACGCAAGGACAAGCAAAAATAGGCTCAAAGTTTTGTACTCTATGTAGAACATATACTCGAGGGCAACAAATGTCCAGAGGAGCCTAAGGCGCATATGAAAGATCAGTTTTGGAGGTAGCAGGCAAAGTAGTGAAGCTAGTGGTGATATAGAGTATGACCAAGCTGAAAGAAGAGCCAAAATGAAGTATTATTTTACTTTATCATTCATGCTTGAGACGAGAAAATACATACAGTCGATAAAGAGGTCGTAAATGACAAGATGAAACCATAGAACCATGAATGTAGATATCAATACTACTACGGCATATCATAGATTGGGTACAGCCTCCTACTAAGAGCAGTGAAGACGGCACAGACATGACAATCGGTTAATTGGTGATCCAAATATGTGACCTTGCGGCCAAATACATTGATCGGCAGTCCCAGCGGCGACAGCTGGAAGGTATGTGATATGCTTTCAAATGCCTATGTCTGTCAAGGTATCCAACAGGAACATCTGACGCTATGTTCACTTGCAAAGTGCAGCTCTACACGAGAAGCACGTCGAGTGTTTTGACTTATTTGATGTCAAGGAAAGCATTAGGTCGCAGGTAAATCGTAAAACCAGTTGTTGTGGGCGGATAAAGTGGCCGAACTTCAATGGAAAAGGTCCCAACGCCAAAAGGCAATCCATAAGCAGTTTCGGTGTATCTCTTATTTACATAACCTGCTGCTCTGCAAGCAGCTCCGACTGCGCATACCAATAGTCGCACAATTTAATTGCTGCGTGCGCCGTCCTTGGCGGCACGTAGCTCATCCATCTTGGCCACGCGCTTCTTAAATTCCTCGTACTGGCACTTCTCGTAGGAGTGTCTCTCGTCCTGTATGAAATCGCATTAGCTGGTCGGCTCTGCAAGGGCGCACCGATCGGATCGGGGTGTGCTGGGACATTGAAATCGAGGGATCTCGTACCTCACACTTCCAGGGAAGGTAGTACTCTTGTTGCCGGCACCGGTTCAGAGGAATCAAAAGATGCGCACACGAGTCTCTGTATTGCATGGGAAGGCGGGCTTCGGACATTTCCTGGCGGGTTGCTGGGAGAGGTTAACTTGCTGCCAAAGCTTTTGATTGCTGGTCAATGGCTTCGGATTCTTACCGGAGGAGTCCGAGAGGCCCACGGCACTCTTGACCGACTCGATGACAGTCATTTTATCGGTATTGAAGGTAGTAGACGCAAAGAACGGGGAAGGAGAGGCAGGTCAAGATTGGCGATTCCCGCTCGTTTGATGTTCCTGCTGTCCCGATATTGGCCACGTGATCAAATCACATGACTGTACTCGCTGCATTAGGCTTAGCTCGTAGAAACCACCACTTTACGCGTCAGTCGCGTCCCGATCCCAGCTCCACCGAATCGTGTCTCTGCGTTCTTGGTCTGGATTTTTATTGTGTGCAATGCATTGGACCTTCGAAACATTCCTAAGCTGATTACTTTGTGGATACTCAACGAGCGACATTTGGACGCAAACGTGCGTAGTGTGGCATATTGTTCGTCGGGAACCTACTCGATTGCAGCGGCCAACGGCGACGCACTTCATGGCGGGGATGGACCAGATATACTCTGCTACCTACAGCAGTGTAAGTATACCGCCGAGGAAACATACTCACCCTGATATTCGGTATTGTTTCCCGGATTACACGTTTAGCAACTAAAATAATTACCGCCAGGTCCCCGTGTTCGAGTTCAAGATCGATGGCGACAGTGTCATGAGAAGACGCGGTGATGATTGGGTCAATGCAACACATATCCTCAAAGCAGCGGGATTTGACAAGCCCGCACGAACTCGCATTCTGGAACGCGAGGTCCAGAAGGGCGTTCATGAGAAAGTCCAAGGTGGCTATGGCAAATATCAGGGTATGCTTTCGAAGCGGGAGGTCTGGAACTTGATATTTGATTATCTGACACTCAATGCCCACAGGAACATGGATTCCACTTCCGGAAGGTCGTCAACTCGCCGAGCGCAATAACATTCTTACTAAACTAGCTCCCATCTTCGATTATGTTGCTGGGGATCATAGTCCCCCACCCGCACCGAAGCATACCTCCGCTCCGTCTAAACCAAGAGCACCCAGAAAGTCAGCCGCCGCAAGCCGTGCTGCCGCCGCCGCAGCGGCAGCAGCGGCAGAGACTCTTGTTGTTCAACCTCAGCGGAGCATGGGCCCTCCAACCATTCCACAAGACCATTATGACCTCAATACCGGATTTGACGACAATGAATCACTTGGACATGCTACAATCGAGTCATCATCTATGGTTGCAGATGAAGACATGCTTCAAATGTCGCATGGCGGTCGGAAGCGGAAGCGTGGAGTGGACGAAGCAACCGCGATGTCTATCAGCGAACAGGAACATATAATCTATGGCGATCAACTCCTAGACTATTTCATGACTGTGGGTGATGCTCCAGAGGCAACGCGAATCCCTCCTCCCGAACCCCCTGCTCATTTCCAAGTCGATCGCGCCATTGACGACTCCGGAAACACGGCCCTGCACTGGGCCTGCGCGATGGGCGATTTGATGATCGTGCAAGATCTTCTGCGCAGAGGGGCTAATGTTAAGGCACTCTCTCAGCATGAAGAGACGCCGCTCGTCCGAGCTGTTTTGTTCACCAACAACTATGAGAAGAGAACGTTCCAGGCACTCCTGGATCTGCTCCTGGATACTGTGTCTTTCCGGGACTGGTTTGGTGCCACTATTTTCCATCACATTGCGGAGAATACCCGAAGCAAGGGAAAGTGGAAGAGCTCCCGTTATTATTGTGAAGTGCTCCTTGATAAGTTGTGCAAGACGTGCTCGCAAGATGAAATTGATTTGTTATTGTCATGCCAAGATCAGAATGGTGACACAGCAGTCCTGGTCGCTGCTCGCAATGGCGCCTTCCGCCTGGTGAACATACTTCTCGTGCATTGCCACCGCGCTGGTGATCTCGTCAACAACAAAGGAGAGACTGCTAGTATGATCACTAACCGATCCCACCACACCGAGCATGATATTCCTCCAGCTCCATCTTCTACCATAATGGCTAATGATCACATGGATGGTGAAGTGGGTGGTCTTATGGAAGATCGCCACTCTGTTGCCCTTACGGCCGATGCTCCCGCGACCTTGGAACTGCTTTCCAAGATAGGAACAATCATGGCCGAGGCTAACAAAAAGCTTGCTGTGACATATGGGAACTCAAAGATCAACCGACAAGATTCTAACGATGTTGCCAACCCCGAAGCATTACACGAACAACTTGAATCTGACCGCCAGAAGATTCAAAAGCAGCTTGCTGCATTATCAGCAAAGGAAGCTGAATACGAGCCCAGTGACGACCAGCTTGGTCGTTATGAAAAGTTGCGCGCAAACTACGAGTCTCTTCTTGAGCAGATACAGCATTCACGTTTAGCCCAGCAGCTTTCGATCACGGAGACGCCAAAACCGACGCCAGCCTCTCTTGAGCAAGATGACTTGCTGACTCGGTATCAACTCGCCCAGGAGCTGTGCTCTGCCCAGAGGATACGACGCAATGCCGTCAAAGATTTAGCCCAGCAAACAGCGGATGCTGGCGTGAGCACCAAGTTTGATGTGCACCGCAAACTTGTGGCTTTGGCCACCGGACTGAGAGAAGAAGACCTGGATCCTATGGCTGCTGAGTTGGCCGAAACTCTGGAGTTTGACCGAATGAACGGCAAAGGCACAACTCCAGAACTGGGCCACCGTCGACTACCGTCCCAGAACGACTCGGCCGCGCTTCCTGGCCCTGGTGTTCCAGTTGATGCTTAGACCTGCCTTGGTTTATATCTCACGATTCATTGATTTCCTCTCCTTTTGGTATACCAGGAGCCAGCAGATACCCCGCGTGTTGTTTCTTCGTTTCTCCATGTCCATTGTCTCTTTGTCACATTTTTATGGCTTCTCGTTACCTCATTTACAAGTGTTATCGGAGTGAGTTATTTGGACACGGATTGTCTAACAGTTCCCCGTGTGGGCCTGTACAGAGTTAGGTGTGTACATAGCGGTGAAACGGTTTTCCTTCATCAACCATAATGTAACATCTGCATCATCACTTTCCCTTTGTGATATATTAAACCATTCGTGGGTTTCCATAAATACTTCCATAAATACCTCACTGAGTGGGATGTGGAGTGTATGAGAGTGCGCAGTAATACGGCCCAGACTGACTAATATGCGAGGATGAACGAGCAGCTTCGAGGACAAGGATTTAGAGTACCGCAGTCCCCCCTGAATCAGATGGGGCATTTAAAACATCAACTACTATGGGTTATTTTGTATACGGGCTGCCTAGCGGTTGCCCAGATCTATACAGAGCCAAGTGTGTACACAGGGAAAACGTGAAGTGCGAAGCTCGAAGTTTATATGTAAAGTACGGCGTAAATTGGTGGCAAAAGGCGTGGTTTATGGCGCCTACAAATACGGAGTTAACGTCCAGGATCATCATGGCCAATCGTACATGTAGATCATAATCACGCTGGCCCCAGTACCTCCCACAACGACACAAGATCTGAACAGTCCCAAGGTCTGTGCAATTCCACCTGATCTTCAGCCCTGAGATTGACTATGAGCATGAAAATGAGTTCCGAACCAGTATCAAGCTAGCAAGCAAGCAGTCGAGGTGAGACAATTGGCTGCCTCCGGCAGCTTGGCATCAGCGGCGAGCGGCTCTAGGGACATTGTCAGGCGTAGAAGACAGCCACGTCGCGCCGCTAGTGGCTAGCAACCAATGATTTGGCTGGGGATGTGATGGGGGATCACTGCACGCCTGGGTGTACTGCTTATTGGTTGATAGGACGAGCCAGTCAGATCCGAGTGGGCATTTGCTCATATCACCCAGCTGGAATCAGGCAGAAACACCGACTTCATCTTGAATTGCCCAATAATGCAAGAACTATAAGGAGCTATCAGAAGAAAGGGGAAAAAAAAAAAAGAAGAAACAAAGAACAATGGGAGAAAGTTGTACCTGACTCTATGATCCAGTCTCCTTTGGGCCTAGTGTGTATATTGTGCCTGAGGCCACACCAGTTCGATTATTCCCCACATCCTCACAACTTCGCTCTTCTCTTTCTCAACCATCCTAATTTTCGCTTCTTTCTTTCTTTTTCCCCAGTCTGCATTCCTTCTTTCTCTGCAGCTCGTCCCGTTTATTGGAAGAAAAGACCAAAAAAATAGCACCCTTGCAAATAGTCCCCGATCTGCTCCGCCCCTGAAAACGTTGCTCGCGTCTGGCCGAGAGACCCGATTTCACACTACTTTTCCGACCTTTCTCTTTTCACCTGGTTCTTGAACCTGGTTTCGTCATCTGCATAACACTGGGTTGTTTGACACCGTGAGCCCGTGTTTCAGCCTCCAGGTCCTCGATCCTCGGCATCGCATCACTTCTTCTTTCTTATTCACCTGGGATTTGCAGAGCATTCCCTTTGGCTTTTCCCTTCTACTTTTCCTTTGCGGTCTTTCTTGACACACCTTTCTGCGATACCCTCATAATTGTCTCTTCCTTTGGTGCTTGTCTCCCCGTCACTTTCACTTGCTCGTTTCTTCGAGGCTTGTCTGCGGCTTTGCGAATCTCAACCCCAGAGCAGCTCTTGTACAGCTTGGTAATCTTGGCAAATTGCCATCGTTATTGCTAGCCTGTCGCTCGCTTTGCATATCCTTTTCCGTGATTGGTACGCGTGTTTTCCCCCTCTGTCTACTGGATTTCCCTAACCAGATTTTCTCCGCAGATATCCCGAATTTCGCATCTCCGTTTACCTTTTCGGTCGTCGAATCTCGATTTTGCAGGTTCATTTCAGCGCACCTCCTTGCATAGACAACATAATTTCTTAATCATCGGGAAGTGAGCTCAGCTTTGTGGTTGACCCCAAACGCTCTCGAATCCCGGACGTGAAAAAACGCGACTTGCTCCACCTGCATTATTTTGCACATACCTACAATTCTCCCCTCATCGACAACCATGAGTATGGACGCTGGCGGTCTTGCTCAAATGACTTTCAACTCTTCCTTCAATAATGGCGGTTCCCTCGGGGTCCCGGGTTCTGGTTTTGCCTCGCGCGGCAAAGGCTCTCATATCAAGCGTTTGAGTGTGCCACCCCAGATTGCTACCATCGATGAGTCCCAGACTTCTACCTCAATTTCTACCCCCCGCACCAGTCGCTCTCATCTCTTGGCTGGGCTGCGCACTGCTCCCAAGTCTGCCACAATTCCCTCCCAGCAACAACGGAATGGAATGGAGGGTGGACGATTCCCTGGTTTCCCCAGCCGAGGAGCTGATCGAGTTCCACAAACTGCGACGGGGACTGGATTCCCGCAGCAGACGTACGCTACGAATCAGAGCATGAACTCGCATCAATCTTATCAGTCGCATCAGTCACACCAGTCACGTCAATCTTACCAAGCGCATCAAGCGCAGCAGAGCCGCATGATGTACACTCTGCCAGAGCAGGTACTTGCACCCCCAATGCTTGATATTGAAGGTGGCGACATCCCCATCGATGAGAACATGTACGCGGAAATCATGTCAACCAATTTGTTCCTTGCTGCTCAGCAACAGCGCCTACAACAGCAGTTGATCAGTGTCACTGCTGCGGCTCAGCAATTCCAAGGTCTCAACTTGGGCATGTCTCTTCCTCAGCAGCAGCAGGTTCCCTCCCTTCCCGGCATGGGCTTCTATCAGCAGCAGCTCCAGCAAGGCGTTCAGCCGATTGTGCAGCCGGTTCCTGGTCAGCCTGGATTGTTCTGCGTTTACAACCCTTTGACTGGCCAGCAAAGCTACATTATGGACAGCAGCTCCCCGGAAGATGGTTCGCCGCAGTCATATCAAGATACCCGATCCCATGTTGGTCAGCAAGTGCCGCAATTCCGTGCAGAGATCTCTCCTCCCGCGGAATCTGCGCACTCGGTAATGCAGTTCCCGCAAACCCTGTCTCCTCCTTCTGGCAGCCCCTCCCCGCCGCACGAGGTATCTATGAGCGCTCTTCGCCGCGGCCACCGGAAGAATCCTTCGTTTAACCCGGTCATCAAGACTAACATCGATACCTCCAAGGCCAACGTGGGACCTGGCCCTCGGTCTGCTGCTCTACCGCCGACACCGGCTACTGGAACCTTTGGACCCGGTCAAGGTCGTGCTGGGGAGCACCCGATCCGTCAGCCCCGTGGACCCCCTTCGCTCGAGGATCTTGTAGCCAAACCCACTTCCCAGCACGAGGGTAGCAAGAACTTCGCGACTCGCCAGCGCCGCCGTGCTGTTCACAACCTTGTTCGTGCGGGTATTGAGCGTCGTGGTGACACACGCAGTCTTGGATACCATAGCAGCGGTGGCACAAATACCCCGGCAAGCGAGAAGGAGTTCACTTTCTCTGATAACGATGATGCAACCGTGCGAAGCGGCAGTCTCTCCAGCAAGCCCAGTCTAGGCAGCCTGCGAGCAGTGGCCAATGGTGCTATTGGATCTGAGAGGAAGGAGAAGTCTGGCCGGGACCGTGGCTCCCCGGACAGTCCTTTTCACAGTGCCACCCCAACCAGCGAGGATGGTGGCTATTTCGGGTCGAAGTTTGTGGATGTTCGTGGGGAATATGCCCCCTCGCCTAGTGCCAGTGGCACCTCCTCGCCCTCGGCGGCGGCTGTTGTTGCTGGCCAGGGGCCGGTGGCTCAGGCACCAGAACGGCGCAAGACGCCGATGCTGGTGCTGTCCAGCGCTGAAAAGCGCAAGACCCCTTTCATGTAATACCGAACATCATGTGACAGCGACGTATGACCTTTTTTCTTCTCAAGTTTCCTTCTGGGTTGGTCTTGTCTTTTATTTGCTACCTCGACTCCTTTGATCGAGCCTTGATGAAGGTTGAACCTTTTCCACTCCTTTTCTTATTACTACTATCCTCGGCTACATTGCTAGCACTTATGTTTCGTGACGAAAGACCTCGATCGGTCTGCAATGACTTTATTTTTCCTTCTTTCATTCCTTTCCAATACCTTTCATCGTTCTGTTACCTACTCGCCACAGCTGAGCTTGGACAGAATAGCTTTATTTTCCCGGGATTGAGGATAAGACAAACCGAGCTCAGGGTTGAAACAGACTTTGGCCACGGTATAGTCTCTTCTTGACATTCGGTTTCTGGTGTACATCCGGTTATGTACATACCAACAGGATAATCATTCCCTTTTCACCTCAGGCTCACTGCCGCTATTTGATCTCCGTAAAGTCCAACATCCATAAGCCATCATTCTTAAGAACCCATTTCCTAAGCGCCGGGCTGTACGGCAACGTTTAGCGGCGCCGAGAGCAACCCCAATATTGGAGCATGCCGTAGTTCTCATGCCATCTGAGTTATATGGCACGCATCTACGGCCGAAAAATAACAAAGATCTAAACCGTTGGCCTGTATCATATTTAGATCAACAACGATTGCATAACAGCCACAGAATACATTTTAGGTATAACCACCGGAAAACAACTTTCGTTTTTAAATCCCTCTCTGACTGCTCTCCTCTTAGCATACTAGGCACGTTTGATTCTTAACGGTTTCTATGATTTTGTTGACAATTGCTTGATCCTTGAGGTACTGTTGTGCTCTTTCAGACAAGCTTCAATGCTCCGATAGCGCCCCTGCTGAGCTATACAAAGCGCTGTGCGGTGGTTCCTGTCTTTCAAATGAACACCGGCGTTAAAGTTCAAGAGCAATTGAACAACAGCAAGATGACCTTTCTCGGAAGCTTCATCAGGCACGTTGATCGATCTTTATCCTGTACATTTATCAACGCTGGTCGGTGTTCGAGCAGGAGCTGCACGACTTTCACATGGCCGTTCTCCCCTGCCCGAGACAAGGGTGTGCGACCATCATCATCTGCCTTGTCCAATTCAAGATCACTCCGCTTTAGAAGTAATTGGAAGATGGCATCATGGCCCATTTGACAAGCATATGATGCAGCCGTGCGAAGGCAGTAATCCGCTTTATTGACATCGGTATCCGTTCGCTTCAGCAACATCTTCACCATGAGCGTTTGACCGCATAGGCAAGCAACCGACAGAGGAATAAACATATCGCTCGCCCTCGAATTTGAATTCACTGCCTTGCAACGCAACAACAGATCCATGACATTTGCATGCCCCTCCGAAGTGCCGCCCAAAGTGGCGTATTATAAGGGGTCCAGGAAGAGATATTCGGATCAATATCTTGCCTCTGCAACAAGTATGCCACCACATCAATGTGTCCATATGTAGCAGCTTCCCACAATGGCGTATTACCATCACCCCTGTGATAGTTAGGGTTGACATCACTACGGTTCAGCAACATCCGGGCAACAGAGGGGTGGCCCCAAGAAGCTGCCCACCATAGTAACGTCCTGGAGTTCCATTTGTAGTCATCCGCACCGACATGTAGCTTGTCTAAGAGTAGCTGTAGAACTCGGGCGTGTCCTCCCATGGTAGCGTACCATAACGGGCAATGCATCCGGTTTTCCAGGTCGACCCATAAATCTTCTCTTTCCAGAAGCCAGCGCACTAAGGTCTCATGGCCGCGTGAGGCGGCGACCGCAAGAGGAGACATTCCATCACACATCAAATTGATATCAATCTGTCGATGGTTCAGTAGGAGCCGCACAATGCCAGAATACCCATAAGAGCAAGACAACCAAAGAGCCGTAATGCCTTGGGGGGCAATTCGATTTGGATTCTGCTCTCTGATCCACAGTAGTACCTCCTCGTCATCTCGTGTGTCCACCACCAAGGGAGCGCGGGATTATCCTCTCACATTCGGGTTGGCTTCATGTTTGAGTAGGATATCAACGATTCCCTCTTGTCCACTGTGAGTAGCCGCATACAACGGAGTACCAAGAAATTCATCTTCTGCATTCACATCATTGCCTTGAGCGATCAGTGATCTAACGATGTCTTCATTGCCAATATAACATATCACAGCGAGCTGGTTCAACAACAACCGCTGCACTAAGTGAGTTGAGGCCGGACCTGAAAGCCGTTCACATATCGCAAGTCTTCCTTGGTATAAGACGGCAAGGGAACATACACCCCACAAAACAACAGTCTTTCGTAGAAGCGGATGGAGATTTTTGTCATGAAGATCACTGTAATCTTTCTCTGAAATCACTTTTTGAAGAAGCAGCCAGACTATTGTGTCTCTGGTTAATCGGGGCTCCGCGGCGGAGATATTCTGGAAGTCTAATCTTTGGAATGCTCGGCGTGAGATGATAGCATCGAAACTTCCTGAGACTGCCATCAGTATTAACAATGCAGATGGTGGAAAGATATAGCTTACTGCAAACAAGCCTTTTGTCCAACCATTCTCGATTATCTTGAAAGATGGAACAACGCCGTGGAAGAAAATCGTCTATGATGAACTCCTGGAGTTCCAGAGGCAAGCTCGGAAGGCCAGTCACATTCATGTTGTCTTGGACGTTTGTGTCTCGGATGCAACTAGTGGGAATAGAACAGGAGTGAGTACGGTGGATCAGTTGTGTCTGTGTAAATAAAAAAAAGGGCAAAGATGATGCTATAGAGTGAGTCAGGGGAGAGTACCTATATCCACGGATCAGCACCGATTTCCCTGAAGTTTAACGCCCTTCCTCGAAAGTGAAAAGAGGCATGTGAAGAAAATATGTTGCCCTTTATATTTGAGATCTCCGTCTGTTTAGTACGCAATTTATGGACAGTGGTAGCTACCTGAGCGTAGATGGCAACCATAGATATACCATCCAAGTGGACATTAAGCATGAGTGTGAAGAGACTGGCACTTCCAGGGCCGGAGGTTACTTGGACAACGCATGGTTTCATGCTGGCGCTGGCGTAGCCTTCAGCCATATGGCCGGCACCTTGTTCACAGCGAGACAAGATGAACTGGAAAAGATTGGTTTTGTAGATTCTATCAAGAAGAAAAAGAGCTGCGCCACCAAGATACCCGACCGATATTTTATTAGAACAATACAAAGACTGCTTGTGGGAGGTTTCACATACACATATGATCGATGTAGTGACTAGCGAGGAAGAGCTCACAGAGCAGCTCTGCCCCTGCAGGGCCTTTGGAATAATGGGTTGTCATTTCGAAGCCTGATGTAACTTAATGGTGTACGCATTAGAAGAGTGAACAGATCAACTGTTCTAACCTAATCGCACGTCTATTTAACTGTTTCTTGTCTCTTCATCTACTCCAAATGCTTCAATGCAAGAGTCTGATATGTGCAACCACCCATTTCTCAATAACCTAATGATATTAGTGTTCATCGGTCTGATTCAGTTCCAGAAGAACCATAGCGGTGAATATTTTCTGACGATTCGATCCTTGAAAAACGAAGATAATGATCAGCTACATAATGCGTACACCATCAGTTAAGCGAGGAGAATCTAGTGGTGTACAACAAAATAACAGGTGATATGGTATGGCTTGCTGGTCAATATTTTCGGGCTATTTATCCGGCGGATATCTGACCTATGATGATCAAACGTGCCCCTCCACCTGATATGCGGGTGAGGCCATACTGTGTAACCATCCAACACGAAAGAGGAAATTGTTGCAACTCTTTGAGATACGCCTATCTTTGATAAATACAGCCCTGTGGGATTCGACCGTGAAACAGGGAAAGATCTGCAAAGATGATAACAATAAAGTGTGGGCATAGCCCGAGAGTTTACGGTAACTACACAATGATTTTCCGGGCATATACTCAAGTCTTGTACGTCACTATCTACACCACCTCCAACTCTTGACTTCAGACGCAATGGCCGCGAATAATATCTATCAGTATTCAATTCTCAGTGCTCTATTGGACGGCATTTGTCAAACAGGTACCGCTCTCAAAGATACCCTTGCGCATGGCGATCATGGCCTCGGTACCGTACCCGGTTTAAATGGAGAGGTGGTTATAGTTGACGGCAGAGCCTACCACTTCCCACCAGGCGAGAAACTCCGGAAAGTCGAAGTGTCCGACACTCTTCCTTTTGTCATGATCACTCGGTTCGAACCAACCTTCCAAAAGGCCTTGTCTTCACTTAGCATGACTTCGCTCCCAGAGGCATTGAACCCTCTGCTTCCCTCTCGGCAGAATTGCTTTCTATCAATTCGTCTCGATGGGATGTTCAGTCATATCTCCTTCCGAGTGATAGCGGGACAATGCAGACCTCGAGAACCCCTTTCGGAGCTGGCCAAACGACAGCAAATAGTGAGCCTTGAGAACATTGAAGGCACGCTATTTGGGTTCTGGTCTCCAGCTTTCAGTGGGGGCTTCAGTGTCGCAGGCTTTCACTTGCATTTTTTGTCGAAGGATAGAACTAGAGGGGGCCATGTCACAGGGTTTACTGGGGATGTCAGCCTCCAAGCTGCTGTCATTAACAAATATACGGTTGAGCTGCCCCACAGCGAAGAGTTTAATCAGGAAACGATAAAGGGCGCAAGAGAGGCCGAGCTTCATGCTGTAGAGGGGGTTAGATGTCGCCGTTTAGGCTATAACTAATTTGACATGTCTTTATACGTAAGTCCGAGCATGGGTTTTACGTATATACTAGAAACTAATATTCGTGGATCGAGAGAGATCCGCCCGTATCAAAGTCGAACTAGACGCCAAGGAGCGAAATTAGGGTGCCCAGATCGTTTAGTCGGAACTCTGTCTCTAGTGCTCTTTAAACCCATTCTATCTCGTTTTTATTTTCTACGGCAACGAGATAGTTATCGACGAGCCAACGTCCCTTCATAGGAAAGCTGTGACTACATGGAATTGTAGAGTTTCTATCCGCGTAAGACGGCACTCACGACGATGCAGTGAACGGAGTCTATCCGAAACACGGCCGCGAACGTTTTATGGTAGTCAATGCCATGTTTCTCTCGATAGCCTTTGAACACTAGTCGAGCTTTGCGGGTCCTGTTGGTTTTTCAAAGACCCATTTGAAGCCAACACATGATCTCTAGCTAGCAAGTCCTTCCGCAGAATCTTTTCCTATGCTCGAGAAGAGATGTATATTCTTTCTAAATGACCGGCCTAGCTGATTCGGGCCGGACGCGGCTTCGTCGAAAGTTAAGGGCTCAACTCCTTTCGCGGCTGCGCCGTTCAATGTACCTGTTGTATGCACCTTGCCGAGTGACCAACGAAGGCGTGATGGAGCTCCGGAGGAATCTTTGTACCAGTCAGCTTCACTTCGAAAATTACCTCTATTTTGGATGGCGCCACAGTATCTCCCCTGTGACGTTTTGCTGTGACGTTTTGCATTTCATTGTTCCGAGAACCGGTATATACCTGTCTCTCGAGAACTCAACTTATGAATACACCCACATTCTAGACATCACATATCGTTCTATAGCACCGATCAGGTTATAGAGCGTTTACACCCGAAGTTCTGACTTTCCGGTTCCACTGATTTCGCCTCAAGGCTTGCGTAAGGAGACTACCCGATAGATAAACCCCCGGATACGCAAATTACCCCTTCACCAAGGGCTAAACGGGGTCCTTAGAAGAATTTCTATTCTTGAACCTTATCGAAGGACAGAACCTTGCGACGTTGGGAGGTGATGCCGAAGGTTTTCACGAGAATTTCCCGGCAGGAGCATTGGGGCGGGAGAGAGATATGCAGGTGGGTGTACTGGAATACGACAATCAAGAGAACGAGCTCCGTTTATCTCTAACCAACGAAAAGAAGCTATGTGCTTCTGCGTTCCTCTTCTGCTAGATGCTATATGTTGTCTTCAAACTATAAGATTGAATTGGAATATGCGAATTGTCTAATTGTTTCAATATGAAAATGAAGAGTCCTTCTCAACCACTCTATGTTTGGAGAATCACATACCCTCCCGTGACAGGGACCTATGCCTGATACCCGCTAGTAATGCAGATGGTATTATTTCTAGTCTATACAGTTAGTCTACATAAGCAACTATGCTAATACCATTTACCTGTATTCCGATTTCACCCAAAGCTTGCCCTGCAGATTCAAAAACTAAGATACTAGCTTTTCTTGGTAGATATGTAGGTACCAAAATGGACCCATAGGAAATGGTCATGGGATGCGACATGCGGGGAAATCTGTGGGGGAAACCGGAGTCGGAAATATCTGCCCGAGCCAACGTGGGGGACACACTTCTCTCGCTTCTCTGGACCGAGTCACATAGACCGGCCATCGGTGATACACTAAAACAAGCCAAGCCCCGAGGCACAGCGCCAAGAGAGTCCGGATCCCGAGTCCACACGGCTACCTTCTTTGTCATTTGACGGCATCGCCGGTGTTTTCTCGGGTCTTCCCAAACGGGACATCCCCTTACCACCTGGCACCTGGCGGTAAATTTTCTATTATTAATTTGGAAGACCTGCAGTCTTTCAAGCTACTGTAGTAAGGTTCACCAAAGCTCAAAACTTTTTCTATTCATTGTTTGCTTTAGATGCCGACTTTGTACACGACAGCCAGTGTCAAGACCGTCAATTTCTCCGCAGTTTGGCCGAAATTTATTGGTCTCGGGAAGCAGAGGAGGGCAACGGGGAAATGAGGAAATCTCAAAAGTACAATTAAGGTGTGGGGCATATAGACTTTACAGAGATATTAGCATGGCCAAGGAAATGTCTTCGTTTTTGCGGGGGCGAAACCTGGAGAGCGCCATCCTTAATGTGAAGCCATTGATTGGGCCCTAATCTTACATCCCGTGCTTGGCACGGGCTATGCTGACATCAACGCTGCCCGAACGCTATACTCTATCTTTCCCTGTTTCTGGGGGCGAATGGCGCCGCGGAGAAGGCCGTAAAAGGACCATGTCAAGAAGGGTCGGAATCCTTCGGGTCTGGGTGAGGCATATATCTGCAAATTTCGGCGACATAGTCCATTAACCATGTCAGCTAGTGTGACTCAGCTCTGGAACATTTGGTCCGTTCATCGGTATTTTCGTTGTTGGGATCAGACGCAGCCGCAAGATCATCGTCCATGTGGCCCTTGCATGAACATCTCACTTAAAACTAAAAGACGCATTGGGCCGTCAGTATATCTTTGGGCTATATAGTGTGCTAGTAGTAAATTTGTGCCGGACTGAAATTAAAAGGGCCGTTCATCTCACAATTCTATTTATGTAAATGTCGTTGAGCTAAGGGCTCACTTGTCCCTGTCTGAAAATCGGAGAATTAAGGAACGACGTAGCTAAAGTCAATGCTCAAGCCTAAGGCTTGCTTGCCTGCGCCGAGCCTTGGCCCTGGACATTCGACCCGACAGCCCTCGATTGATGAACCTTACGTCTATTACCCCATGGGCCCCCGTATGAGCCTCCTTGGCGCAAAATGGGATTTAAGAGATCGTGCATGCCCACTCTCTGCGCAACATTTCTCCCCATCACAGTCTTCCCTATTCCACGGCCGCCAGCTTCGGAGAACTCTGCCGAGCGTGTCGTCTTCATCTGATACTGTTCTTTGACCGAGCCTTGAAAGTCTATCACATCACATTTTATACGATTGAGCTGTCTATACTTTCGTCACGACTGTCTAGAATTAACAGATAACATCATTCATCATGGCGGGTGGTGCTGCCATCAACGTCTTCAAGTTCAACACGGGCGGTTTGCCCAAGGAGACTCTCAACTGGAAGCTATGGTTCGCTGTCTTCGCGTTTGGTCTCATGGGTGCTGCCCGAGGTGTCGATGAGGGTCTTATCACGGGTGTCTTTAACTCTCACGCCTTCAAGCAGTCTGTCGGTATCGACGACCTTGAAAAAGAAGAGCTCGCTAGTGTCAAGGGTACTATTTCCTCTATGGTTCAGCTCGGCAGTGTCGCCGGTGCTTTGTTGTAAGTCTTACTATTGAAACCCATCGACTTCGTCTTCACGCTCGAAAGCCTTTGCTAATTATAGTTAAATGACAGTGCTTTCGTCGTTTGTGATCGGATTGGTCGTGTTTGGGCTACTCGTCAGCTCTGTGTCCTCTGGATGCTTGGTATTGCCATCTTTATTGGAAACAATGGCAGCATGGCTGCTGTCTACGCTGGTCGCTTTATTGCTGGTATTGGTATTGGACAGACCTGTGTCGTTGGTCCCATCTACCTTTCTGAAATATCACCTGCTCCCATTCGTGGTCTCTGCACTTGTATGTTTACTGGTGCTGTGTACCTGTCAGTTCATACTCCCCTTCTCCTTTCTTCTTGTCTCACTTTCAGATGCTAATGCCAAACCCAGTGGTATCATGATTGCATACTTTGCCAACTGGGGTACTTCAATTCACATGGCGGACACGTTCAACCGCTGGGTAAGTGCTGGCCACTCCAATCCTTTACTGGACTGACTAACATCCTCTCCCCTACAGGCTGTCCCCACTTCGCTGCACCTCATGTTCGCCGGCATCATCTTTCTCCTCACCTTCTTCCAGCTGGAGTCCCCCCGGTTTTACATCAAGCAGGGCAAGCGCGAGAAGGCTCTCGAGGTTCTCTGCAAACTCCGTGGCCTACCCGCCACCCACCCATACGTCCTTGAAGAGATCACCGAGATGGACTTTGCCTTCCAGGAGGAGATGGAGGCCACCCGCGGTATGGGCTGGAAGGGCCTCTTCAAGGAGATCCTTGGCATCAAACGCAACGCCTATCGTCTGTTCCTCACCAACCTCGCCCAGAACATGGCTTGCTGGTCTGGTGGGTCCGCCATTACTGTGTACGCCCCGGATCTGTTCAAGCTCGTCGGTATCACCGGTCAAGAGCAGTCTCTATTCTCGACCGTCGTCTTCGGTGTCGTCAAATTTGTCGCCGCCATAATCTGCGCTCTCTTCCTGGTCGATATGGCCGGCCGTAAGCGCTCTCTTATTATCGGAATTGTGCTCCAGACCATTGCCATGTTCTATATTGCCGTCTTCCTTAACCTCGTCCCCATTGCCGAAAACGACGACTTTGAGCCAACCGCTGGGCAAAACCGTGCCTCGACCGCCGCCATTGCATTTATCTACATTTCTGGTGTCGGTTGGGCACTAGGATGGAACAGTGGTCAGTACCTACTGTCCTCGGAGCTGTTCCCACTCCGCATCCGTGGTATCTGCTCGTCCATCACAATGGCCATGCACTTTATCTGCCAGTACGCCGTCAACCGCGCCCTGCCTGAGATGCTACTCGAGAATGGACTTGGACCTCACGGAACATTTTACTTCTTTGGTGTCATTTCCGTTGTTGGCGGTGTTTGGGTTTGGCTCTTTGTGCCCGAGGCTGCCGGTCGCAGTCTCGAGACTATCGACAAGATGTTCGATCTTCCCTGGTACAAGATTGGTCTCTATGGAAGGAGGTTTGCTGAGGAGTACGACCGTGAGCAGGAGCGCATTTATAGCGATGAGAAGAAGGAAGCCGGAGTTGTTGTTTCCCACACTGAGACTGCTTAGTCTTTCTGAGACAACTCCAATGGTGTATACATTGGAGGGAGATGTCTGCCACGTGTTCTTAAGATGTGAGTATATGCTTATATGAATATATGAATATGACGCCGTTTCTGTTTTTCTCTCGATATTGCTGAATGCAGCCTTAGTATAAAGCAGTGGAGGTTCCATTATAATTGCTGGGAATTCCGATGTACAAGCTTGGCCTGATAGCTTCTTCAAAGATCTTTGGCACGTCGTTCAGGCGGAAAGACCAGCCGCTTCCACCATAGCGCATAATTCCACACATATCGCAAACCCGTGCTTAGGTTCTCAGGTGTTGACTCCAGGTTCTAGACCTTGGAACAAGAATTGGACCATTTCGAGGTCTAGTTTCAGCGTATATGTATGTAACTACTCAACCGATTAAGCTAAAATCATCTCGAGCCAAGGAAGTTCATTTTTCATTACATTACATAAAGAAACTAAGTAGTAAAAAGCGGCCCTCAAAGTGACTAGAAGTGCCATCGAAGAAAGGATCCTTGATAGATAGACCTGGCTCTCGCCAGTGAGACCTTGCGCATTCTACCAGATCTCAATGCCACCCATGAGAAGCGCTGGAGCTGGTTTCCTGCGGCTTCGGAGCGGCACTGGTTTCCCACTGCTTTGGACTACTTTCCCACTGCTGTGAACCAGTTTCCTGTGGCTTGGGACCAGTTTCCTGCGGCTTCGGAGTGGCACTGGTTTCCCACTGCTTTGGACTACTTTCCCACTGCTGTGGACCAGTTTCCTGTGACTTTGGACTGGGTTCTGCCGGCTTTGGACTGTCATTCTGCTGAGTAGCTCCAACGCAGACTTTCTGGCCTATCAGCATGTTGTCGCAGTAAGGGTGAATCGTAGGGTTCAATTTGAGGAAGGTGGCCAAATCGAGCCCAGGGTGCATATTGACGACGTCGGTGCAGGTCTCAGGAGGAGTTTTGAGTTGAGGTGAATACCAAGCAGTGCCTGCAGATGGTCAGTAAAATTATTTCATGGATGATAGACTCGCATTTCAAGGGTCATTTACAGTCTCCCACTTGGTGAGCTTCGGGCTCACCCGTCGGCATCGAGGGGCTCGCGACGGCGGCCGAAAAGACAAAGCCCACCGCCACAAGAAGAGTTCGAAGAGTTGTGGCCATTATGTCCAGTCAAGGAATTAGATGTTTCGAAGATTGGATAGCAACAAAGCAATAGAGTCTCAGTAGCGAGTAACTATTGTGTTGAAACTTATCTACTTTTTGGGTCAGAACGTATAATTTATAGGCGGCTGAAGGCCATAACATACCTTGCCGTCGTGGCATTCCATTGCATTTTTGGTGGCGCTAGACGAGGGCAATACCAGGATAATTGACTTTTAAATCAAGTCTCGAGCTCGGATAGTGGGATAAATTATTCCGCGGCCATTGCTTAAAGCCTCCTATGTAGTTCCGATGCGTACAGATCTCAGTTCGATATCCGAGAGCCAACATTGAATATGCTCTTAATGTTGTTTAGAAGATTAGAGGGATTTCCGATGAGGCCGGGGGGTAGAAATGTGACTAGCTAATTACGTTCACGCAACTATGTGAGAAAAAGAAAGACTTTTCGCTTATAAGTCAGATTGGGTGGACGTTTGCTATGGTGTATGGTACAAAGGGAGAATGTGAATTCGTAAGTCAAAGTTGTGGCTGAGAAATCGCCATGAAAGAATTAGGCGAAGAATGATCAAAGTAACTACATGCATGTTTCTCTCCAATCAGATCTATACGCATGCCCAGGGCGCTTGGGAAACTAATTACTACTGCATGCCGACTTGCCAGATTGTATTCTATCCAGGTACCCCTCGTAACCTTTCCCCGTCCCCCCAACATCAATCCACATTCCTAGGCGGCAAATGAAACTGAAGGTGTTACCAGCCAGCGTGTCATTACACCTGTAGGGCTTACGGAGATGGATTATCTCTTAGTAACATTGTGAGTTTTATAAAATTGCTTTAGATTGGTGGCGCCTTCATCCACTGCTTTCGTGGAAAATGGCGCTCTCTCTCTCCGGCGCACGTTGTGGCGTATCCCTTCCCTTCCACTATCGGCATCTATTTATTCCCCCGTATTCCTGAGATGAACGACACCATGGAATTGCGCAGGGCACCCAATCGAAAAGACCAACGCGCATGGAGGGACACTTTAACAAGATGTGGAGTAATTGATCGGAGAACTGACCCTCCCTGCATTTACTGCAGCTCTACATTCCCTTAAGATCCCAAACAGGTAAGGAGTACTTCATCTAGGAGTATGCAGCTGGTCTCACAATTCCTACCAGGGGTGAAAATTAGTATTCAATTGGTCACCTCCTTGTGATTTGGAATATATGTTCAGCTCTTGATCGCCATAGCGCATCGCCAGTTGGCAGCCAAGTCTCTTCTTGGTGGCCCGACACAGATAGTAGTTCTCCATGCAGCAGCTTCGACAAGTCCAAGGAAGATTCATATACGTTCCATTATCCAGAATAAGTTGAAGATAGCCCGCGGGGGGCAAACTTTTGCTGACTACTGCCCATGATGTTCAAGTTTTCAATATATATAGATCATCCAAATTGCTTTCTTTCCCTCCGCTTTCTACTCTGGGTCCCGATTACCATTTTTATCTCTGATTTCAAAAAGATGTTATAGTATTTGGTCACGATCGTGGCGATCAATGTTTGCCAAGTGTGCTCTAACTCAACCCACTTCGATATTAACAAATCCGAGCCAAGATCTTCAGCACATCGCCTGTAATTCCCATAGCGGTTACCTCCCCGCCAGCACCAGCGCCTTGAATAATAATGGGCTTTGTTCCATATCGCTTCGTATGGAAGCTGATAATATTATCGCTACCCTTAAGGAGCGCGATTGGGTGAGATCGATCAAACATCTCCATTCCAACTTTCAGTTTTTTGGTAGAAACATCGATGCTGCCAGAAAAGCGCACAACCCGATTATTCTTCTCCGCGACAGCTTTGATGGCCTCCATTCGATGATCGAACTGGGGCAATTGATCGAGGAACTCATCAGCAGCCTTGACGTTTGCCAGTTCCTGCGGAATCAAGCTTTCCACCGGGAAAGAGGAGGTAGATTCAACAGGGATGCCAACGATTCGGGCAAGAATGACCAATTTGCGCGCAACATCAAGTCCGTTCAGATCATCTCGAGGGTCTGGTTCAGTGAAGCCTAGTTCCTTCGCCTTCTTCACCTCTGCAGACCATTGAGCGCTCTTCCCCTGAAGAGGAGAAAATGAATTGAATAGATAGGACATTGTTCCACTAAAGACTCCCTCAATCCGGGTAACCTGATCCCCTGTTTGAACGAAGTCATTGAGGGTCGAGATGATGGGCATCCCAGCCCCGACAGAGGATTCATGGAATACATGAGATTTCCCCGATTTGGCTGCATCTTGGATGTTTTGCCACAGCTGGTAGCTTCCCGAAAATGGTTTCTTGTTGGGGGTTGCGATGTTTATTCCTTGACTCAAAAATAAAGGGTAGGCTTCGGCGATAACGTTGGCGGCGGTGTTGTCTATTAGGATTGTGCTGCCGGGTGCCCGTGAGAGATAGTCGGCAATGAAGGAGATTGTAGGCGGGCTCTGACCGTTAGATTCCAAGGCCTCAAGAGCGGTATCGATGTCCAAGCCTGTATAATCGGCCGTATACAAGGCCTTATCGATCATTGCTATATAGCACAGTTTCAATTCGGCCGACCGACAGTTCTTGGCCAAAAATGCCAGCTGCCGCAAAACACAACTGCCAACTCCTCCCACGCCTGTCATGAAAGAGGGCACCGTCAACAAAACCGTCGATCACTTTTACATTTAGCCTCGCTCACCTATTATGGCAACATGGACTTCTTTCCGGCCCCCGGTCATGGTGATGTTCGAATATGAATGTTACTTCAGGAAGTGTAGAATTCACGTATCAAATACTATGTGACATGCTCATATCGCTTTATTAAATACACCCGAGATATAGTCCAAAGTCACAGTGAAGACGTTGAGCATAATCATGACAACCACGTAATCGGGCAATTATGGCCTCGGAGCTCACCCGAGATCGTCCCATGGTACAATCGGATCTTTGCAGGCCATTTGCGCGAATGATGACAACTGTGTGGGTCTTTTCCTGACATGTTGGATAACCGACCGATTATTTGAGAGGTAGCTTTACATATGTTTCTCAGACAAGAGTGGATGCCATTTCTGGCGTGTTCGCCAAACGGAATTTGTCCTTCCGTTGTGGGTATGGATTTGGATTGAGGTAAGCAGGCGATTAGGTGAGAAGGACCGGCAGCCAACAGTTCGAAAAGAGCAAGCCAATAGCAGACTGTTGTAGGTAACTAGCTTTCTTCATGGGATGTGTAATCCAAAAGGTTGCACTAGTATGCGGCATGAGGGTAAATGGAATCAGCATGACATATAAATCAGCCTGATCCCTCCCTCTCTACATGAGAGGCAATTTACAACCTGATAGCTACGTCGAAACCTTTCCTCACTGTTGGTCAACGCAAGATCAATCATGGCACCCATCGAGGTTAGTTGGTCCTATCCTTGATGCTTATTATTTCAATGGCTAATTCCCAAAGTTGAACGATCCGACCTTGCTCCATGAGAGATCGCTCTTGAATGGCCAATGGGTTCAATCAAAATCTGGTCAAACGTTCGAGGTTGAAGGTAAGTACCACAAACCAGTAGCGAAGTCAATGTCTTTGTGACTGACAGGGTCATTGGATTGGTAGACCCTGGTACTCGAAAAGTCTTTGCGAATCCCACCAATAACGATGTTAACGATGTTGATGACTATGTCACAACATCTGAGGCTGCCTTCCAAAAGTACAAGCATGTCAATCCTCGAGAAAGGGCCAAGATCTTGCTCAAGTGGCACGAGCTCATCACAGCTGCTCGCGACGACATCGCTAAGATTGTGGTGTATGAGACTGGCAAACCATTGACTGAAGCCCTTGGAGAGGTCGATTATGCACTAGGCTTTGCTTGGTGGTTTGCCGGCGAAGCCGAACGGATTCGCGGCTCCATTGCACAGCCTTCTATCGGTAATAGACGCACATTCGTGATCAAACAGCCCATCGGCGTAAGCGTCGCACTCGTCCCTTGGAACTTCCCTATCGCTATGACCATCCGCAAGGTTGCTGCTGCCCTCGCAGCGGGTTGCACCATGATTCTGAAGCCATCTCCCGAGACTCCTTTGAGCGCCATGGCTCTAGCTGATCTTGCGATCCGTGCTGGGATACCACCTGGTGTCTTGAACATTATCTCGACCGATAATGTCAATACACCTTCTGTCGCAGAAGCCCTCTGCAAACATCCATTAGTTCGAAAGGTTACGTTTACTGGCAGCACAGCAGTGGGTAGCATTGTCGCGAGGAACTGCAGTGTTGGTCTGAAAAAAGTGACAATGGAGCTGGGAGGCAACTGCCCCTTTATTGTCTTCAACGATGGAGACTTGGAACAGGCACTTGCTGCCCTCATGATTCTCAAGTGGCGAACTGCTGGCCAGGCATGCACACACGCAAATCGGGTCTATGTTCAAAGTGGTATATACGACAAGTTCGCCGAATTGCTGCTTCAAGCAACGCGGAAGCTTTCCGTGGGACACGGCATGGTTTCAAATACCACCATGGGGCCTCTCACAACAGGAAGAGGGGTTGAAAAGCTCCAGAGACAGGTGCAAGATGCGATCAGCAAAGGTGGCCAGATCCTTTGTGGTGGCAAGCGACCAAACAATCTATCTCCCGAATACGAAAACGGCTATTTCTTCGAGCCAACTATTATTGCCAACATGTCGTCAGATATGTTGACAACCAAGGAGGAGACGTTTGGACCACTGTTGGGCTTATATAAGTTTGAGACTGAAGAAGAAGTTGTTCAACTGGCCAATGACACAAGTATGGGCCTTGCCTCTTACTTCTTTACCCAGGACGTGAACCGCACCTGGAGGCTACTTGAGAATCTCGAAGCAGGAATGATTGGCATGAATACCGGTAAGACACCATGCTTCGGACTCTTTACTTTGTGGGAAACAATATTGATCTCTAACCTTCTCAGGAAATTCATCATGCGCAGAGTCTCCATTTGGCGGAATCAAGCAATCTGGATATGGAAAGGAGGCAGGCAAGGATGTTGCCATCGAGGAGTATCTAATCTCCAAGACCGGTACTCTGACTGTATAATCAACGCACATGGGAAATAGCCGCGTTGAAAGAGCTAGAAGAGCAGATCTCGAGAAACGTAGCTGATTGAGAGAGAGAAACCATCTAGGTCTGGAAACTGAGAATAGTCAACTTAGAAACTGGGGCGCTGCCTGAACCCCAGGGCATCAACATGTGTGCTTTAACGTTAGTTAAGTCAATTTCGTTTTGTTTTCAGACTTGGACAGTATTCCCTACCGGAATTTTCACATACGATAAGTTCCATCAAGACAATGTGTTTGGGTTTCCGATTGGTTTCTATTCCCGTTCAAAGGCATTTCCGACGCTATTCCCGACGCTATTCCCGCTGATCGGGAATAGCGGATGAGGAGATATTCGGGCTTTTTAAACCTCATTTGTACGTCTGTGTCTAAACTTCGAAACTTACATGATTTCCTCATTCGCTGTGTACTGCACCCTACCCCAGGCTGCATACTAGCTCGTTCCCTATTCTGCAGCTGATGGCTGATGAATGCCGAGGGTGTCTGTTTCACTATCTGGGAACACCTCTCCTTACTTGAATCGGTTGTTTTCCGGGTGCAAGCAAATTAATGTCTTGCATTTTGCAATTAATTAACTATGGTCCGTCAAAAATCCCCGTCAGTCAACAAAAATGCAAATGCGACGACGAAAGAGGACCTCAACAAGAAGTATTTTCCTCAGTCAAGAATGCATTTTAGTATATAATTTATTAATGAACAATCAGGAGGCTCCGAAATCGCTTATCGCAACAAACGTTCCGTCGGAGACAGGCGGATCGCCTAAGACAGCTGCTAGATGATGTCAACGCGACTGGCAGGCCAGATGACGAGACGAATAGAGCATTACGGGAAGAAAATAGACGTCTACGCCGCAGTCTTATCGAATTGGAATCCAAGATTGCCCGACTTGTGGTTACAGTGCAGGGCTTGTCCGAAACGGTGTCAAATGCTGTCGTCGATACCTCCCGGGACGAATCCAACACTTTCGACTCCTACCAGGGCCATGCCACCTCTGCTACTGCTACCGAAGAACTTGTATCAAATTCAAGGCCCACGATAGCTCCGAAACCCCCATTCAGAAGGGAACTTCCACTAACTAAATCGACCCAACCTGCGGCACAAAATGCGGAGGACCACGAACAGGAGATACGCACTCGATCGCCGAGCATCGACTGCAATGCCGCTTTGAATATTGCGGCAAATTTCGACAGCCTAGCTCAGCAAATCCCCAGTATCTGGTCTTTTGAGTACCAAATGGGCCCCGGCCCATACGCAGATTGTTTAGCTGGAAGTGAAGATTCTAGCCTTATTCTTGGTCGCGCATGGACCGAGTCAAATTCGCCATTCTCCGACCACATCCATGTTCTTCAGAGCCTTATGAGGAGCAAATTAGACCCTACCGTTTTACTTTCCAAGTCAACCATTGATCAGTAAGAGCCTTTCAATCTACGTATACAAAGCTCAATGTCGAGGTTGATGCTGACCCTGCCACAGCTTTTACCAGGAGGTGCTTATGGTTTTAGCTCTCTTCAATAGTATGACTCGCCCAGACGTTATGCGATGGTATGCGCGAACACGATTTTACCATATTGTCAACTTAACGGCCTGGCAAGTCTGCCCTTGCACCTTAACATTTAACTCCATCCATTCACAATACCAGCCGACTGTTTTGCAAACACAACTACAAAATCAGTACCCAAGAGTCATAGATTGGATACCATTTCCCACTATCAGGGACCGACTCATCCAATTTCACGCGGCGAATCCCCGCATTGACCAAATATTCTGCGATGTTGTCAGTAGCTATGTTGTGGAGGCATGGATGTCCGACTTGATTGCAGGGGCACCAATGATCAAAGCCCACATTCGGGTTACAGACCTTGTTCAGAATATTGATCCATCGGCCTTCGACAAGGGATCAAATAAGGCAGCCAACGTCAATCTTCCTGCACCTGACGTGGCCACTCTATTTTCATCCACTGACTATTCCTTGGCTGTATTCAATCACCTTGGTATGGATCTTGGGGTGTCAAACTACAAAATTGATCCTGCTTTCTTTGCTACATACCCAGAGCTATACGACCATAGTGCGTGTATCTCCGGTGAAGGCATCTCATTACGACCAGAAGCCCAGGCTCGCTTGACGTATCCTAAGCCCCTTGACTCACAAATATTTCAAACATATCGGAATTTCATTGAATTTTCCTACGGTTGGCCGCTTCGCATGTCAGGAGTTTTTGGATGAAATCTGATTCTTGGGGCGACAAGAAATGATATATATTTTTAAAACCTCTGCTTGTTATCTCTTTGCGTAAAGTCGGCGGGCCCCGCCTGTTTGGCTTGATGGTATATTGTGAATTGTGTGATATGATGAGCCGAAAGGACCCCGTTCAGCCCTCATGCTCCATGGGCGGATGTTACTCTCGCAGTTTCTTCCAGCATTACGCGAGCACATGGCCTGACGTCTCGCAGTAGTTATACTTTGTGGTACTCTCCTGCGCTGTATTGATTGGCGGTCCTGGGACTTCCTACGGAGGTGTGGGAAACTATCTCCTACAGACTGTCTGTTCGGCATTGGACAGTCATTTCCCGATCGTGGTCGGCTTGGCCGGGTCGTTGCCGACCACAATCAGGATGTATTCTGGTCCAATCTGGATTAACAAGATCGCAATGTGAGTCTTATCGCCAATTAATCTGGGCGCGATGGCATTCGGTCGATGTACGAGACACTTGAATTTCCGTCCACTTGTAGGGCAGGACCCATTATTACGTTGCCAAAAGACACCTGAAATCGAGCCGCTCGTGCAAAGGTTACTCTTTTTGTTGTAGATAATCAAGGAAGAGCTCCAAAATTTCCCCCGAACTGTGTCGAGGTCACCCTTGGCTGTCACACTTTTGGTCCGATATCACAAGCGCCCCAAAAGTGAACCTCAAGGAATGTCTGAATAGACAATTTTATTATCCCGGTAGCCAAAATTCCTTGAGAGTACACTTCAAATAGTTTATTGAGCCCATGCAAGGCTATCCATGGTAGTCAACGATGTACCATCGACACTCAGAACCATGATATAGCCCCTTCCTGCTCCGAGTCAAGGACTTCAAAATACCTCTCAAAGAGTGTCGTGCTCCACTGACAGGCTGTACCGGAGCTAGGAATATCCGAAGTCTCTTCAGATATTTGTGTATTGTGGTGTCCATGCATCTGAGCGAAACGTTGTTCAGGCTCCATCGACGACTCTGGTCGTCCGACTAGTGGAGAGACACGTATTTCTGATGAAATAATAGGACCGGATACTCCAGGCTGAGTGGCGGTTGATGTAATCGATTCGTGACTTCCCATCGCCATCGATTCACAATCTTCAAGCTGGTCTGTTCCATCTGATGATATGCCGAACAAGCTAGGGTTGACTAGAGCCATCTCCCTTGCGACTAAAGTCTGAGCATGGAATTCTTTTATACGAGTCCAGCGTGAACATCCGCGAGAGTCACTCCTCCCGTTCCAATATTGATAAATATCTTCAGCAGCCGCAAATGCCGCGTCCGCCATGTGCCCCAACGGAGAAAGAGATAAGCTGATAAATAGATACGTCAAGACATCCCATTCAATGTAGCTCTGAAACAGCCAACGCCAGAGACCGCCCCGTTCATGGAGACGCATTGCCTTAGATCGATCAAGAATCTCCACGCAATTTTGACGAAAGCTATCCTGAATGAGCACTTGTTGGCTTTCTCTATTTCGAGGCTTGCTCATAGTGAGCCTAAGCTTGGCAAGGATCAAACGACTGGACTCGGCAGTGACAAAATCTAGAGGAATAGATGTGTCGCAATGCGAAAGGTATTCTCGCTCCATCCGCTCTTCAAACCGATCAATCGCTTCGCACTTTTCTGAGGTCGACATGGTCGGGTATGAATTCTTTCCGGTAAATTGATCGGAGAAAGATACCAGTCGCGTAAAATAGCTGACTTCAAGCCTAACCAGACTGAACAACATCTCACTCTTTGCGGGATGGTTTTCGGGGATGTAACTCATATCAGGGTTAAGATCTGCATCGCTAACGTTTGATGGAAATTTGTTGTGGAACTGTGACTCCAAGATGTGCGGCTCGGACCTGTCATCTTCTGCCATTCGGACATCAAGGATGAAGATCTGCCACCAAAGGCGACGTCGCATTTCGGCTTCGAATGGTGCGATATTGGGGTTTGAATTCTCATCGTTCAGTCCATTTTCAAACGCTATTGTAATGGCAACCCTGGTCAGACTCTTGATGTCTGGTCCTTGTGCATCAAACCTGCCGCAAACCTGCATAAGACCATTAGTTATGAACTCTCTAGCTAGATAGGAAATCAGAATCCTACAGTATAGAGGGTAAATGCTTGTAGGACGGTTATGTCTGTTGATTTCTGGTAGTCTGCCTGGGTAAGAGCCGTCTCGATTGACTTTCGATACCTTGCTCGGTCAGCTGAGCGTCACTTTCTGCTTCACGGGTTGGGTTTACCTTTGTAGTGAAGTTGGTCTGTCACAGCCGAGCGCTTTCTTGCATTCTTCGGTAGTTAGGGCCACCACAGCCGTGTAATAAATTGCAAACAACAAGCAGTGAATTGGCGAGCTGTCGGATATTACCTCTTGGAGGAACTCAATAATTTGACGTTGAACACATGGTGCGTGAATTATTTTGAGAACTGGGTGCACTCTCTCTAAGTACGTCTGCCAAAGAAAGAATGTTGTAGTTGATGAGGGGTGAAGAGATTGCGAAGTATGCACAGCATACCCTCGACATGCGAAGTCTCGGTGTCTGCCCTGATATGGTCTTGCTGGACTCGCCTGAAGCTCGCGCACATCGCTTGTGGCCGGATGGTTGGACTTATTACTACTTAGATATGGTGGCTGTGGCCGTGTAGTCTGAACGACCTGCCAGATTTGCGACAAACTTTCCTCGCATGAAATCAATGTCCGCTCGATAGTCTCCACGCGAGTACCCAGCTCTTGGTCGGGTAGATCTTGACTGTCATTTCTGGATACACCTTTTCTCGGTGGATACGCGCACCTAACCTTGACCTTAACACAGTATGAGCAAGGAAGGGCTTTATCGCATTTGATCTTTCGGCGTCGGCACTCAAGGCAAGATTTACCAGTAGATGAAAGACGGGTCACGTCAGGTTGTATTTTCCTCTGCATATTGCAGTTGTCCTCGCAATAGAGACGACGAAAGACCTTCGCACCGGGCTGGTAGAATCGGTTGTTTAGAAATAAATCCCGCATTTCTAAGCATACCGTCAGGATTACCTTCGGAGAGCTTACACGACAGTGGAGCCCAAAAGAACAGCGGTCAACACGATTGGTGCAGTTGGGCTGTTATTCCCGACACATTCAGTCTCCGATTGGCTATGGCGGGAAAACGGTCAAATGTCCGCTTTACTAATCGCATCACATCAAGGATCCACCGTAAGTAGGTGTCGGTATTATCCATTTGAAATCGCATCCTTGGAAGGCGAGTATGATGATTCGAGTTGAATATATAAATATGCCTTTCTACTCGGTCCTATCTAGGTGGAACATCCATCAGAAACCTTGAAGCTAGAGGAATCAAACCATCAGACAAAACCGACTATCCAGCGAACATTTACAATGGCTACTATCTTGAAGAAAGTTGCAATTATCGGGGTAAGGAAGCCTTTAGGCTACATCTACTAGTTTCATATTCGGCGTAAGTTAACAATTCTCCAGGCCAGCGGCAATATTGGCAAGATCATTCTTGACAGTCTGGTTGTCTCAAACAAATTTACCATAACTGTGATCTCCCGCAAGGAGAGTGAGGTAGTCTTCCCTCAAGGCGTCACAGTTCTCAAGACCGACTTCTCAGTCAGTGGTCTGGAGGCTGCCTTTCAGGGACAAGATGCCGTGATCTCGGCAGTGGGAGCTACTGCTTTCAATGAACAGAAGGCACTAGTGGATGCGGCAATCGCCGCTGGGGTCCAGCGTTTCATCCCCTCGGAGTTCTCAGCCAACAGCCAGAGTGAGGCTGTACTGCAGTTGCTGCCACTATTTGGGCAGAAGAATGACGTGATCAAGTACCTGAAAAGTAAGGAATCTTCGGGCTTGTCCTGGACTGGCATTGCCACATCGGGATTGTTCGACTGGGTAAGTGATCTACTATGCCATGGAGTTTGCGTCCTGTTCTAATTAGTATGTCATCTCCAGGGCCTTCGCAATGGCTTCTTGGAATTCGACATTCCCAATCGCACAGCTACGATCTGGGATGGCGGGGACAAAAGCTTCACTCTGACCAACGAAAAGCAGCTGGGCCAGTCGGTGGTATCGGTCCTCGAAAATCCATGGGAGACTAGCAACCAGTACCTCTATGTCGCTTCTGTGGAGACAACCCAGAGAGAAATTGTCACGGCTCTGGAGAAGGTGACTGGGGCTAAATGGACTATCAAAGATACCACCACGGATGAGCAGGTTAGTGCCGCTGTCAAGAAGCTCACGGCCGGCGATTTCAGCGGCGCTTTCGCACTGGTCCGGGCCACGTGTTTTGGTAACACGCCCGGCCTCCATGCAAACTATGTCCAGGAGGAGAAGCTTGCAAATGGAATGCTGGGGCTGGAGATGGAAAGCGTCATGGATACTATCAAGCGGCTGTAACATAAGCTCATGGCCCTAGATACGGTCATCAATAGACATGATCCACCGAATGAGAACAATTCAGAAAGGGAAGTCCCCAGAAAAGCCCTGTGGCAAGGAATGTAAGCAATGTAAGAGGCAATCAAATAACGAAATATCTTTCGCTGCCCAAAAAGAAGTGATGGGTCAGCGCGTGGCAGACGATTGGCCGCGATGCGACATTGCGCTTGCCACAGTCATTTCGTCTGCAACAACGCTGTCAAGTAGTAAGTAAAGCTACTATGTCCTTTCTGGATGTTTAAAATTTGGGCGCGGCATTTCACTGCAGGGTAATCGGTGAATCAATTGAGTTTCAACGGTTCTTTGTCCACTTGGCGGGCACTGGATGAAGTCTTGACTCACAAGATCTCCGTGGTCCCACTCGCGATTGAATACCTTATCAGTTGCTTATTTGAGAAAGGTATCTTGACTTGCAAAAGGCTGACATTTCCTAGGACTCCCTCATATCGCAAGAAGCGTGATATGGTATGTCTTTGACCCTCCCCAATGTAACGTTCCTCAGATGTGCTCGGTGCCACTAGCTCTGTCGGCCAGCGCTTTATCCTGCTGCTGTCTGATCACCTCTTCCTGGAGCTCCACGCTGTTGGTGCCTCAAAGCGTTCCCATGGCAAGAAGTACAAGGATGCTGTCCGGTGGCGGCATTGCTCATGTCGGAGACGCTCAGCAACATCGTCCTGCGCGAGTGCAGTGCCGAGCAGTTCAAGGACTGTGACCTTGTCTTCTCTTGATTGAACAGCGACATCGCCGGCGAGACCGGTAGGGTCCCATGATATCATGTATTTTCTGCGTCATACTGATTATCTATGGTGACCGCATTTAGCAAGAAAGATATTCCAATCTGTTCCAACGCTAGGAACCACTGCAAGGACCCCATTGCGCCGTTGGTCGTTCCCACTGCCAACTTCCAACTTTGGATTTCATCCCTCACCAGCGCAAGCACTTCGGCCTGAAGAATGACTTCCTGGTGCGCAACTGGGATTGGGCCGTCTTTCGCGTTGGAATTCCTTTTGCTGCCCTCCAGGCCAACTTCGGCCATGTCGTGGAGGTGGACATATTCAGCGAGCAGGATACTTCAGTGCTGGCTACCCCGGTGTTCCAGATTGGACATTGTCGACAACGTTATTCCCTACATCAGCAGTGAGGAGGATAGGCTTGAGAACGAGGCCCACAAGATTCTCGGTAGCCTGACCGCGGAGGCCACCCAGCCTTCGACGAACAGACCGGCCAGAGCGTTCTCTAGAGCGGATTCGAGGGCCACCCTTGTCGACACACAAGTTGTTCAGCTGATCAAGCTTTGAGTCATCATAAAATGCCGACCCATGATCTGTCAATTTGGATGCTCAACTAACTCAGAGCTATTCAACATGCTTCTGCGGGTGTCATCAGCTGGCCACTATGAATATGCGCCGAATTCTTTGGGGCGTGCCCCTTCTCGGCTACACAGAGTTCGGTATTCTTCCTGCCTAGAGCTACTTGGAGATTTACATCATATTGGCCGCGATTCGCTTGTTACTGAGTCCTGCCACGGTTTCCTCTCCCAGTCTCAATGACTGCATGCCGGATCCCTCCACATGGGCCACAAGGGCATACCAACTAGCATCCCGCTGCCCCAGTTGAAATGCAGTCTTCCAGACTGCGAGAGCGGTTTTGAACGTCGAAAGCCCCTCGATCGTCATCTGGCAAGTCATTCGGGAGAAACACCCCATGTCTACTGGGCTCCTGGGTATCAGCGCATTTTCTCGCGTTGCCACAACCTCAGCGCCCATTATACAACGCACGAACACCTTGGAGGGCGCAATGATTTAATCTATAATCGTTACTTCTGTGGGCAGCTGACGCCTCAAGAGTGGCGGTCACGACCTCTCATATAGCCGACATATCCCAAAGCTCTGATATGTTATTTTACAATAGCAAAGCATCATAGTTCTCTCTCAGGGCAATGAGAAGGACCTCTGGTACCGGAAATATGACGCTTTATGAAAAGAAATGAAAAGAGACTGGGTAGAGTAAGAAAATGGTGTTTTAGATCCCGCGATGTCCATAGTAAATGCGGTACGGTTGATCTTAAAGTAAGCCTACAGCGAATCCGAATGGATATCTGGGGTCGTGCGCGACCACGACTCGCGCAGATAAAGCAGAATTGATCCAGATCCTAGACCAACAACTCAAAACGACCGAACCAGCTTGGTCTTCCAGGTCTACGGCCGGCGCCGACAGTAAAATGAAGGTACTGGCGGCCAACGATCTCGGTGGTGACACTGCATGTCGTGCCTCGGTGTTTAAACGTGCGGTTGTTGAGTCAACGCTGGACTGTTGACAAATCAGATTGAAAATATTCAAACTCTCCATTCGGATTGCCCTTTGCTTGGCACGATTGAGCGACCAATTTAAGCTCAGGTGGGGCTGTCAGTCGGCTGCATTAGCGTTCCGATCAATCCCGTTCCATGGTTGGCTACTGGGAAGAGTTCAGGCCAGGCAGGTGCTCAAATGGCCCAATCACAGGACATAGAAAACCCGCGCCCCGGTTGGTGTGGACCGGCTGTCAGTAGGAGGCATTAGCCTGAACTCTATTCTGTCCTGTAGGATCGGCATTTCGCCGCCGAGCCATGAAAGATTCTCGAGGAAGCCTGGATCGATCTGTCCATTCCTTACTACAAAGCTTCAACATGTTTTACGCAAGAAGTTTCCTCGTGTGCAGGCGATTTGGCTTGTATGAGATGATGTGCATGATAGTCCTTGTAATCAGAAAACCACACCATTCTACTAACTATATATCTCAGTATTCAGCCTAGCTATGCAATGTAGACCAGAAACTAAGCAGCCGAATGTGTAGATCGAAAGCCAAAATCTAGGAGAGGGAAGCAAATTCTGGTTCAGATCTAAAAGTCATGCCGCGTGGGTTTTGGTCAGGTACGGAGATACCCCAATCAGGGGGCGCGTTAATGCCTAATGGGCACGTAGGCTGCCTTTTATGATATCATTACCAACCCAGAATATTGAGGGTTGGGAGACGTCCAGATTTCAGACGGACGGACTGAAGCACTTAAATCCGAGAGTAACTTAACCCCTGATTGGTACCATAGTGAACAGTTTTAAAAGTAAGGAAATCATTTTTCAGGGCTAATTAGAGGTTCCATGCAGAAATTTTCTCTCTTTCCCTTCAACTGTACGGAATACTGTCCTGTTAATTCCGATAGTCGACTATAAAGGCACAGCTACTTACTCGCCGCTGTACCTGACATCTCATTTGTTCTTTCTATTGATACATGCATCCAAACGGACCTTTGAGAAGCAAGAACTACCCGCAGACAATTCCTTCTTGATGCTTAGCCTGATTCGTGAAGCCCCAGTAGGGCAACTGATTCGCTGGCTTAGCCGGAATCGACTGTTTCAATACCCTGAAGAAAAGATCGACTTCGCTCTTCCTCCTGCATACAAGCAGGCGTTCTCCAAATACAGCAAGTCTGAATCACAGTCATTGGATATCAACGTCCCGCCATCTTGCAATGAATGTGGCCAAAGCAACTCGCCATCTTGTCCGTCCGGATATCAGGGGGAACCCTCAAGTCGCCAGGAATGGGACGCGAAGAAAATTCACAAAGATATTGTTCCCAAGGAAACAGCAGACGGCATGATTGTTGTTGACTGGTACACGATCGACGACCCATCCAACCCTCAAGCTTGGACTCAAACCAAGAAGACTTTTGTTTCCTTCATTATCTTCATTTATACCTTCATTGTCTATACCGGCTCGGCGATCTACACATACTCGGAACAGGAGATTACAGAGCTTTTCGGGGTTTCTATCACTGCCGCCTCCCTTGGACTGTCCTTGTATGTCCTTGGGTACGGTGTCGGTCCTCTTATCTTCTCGCCACTATCTGAAATACCCTCGATCGGCCGATCGCCTGTATATTGTGTGACGATGTTCCTTTTCGTGATAATTTCCATTCCTCTTCCAATGGTGGAAAACTTTGCTGGACTTCTCGTCCTTCGCTTCCTGCAAGGTTTCTTCGGCAGCCCCTGTCTAGCCACCGGAGGTGCTACAATGCAAGACATATACTCGGCTACGTATCTTCCATTCGCCCTCAGTGTATGGGTGACAGCAGCGTACTGTGGTCCTGCACTTGGTCCGCTGCTATCTGGATTTGCGGTGGATAAGATTGGTTGGCGATGGTCCTTATGGGAGATATTATGGGGCGCCGCACCGGTCTTTGCAGTGATGTTTCTCTTCCTCCCGGAGACATCAACACCTACTCTGTTACGTCGCCGAGCACGGCATCTTCGGTCACTGGTGGGATCACATCGCCTGATGTCCCAATCTGAAATTGATCAAAAAGAGCTTAAGCCCCTTGCTGTGGCGATAGAGGCGGTTATCAAACCGCTCGAGATCTCTATTAAGGACCCAGCTATTCTCTTCGTACAGCTGTACACAGCTATTGTTTATGGGATCTATTACTCGGTACGTTTTCCTGTTTTTAAATCGCACCACGCTTATTAATAATTTGAAAGTTTTTTGAAGTGTTTCCTCTGGTGTATATTCCCATGTACGGTTTCACCCAGGGCACCATTGGGCTCGTTTTCCTCTGCATCTTCGTCGCCTGTTTACTGGGTATTCTGGCATACTTTGCCTACCTCCGGTTCTATCTTATGCCGAGGCTGGAACGTGGCCCAGCTAAACCCCAAGAGAGTCGTCTCGTTCCTGCTCTGGTCGGTTCTTTTGGACCAACAGCGGGACTGTTTCTCTTTGGTTGGACTGCAAACCCACGTATCCATTGGATTGTGCCCACGATCGGAATTACGATATACAGCGGATCTGCATTTGTTGTCTTGCAGTCTGTGTTTGTCTATGTTCCAATGTCATACCCGAAGTATGCAGCGTCACTATTCGCGGCCAACGACTTTTTCCGCTCAGCAATGGCCTGTGGCTCTATTTTGTATGCGCAGCCGATGTTCATCAACTTGGGTATCGCCCGTGGAATAAGCCTATTGGCTGGGCTTAGCACCCTTGGAATTCTTGGAATATTCTTCCTTTATAGATATGGTTCTATGTTACGGGAAAAGTCGAAATTTGCAGAATCTTGACACGGTGGTTGTTAGGACAGAGCTCGGCTAGAAGGTCCAGGTACAGTGCTTTTGAAAAGAATGACTGAACTTAAATGGCGTTGGGGGCAAGGATCATAAGGTTAGACAAAGATTAGACTTGATTGTTAGAGACAAAACTGAGGCCAAGCATAGTAGAAGTCTCGGGTGATTTGACCCTACTGGTTCCAAAATTTCATGCGCATACCCCGGCTTCTTGGGGGTGCTTTCCCATAAAAGAATATTCACTAGCTCTGCACGTACTCGGAAGGTATTGTTCACATCAAATACGGCCGTTGGGTATTCTGTTTGGTAGACTAGTTGGCAGAGCTACGCAAGGTTACACTGCCGCCTGGTTATCTATTCTTAATAGACGCTATTCAATACAACTACTATGCTAATCATTGTGTTCAAAAGTGGTTCCAGGTACCTTTGTAGAACCAAAAAGCCAAACACTGCTGGCTACCTAGTCGAATCAACCAGCTCCGAGGCTTGGGAGACATTTCCTTTTTCAAGCAGTTTATGGGAACGGAAAGGTTCTGTTACTATGACTGTTTCAAGTATTTGGATCGGTAACTCCGCATTTATTCCATATTTCTCCATGCTCTCTTGTCGCCAGTAATCTCGCGTACCTAGGCGTGTTGCACCTACTTTCCACGCAGTTTTAGGAATATATGCCCTCTAATTATTAATAATAACAGAATCAAAAGCGCGGGCGGGATTATTCCCAATCAGTATAGTTGAGTCCAAGCGTTCCCATGCATGGAGGGGTTGAGGTTTATCTCAGAATACAACTGGCCATGGGTTCGATCTGAAGCGCATAATCAATCACTACTCCTGTTCGACCACTTCCTGAATTCTTGATGGGCCATCATGACTGAGACTTGTGCCATGCCAGACATGCAAAGCGGGCTCACCCCGAGTGCCTCGCCAATGATTTGTCGACTCAAGCAGACTCTGGCACCCTTCGACGACCCACGGCCATTTCTGCGCAAAGGCCGGAGAAATTTCCCAGCCGTGCGGGTCCCACGGCTGTCCCCATACAGTAACGCCTCCCCTTCCGCCAGCCACTTGCTGAAACCCTCTCATATCGCGACAAAGTTGAGCCGCATCGTATGAGTCCGCGCTCCGGCGTAGAAGATTATCGCGGAGGTCGGACACAGGTAAGAGATCGATCCAGGGGTGGTGAGGAATGGTGAGCTGAAAAATGGTCGGCTGCAGACTCGGAGGCAAAGAGTCGATAAATGTGGTTTCGACGCCCGTAGATGCAAAGCGAGATCGGGCTTGCCGAGACATAAGTCGCGTGGTGAGGCCGAGGGTCTTCGCATTCGCCACTAGAGCGCGTGTTATGTTAAATTGGACCAGGCTTAGCAGGGATTCTGTGCCAGGCGAGCCTCTGAGATATTCTCCATGCATCCATGCAGAGAAATGAAGAATGAAATGCTCGGTTAGTTCAGAGTCCGGTTTGCAAGCTGTGAAAGAGCTGATATCCATGAAATTGGGATTGCAAGAGCAGATGGCTAGATGGGAGCCAGAGTGAGGCCGCGGAGCATTCCATTCGCCCAGTGGCTCGTAAGGAACCACGCCTGCATCTGCTGAAACTCTTGGTGTATGTAAAGCACACTTATTTTGCCAGTATCCAGCCCTCTTTCGTTGTCCTTTAAGCAGGAGAGCATCAAGTTAACAGTCAGTCAATGACATTTGATAGCGAGCACGGTGAGGAGACTGACGAAGAATACGCTGGTTGATTCGATCTTGAAGCTTCTTCCTCTCCTTCGGATCAGCCATGCCAGTCCAATCATCTTCTGGCCTAGCGACCAGCTGGTGGGTCGTAGGTTGTACAAGAAGGTCTTGTTGACTCATTGTTGGACTTGGATTATAAAATCATCGATCGAGAAAACGGGAAATCTGCGGTTGTGGCCTTTTGTCTATGGGGTCCTTTCCACTTTACCATAAGTTCTTGTTCTGCGACAACGGAAATTTATAATCCCTGTGGCAAATGCAGATAATCAATGCAGGTACTCGCCAATGACGACTCCACTCGCAGCAAATCACGGGTCCAACCCAAACCGGGCCGACTTTCGCCCGTTTGTTCCGGTCCGCGCAGCCACCGCCTGGGTTCGCCTTGTTTCATCATACAAAAAGAAAACCACATCAGTCGGCAACTAGTCGAAGTCATAGCCTAGAGTGTTTGATGTAGAGTCGCGAATTGGGTGGTCTAGAGTGGCTTAGAAAACTGGCCTTCAGTTGGACAACTTTGATTCCTTGGGCATTATGTACATGCTGCAACTTTTGACTAAGTTATTGAGCACATAAAAACAATGGGCACTAGAATTTCCCCTGTTGCCGCGTAAGTTGAACTAACGATCAAGGTAGCTTAGCAGGCATTTGTTGCCTAGTGGACCAACTATTAGGTATCTGAGACTAGATCCTGTCTATGTTCTCGATTTACTAGCTATTTTGGTTCAGTAATGCTCCATGTAACAAAATGAAGTTAAAATACAAAATACCAGGTAGGTATGTGAAACAAATAAAAATGGAACAGGCCTCTTGTCCCATATCGTATTCATCGGCCTGGCACCTAATTGGGAGACACTGGAAGGAGCTACTTATCTACCTTTTCTAATATCGACCCTTGCGACAATACCGCCAGCGACCGTAAGATTGGATCCAGGAGCAGCATTAAATATCCCTGCGGAGGAAATATAAAGACTGTCCCGATCGAACAGAGTTCGACCTACCGATACAGAAGATGCTGATGCCAGATAGGATGATTCGACAACAACCTGCGCACTTTTCCCAGGAATATCTACCTTGAGCAGAGAGTTTTGGCCGCCGTTCATCGCAATCCATGCACTTTGGCCATCCGAAGAAACGACAAAGTCATCGCCATGTATACCATCAATGATAACTTCAATTGGACCGGTAGGTAAGCCAGTGGATAAAGAGACAGGTATCCGGCCAAATATGCCCTTGTTCAGGTTGGTGAAAAACAGATGTGAACCTCGCACATGGATCCCATTCACGGCAACTTGTAAACCCCCGGGGGAATTCTTGAGGGCGTCGTCATTGATGATTTCTTGGTATGAGCCAGTATGCGCGTCCAGTTTGAAGATTACCCCTGCCTGCGAATCTGCAATCAAGAGTGATTTCTCATCCTGGTGTGCCAATCGACATATGCCATTCAGCAATTGCGCTCTGGTGATATTGGCCACGAGTGAAACAGGTGTCGTTGTCTTTGCTGTCTTGTTCGACCCGAAAGACAAACCGTGGTCGCGCATGTCGACTTTCCAGACAGCGTTGGAGCTTGGGACTCCTTCGATAGGGGAGCTCAGATTTGCGCTAACCACATAGAAGATGTCCTCTTCCAGTTCCACAATACCAAGCAATCCGGTTGAATAAGGGATATCAGCAACGCTTATCATTGCATCCTTATGAAATGGGTCAACCTGGTAGAGTTTTGGGGAGGCAGTGGAAGTCAATAGAAGTTGGCCGTTGTGTCTGGTTGCAATGTTTTCAAAGGTCGGTGGCTGGGCAACGCTGTTGATCACAGTAAGGGCGTAGGTTGTGGTAGCATGCCATGGGAAGGCGAGAGAGAGAGGGAAGAGAGTGCAGAGCCACAATATGTATTGGAGGGTTGGACATAGTAACATTTTTGAATGGATGATTGCTTGGACAATATTGGACGTTTACGAATGATAACTTGACTCGAGTTCACTGATAGGGTCTTTATATATCGCGGGTTTACATAACCATACGCTCACAAGAAAATACCACACTACATTTTCGGGCTAGCGGCTCGAATGAGATTTTCTCCCTTTAAAGTTAAATTCTATTCCCAGGATTTCTTGATCGAAGATTGCAGAGAATTTGGCTCATATGCGGTCAATAACCGTAATACGCACCGATTCTCGGCAAATATATGCAGGTATTTGTGCTTTGGCATGAACGAAGAAGCACAACAATGTTGGTATCAAGGCTAACAATTGCCATATGAACGTAGATTCAGGAAGAGCCAATTCCCATTATGTCAGCTATAATTTGGTGGCGTTAAGCCTAGTGGGGCTGCTGTGATAGATGGAGTCTAATGGAAGTGAAGGTTATGCCAAGTAATCTGCGTGAGTCTTTCTATAAAGAATATTCCTTCTGGCGATGACGCAATGTCTTATGAAACACAAACAAGACGATGACAAATGAACAACGTTGCCTCACCCAGGCAATGTAATTTAGTTCTAAGAAAATAGTTCCACGGCCGGTCCTCCAATTTCCATGCAGAGCGGTTAGTGGATTCCGTGCTCGTCCCTCGCATGAAAATCCCTCGAATGGGTTTATGCAAACTCCGCGAAATTAGCTAACCCGATGATGTACAGCAGTGCCGCATTTTCCCAAAGTAACAGGTTTTCCCAAAGTAACAGGTAATGGGTTCTATTTGTCAGCCGTGAAATAGACAACCAAGCAATTGATGGCTCCGTGCTTCATGAAATGATTGGCCGATTAATTTAAGCTCGGTGGGGTCTGTCAGCATTTAGCGTTCCCGTTTCTTTCCATGGTCGAGTCTATGTGAACATCCAAACCCCGTCTGTAGCAAGAACCCAATTCCATTTTAGTTGGTCCTATTGTTATTTAGTATGTAACTTCTTTGGCTTACGCGGGGCTTTATTAAACCGAGAACCTAGACACGATTTGAGTTCAGATACTCAATTATGGACTAACAGAGTAGTGAATGCTTACGAAGCTACCAAAATTGTTGATTCGACTTTGATGGCAACAAGGAAGATTCAGCGACCATTTCTATTCTATTAACCCTCAAATCTTTGCCAAGTGTGCGTAAAGCCTAAACAATGAAATCCGTCCTACTGAAGGCCAGTGCCTAAGCCATTCAATACTATCCAATTCGCCTTTCGAGCTCCAAGAACAGATTACCCTCTTTTAACGGATGCACACACCATTTACAGATCAATTCCATGCTGAATTTCTTTGGACCAACTCCCCACAGTGAAAGGATCCGGTTTAGACTTGAGACTTCCATTTTCCAGAGCTTGTGGGACCAACTTGCCCCATATCCATTCACCAATACTGCTGTGTGGGTCATTTATTATCGAGTATGCAGCACTGTAGAGATAGTCGAGCTAGTTGCTCTCGTACAGGATTGCCAAATTGGCATCATTCAAAAACTTACCATACTTCGGAGCAAATCGTTCAGTAGGCTGATCTTGCGGCTGGACGCTAACAAGTTTATTTCAAGGCTCGAATCGGGGGTATTGAGTCTGCTCTGTTTGCCGACACAACGGTACGTGGCTTGATAGTTTCTACAAGCACTGCTGATCATCAGAGTTTATGCTAAACAGTAAAAAAGCGCTTTTATGTCGCCCCTGTGTCAGGCGTTCAGCACGCACCTCCTCCCTGTTTACTCTCAAGACCTACAGTACGTTCCTGCGTCATCAAGAAGATCCAGGCCTTTTCCATACCTAGGTGACTTGAATACTTAATATTTGAGGGTGTTTACTAGATACGATTCAACTCAATTAGGAATTGTGTTAACACATTGGGTTGCTCAGAAAAGGAAGTGTTGCTTTACAAACAACAATAATTTTGGGCTGGGCCAAGTGGGCATTTCGGAGTACACTACTCGTGAGTGCAAGAGCCCCTCAACCAGTTGCATCGCGCAATTGGGCCATTTGATATGTCTAATTATGACAACATTGTTTCGAACCCGCTGGCAACCCGTTACGTTGCCAAATTCATGCACCAAACCGGCCTGCTTGCTCAATTTCAACACGCTGAGCAAGAGTCCGATGATGAAGCTGAAGACCTGAACCTAGAGGTCATGGAGCAGAGTCCCGAAGACGCTGGGCACTCACCAATGCTTGCCAACACCGTCGAGGGTGGAGAGAACCTCGATGAGCTATTCGAATATACGGTGCCCGCATGGGCAATGAATAACAAACCACCCAATTGAGGAAGAAGTGAGGATGTCAGAGAACGAGGTCTGATCTTGCCTAGTGCTTACTAGGTATGGTCTCTGATGCGGAGGTGTGTACATGTCTCGTGAGAAGGAGAGGAAATTGGAGAGGTGGGGGTGCATCCACGCGCTCATTTTTATATTCATTGCTTATTAGCGTTGAATTTCTCATTTGTACTGCGATTTGTATGGATTTTATGGGTTTGGCTTACATGTACGGGCTGGTGCTCCCACTCTTTGAGAACCAGCCTCACTTTTTGTACTGGAGCATGATCAGGCGTACGGACACGAGTTCTTGCTTCAACCGGATAGAAGCGCCTGCATAGCCATTACGATACTAGTTAGGCTCCAACAGGTTAATAGAACTTTGATTGATTGATTGATTGAAGAGCCCCTCAGGCGAATGACGCAAACTTTGCACCTTGAGGTTATAGCAGAGTCCGTTAGATTTGAGACCGTTTATGCCACAAAAGTGTATCCATTCCAATGGCTGCAAAGCACCGAATTTCAAAACAAAGTTCCACCCACCTGTTATCTCCCTTAACCCCCTATCGGAAACAAGTTAAAAATTGTCCGCCTTGCTTCGATGACTTCTATGCCAGGCAAGGCAACAACATCGTATATATATGTACATATATTTTGCAAGAGCAAGTATATTTTGTAAAGGTTCACCCGAGAAGCAACGGAAAGGTTTTGAGTTTCCAGAAGGATCTGGATATGGTGAACCAGCTCACTCCAGAAGTTTATTGATCTTCTCAAAACACGAGCATGGTGCAATTGATATTGCTTTCTATCTCAACAGAAGTCTAAAAAGTAATTTTAAAACAACAATGGGGTGGACGAAGATCTTTCTGTGGGCTGAAAAGCCAGTACTTGGCAAAATCATGGTTCGAACCCTTAAGTTTGACAGCTCAATAGTCAAGTTCAAAGCGAACTAACGGCTTATCAGAGGCCATCATCTTCATGAAGCCTTTGGGGCTATCCTCAGCAAAGAACAACTCTCCAGATGCCACACTCCTTGTGATAACGTCAATGGCATACGGGAACATTTCCTTTTCATATTCCGCGACAGCCTGCGAGCTTACTCCGAATTGTTTAAGCTTCTGCGCAAGAATGAGCGAGTCACGCATTGCGAAATTGACACCATCGCCGACGAATGGGGTGGTCACATGCGCCGCATCTCCGATCAATGTGGCGCCGGGAGCTGGTTGCCAGTTGAGGTGCTCGGTTGGAAAATAGTACAGCGGCCAAGTGCGGAAAGGGCCTTCTGATGCATTAATCAGGTCATGCACTAATGGCATATGCCTTCCAAAATGCTCGTCCCGGAGGAGATATTTCTTCACCGCTTGTTCGTCGGATAGGTCAACTTCTCCATTTACTGGGAAGTCCTCAGGCCCTAACCACCCGAAGTCCACCCTATAATGACTATCGCCCTGGCGCTGAATCCAAATCTTCTTACGCTTTCCTGTGACTATCATCGGTCCTTGTCCTGCCAATTGTTCAAGATCTGCATGATACGAATTGCTAGGACGAACGAACAGCGTGAGAAATACCATGCCAGCGTATTGAGGCTCCGCTGCGGTCACCTAAAGACAGTTAAAAGACAATCAAGTTTTCGGAAATGCCTATCTTACCAAATGGCGAATTTTGCTTCGTAGACCATCGGCACCAACTACAAGCTTGAATCCAGATGTCGTTGTGCCATCGGTAAAGTTCAGTTGGACCTCTCCATTCTCATTCCTGCTTGAGCTCTGGACGCCTGCCGACCAGCGTATTTTGTGTTTCGGGACAGATGATAGCAGAACTCGCTTCAATTGTGCGCGATCAATCTCAGGCGAGTCACGTCCTTCTCCGAAGGGAAAAAGCTTATTGCCTTCATAGTCCCAAAGCCAATGGATGGTGGCATAGCCCCCTCTCGCATACTTTTTGAATTCCTCGAAGCATCCGGCCTCCTTGAGGACAACTTGACCGCTGCTGCGATGTATGTCTAAACACCCCCGCGAGGCGGAACATCCTCGCGGCTTCGCTCATAAACGACGTAGTCAATGCCGTACTGTTCAAGGACACCGGCGAGTGCTAGACCCGATGGTCCACCGCCAACAATCGCGATTTCCGGTACCATGGCTGCTTCTCAAAATGGTCCTGAGAGCAAATCTTGAAGATAGATGATGGGTAAATATGCAACACAATACAAATAGAGCCAAACCCTTGGATGGTTTGAAGACCTTTAAATACCCAGGAAATGAAGAAACTAGGAACCCCACTCTTTGAAAAGAAAAGGACAAGACTTCCCGCAACAAATCTGCTGCGACGTGATGAGACATGCCTTTCTTCTTTTGCTCGACTTACTGGACCAATCGCAGTATCCGGCGCTCTCTCATACTGTCGATCCCTTGCTACTGATGGTTTATTTTGCGCTACGGCCAATCATAACCTAGCGGAATAGAAATGCTAGGGTCCATCTTGGAATCTAGCTCCACTGTCGGAAATAAGTATTTTGAGTAACTTAGTGGATTTCTAATTTACACTATTGGAGTATGCAGCTCGCTTTCTGGTGTTAACTCCGCCCGAATATAGGCCCTCATCCTCCAAAAAAGGAAAAAAAAAAAAAAAAGAAACCACCTCATGGTTTTAAACCATTGCTAATCCGAGAATCTCCTGCAGGTTCCGCTCCTCTAGCGGAGAATAATGGCCAATCACTTTCAAGCTGCTTTCTTGGGACCAGACATTAGGTTAAAATCCCCGTTAATCAATAGCCTTGGCTGTCGGTCATCGGAACTGACAAGGAGAAACAGGCACATAGGCATGATCCGTCACTTTTTCCAATAGTCCAGTGAGACCATGTGGCAGTAAGCTCGCGGTTCAGAAACTCCTCGGAATTGCCTTGAAAGTTTGCAGCGGACTGGAGAAGACTAGCGCATGGTAATTTTATACACTAGAAAGGCTAGTTTTTTTTAGTAGATAGTAAATCCGGCTGAAGCAACTTTTCCCTGCTATTCGCTGTCCACACATTATACAACAACGCAAGTTTCGTTGACTGAAACTTGAATACGTATCATCACACATCATATATAGTCTAGCTACAGGCAACTCCGCCTTCCAGAAGGACAGTCAGGTTGCAATGAACACGGATTCTCCAACCAAGCCTGAAGATGCCTATGTCGAGGTTAAAGCACCTTTGTTGGACAGGAAGACGGCTATAAAGCATGTGAGGCACCCAGCACAAGATGGAGTCTCGTTATTTCTACAAATTGGGATTTTAATTGCTGTTTGCTTTCCAGGGGGGCCTGCGCTCCTTGATCCTCCATGACCTCTCTAGTCCCGGAAGAACCACGGTTAGCCGTTGGCTCCACGCAAGGTGATATCAAGATTCCATATTTATGACTATAATGCAAGAGTCATGTTCTTTGTTTGCTCCTAGGTTCCAATCATGGAAACTTACAAATCATATCCTGATTGTTAAAAGAAAACTACCAAAGTGATTTGATAGCCAGACCAGAATTTCTTAGCCGTTGGGCTTCATATTCAATTGGCTTAGCCGCGGCTCTCGAATACCTCTTCACAAATGATATTGCTCCATCCATAAGCTCCTGTCTTGCTCGATGACGAGCAGTTGGGCATATAGCAGACCCCTGTCGGTGTATGACTGGTTGGAAGTCTATCAGCCGGTAGTAGACCCTTTCCATCACGATGAGAATCAAGTTTGACAAAAAGTCGAAAACAGCGTAAAGAAGATTTGGGTAGAGAGGCTGAGTGGAGTCAGACAATGTGTTATCGATAGGTCGTGGCCATCTCTGTTCGAGATACCATGCTTCGAACTTGTCATGCTGGGTCAGCATACGACTGGTGATGTCCTTGATTTCAAACAGACAAGGTTCTGCTCTAGTCAGTTGCCGTGCCAGTACACTAGACGCTTCCGCCAAAAGCACTGGTACATCTAACAACTGGCTGCAAAGCTGCAGTCGTACTGCGATCCCGTTGTCTAAGTTGTCCATCAGGTGTCGCCAGTCCGGCTGTGCCAAGAAGGACGGCTGGTATTCCATAGTATCATGTATCAACTAGAGAATCGATTTTGGTTGCGTCAGTTATTTCCACAGAAAGAGAAGCCAGCACCATTTTCTTTGTGAGACTGACAATGAAACCCTGCTGCGATTCAAGCAACTCCCTTTCAAATTGTTCTGGGAATCCGTTAGGTCCACGTTCTTCGATAAGACGCTTCGACCCTTGGCAAAGATCAATCCATTGGCCAAAGTCCTTATTCAACAGAAGCTGCGAGAAATTAAGGTCAAACATGAACAATCAGGTTTGCCGAGTTTCAGCAAATGTGGAAGGGTCGCCCAAACCTCGCATAGTTGTAGGATTATGGACGCACACAGCGTCTCCGCATGCCGTCGTAACCGCGGGTTGTCAAGCACACCGCGCAGCGTTTGCAGACTTTTTACATATTCTTCAATGATCGCGGCGGTGGCTTTCGACTGTCCTGACATAAAGTGTATGAAGACGTTGCACATGCACGAAACAGCTGAGTCCAAAGCCGCATTGTGACCTAACCGACTAGGGATGATTGAATAGAAGCTGCCGTGGGATGCGAGAGGAAAGATTGCCTGGCTCCGGGGATTTTCCAGCAAGTAGACTAACACGGACGAGATCTTCTCACCCACCAAGTGCAAATTTAAGTCCCAAAGCACAGTCTCTTGGCTATTTGAGGGAGTCTTCGAGCAATCAAGGTAGTTCTCCTCGAAAATATACCATTTCTTAGAGTAGAGCTTTGCCATGGCATCAGTCTGGTCGACGAATTTCCATTGGCGGAGATAACCCGGACAGATCCAGCCAGCTTTCTCGCAGGCTATGCACTTGGGCTCTTCTCTTCCACACTAGTATGGTCATTATGAGATCAGTAAATGACCGACAAGAAAAAGGCGCAACAGCCCGGCCAATAGATAGTCCTCTACCTTCTTTTTCCTTTTCCGACAATTTTCGCACCCTTGACTCCGAGGCCTTCCGACCATATTATTGTCCCATGTGAGGGGTCCCTGCCATGCAGCACAATATCAAAAACGCTCCGCTTCAGGGGGTAGCAGAAGTTTGACTGGTATTAATGAGATTTGGCTAGTGGTGAACTCGGGGCTTTGAATTGATGCAAAGCTGTGACAGAGTGGATGCGGACCCTTCGGATTTAGCAAGTATTGAGGAATATCCGCGGATTGCCCCTTCTCGTATGGGCCGTGGAGAGGGCCATTGAGTCCTTAGTGTCGCTCAGAGACACTTTGCTGATCATTCGATCCTTTCCCGAGCAATGAAAGAAAGTGGATAGGTCTAAATCATTCTTTAATAATCTTTCGGCCTTCGGTAAGATACAAGCTCCGAACTGATTCCGTTGAGTGATTAAAGTGGGGGATTTCGTTCATTAAAGACTAAATAATTTCCCATCGGTTTTGGACTTGTGGCTTTTAACACTATTGATGCTCCTGTGCCAATACTACCCGTTCTACATCGGTAACCAAAATGTCCGACTGCTGCTTGCGAGGCTTTCAATGGAATGCTAAGCCTAAGGGGCGAGAGGCGACTCTTGCGGGTCTAGACTGTTATATGACGGGTTCAAGCCCTGAAGTAGCAATCTTACTGTTGCACGATCTTTATGGTTGGACTTTCACCAACACTCGGCTTCTGGCAGATCATTACGCTGAGGAGGTTGGGGCTACAGTTTACATACCTGATCTGTAATATAAAATCCCCCCCCCCCCCCCCCCCCCGCCTTCTTATCCCAACACAGTCGAGAGACACATGACTCATCATTTTAGCAGATTTGGTGGCGAGATTCACCCACTGGATATCCTGCAAGATCAGACTCAGTGGGATAAACTTGATCTCCCGGCTTTCCTGGAGCGAAACGCCAAACACATCCGAGAGCCCCAGGTTATCGAATGCGCAAAGATACTCCGCTCTCAGCACAGACGGATAGGAGCAATTGGGTTTTGCTATGGAGGGTGGGCTGCATTTCGTTTGGGAGGAAACAGTGGCCTTGTCGACTGCATCTCCACTGCTCATCCTTCTCTCCTGGAGAAATGCGAAATCAAAGCAGTTACGGTGCCAGTGCAAATTCTGGCCCCCGAGATTGACCCGATGTTTACAGATGAGCTGAAGGCATTCAGCAATCAAACGATTCCGAAGCAAGGGGTAGCATATGACTATCAGTACTTCCCAGGTCTCGAACATGCTTTTGCATCTCGTGGGGATCCTAATAATCCGGCGGAAAGAAAGGGGATGGAAAGGGCAAAAAACTCAGCCGTCTTTTGGTTTCGACAATGGTTGCTTGACGTGTGAGATCATGGTAATATACCAAGTGGCATTTCAGAATAGAAGAAGCATGGATTCCGTTACATGAGTCCGAAGTATTAGAGTCTTTTGTTGTCGACAATATCCTATAGCGCATGGTGCATGAATGAAATTAGTAAAATACTCATTCTCTGGCACTGTGTTATGTCTTGTATGTACAGTGCAGTACGGTGCGAAGGTCCCTTCCAGTGTACAACTCGTTTTCGGGCACAGGGATAAATGACTGCAAAGTACAGAATTATTCTTCTCCCCTAGAAGGATCCTTTTTGTCTGTCAGCTAGTTCGCACATTTGACAGGCTAATTTACAACCATGAGAAGCGTTGCTCACGTGGGGGACCCACGGGACTTATGGGAGTATAGGACAAAATCCTTTTAGTCCTAAGGGAGGATGGGAACAGGAAATGGGACTTATAAAGTTCCGCTCTCGTGGGAGTTTGGAAGGTCCGTGTGAGGCGCTACTGGTTCTAAAGTCCGATATGCTATAGGGATATCTTTTTGGTTTGGCGTATTCTCTTGTCTTTATCTCGGATGACATCCTTATTTGCCTGCGCTCTGAAAACATATTCGCTTTTTCTAAATGTTTGCGGCGTTTGTCTTTGGTGATATTGTCTTATTGAGCAAAGAGTTTCCTACCTATGATTGAGCTATTACCGAAGGAAATGCTAGGATAGGACTAGAATCCTGAAACAATGAAGGAGAAGGTAAAGACAAACTGTGTGGGTGGTACAGCGATGGGATAAAGCTTCAATTATATCTAAGATTTGACGTACGGTACGGCCCGTACGGGCAACTCCAGATAAGTAACAAAATTGGGGTAGACGTGAGTGTTTTGCCACTCGGCTTGATATAAAATATCTGGCCCAGGAAGAGAAACATATGATAGATCGTTCCAAGCATACCGTCATTAACAGGACTCTAGGGACAACCCATCTTAATTTCATCTGTGACCATCCTAACGGTTTCATAAGTCACATTGCATGGCAGCCAATCTAACTACCTTGTGATTGCCACATAGGAAATCCATTCCGGGTTGTCCCTAACTGGGATGGCCAGAGACAGCCACAACGGTAAGCTTAATTTTCTAAAACTCCTTCAATCCAGGGCTTGAATAGCATTCACATGGTAATAACTACTTCCTAGATAAGTAACCTTGGGTCACACAATGACGAGCAAAAAGGTCATGGCGATCTTGCCATAATAGGAAGGGTCTTGCATTGAGCCAGGAGTGCATGTGTGCTTGTTGCACTTTCTTCTTGAGTACGGGACGGATTTGGCCATAGAATGGCTGGAGTGAACAGCGCAAACAATTTCCCCGGATATTGGTGCAACTTCATCATCTGCAGTACCTATACTGGGCCATGACTGATCAAAATTCTTCAACCTTCTTGTATTAGCCGCCAACTCGGGTTTCGGACGTCTTCCGTGTGCTAACGCACGCTATGGACATTCACGGTGCTAAGGTCCCGGTCGGAAAGGAGAGGTATTCTCGGATCCCCGAGTGCGAGGCCAGAGCGATCCCGAGAATCGGGTTACGTGGACTATGCAAGTGGGTAAGGAATAGATTGGGATCTATCGTTCTCGACTGGTCGAGTGATAAGGAGGTATCTTGCAGGTATCTTGCGGGCATCTTGCATGCATGACGATGTTTCGCCTTGCGCGTGATTTCCCATGTCAAAGGCACACAAGGGGCTGGACCAGTTCCCAATTACATTACAGATACGCTTGAGATAACATAGAGAGCATGTCAGACACCATGCAGCACTGAGTCAACATGGAAGGCTAGAAAAACGGTTGCTCCACTGATCTACTTCTACCTCCGATCTTGAAGATCCTTTTTCAACCATACCCCGATACCAGCACACCCCTTTGACGGCCATGAGACTCTTTTGGCTACTTTGTGATACCTCATGGGCCTGTGGAACCAACTAGTCTCTTCAACGAGCTCGGCTCCCTTCTCTACCCTTTGGGACTTGTCTGTTCGCAACGGTCGGGATCTTGTAATGTGTGTCGATATCCCACGATCCAGAACCTTGGCCCTGATGCAAATCACCCTTTTTCAGGTCAGAAAAACTGGGTCTATTTCAACTAACGCGTCAATCTCCCGTAAAGTACCCACCAAGGGAGGTCTTCCGTATCTATTGTAAACCATTGCGCCCTGACATACCTTGACCCATCCTCTACTCTGGTCGTCAAACTTGCCAGCTGGTCTACCGTGGCAAAAAGCAAAAATAAAATAAAACCCTAAAAACGAAAGCAGGAGAGCCCGCGGAAGTGGCCCCTTCGTGGCTACACGGGATCATCATGGCGACGAAATCCCACCAATCCATCCTTGTGTCTGTAGTTCTTCCTGATATGGTCCGTGTGCTTCCAACAAACTCGGAAAAGTCTGTTCTCTTACTGTTTTCAAGCGCAGAACGTCGTAAATAGAGAAACCCTTCCCGGACTATAATCTATGTTCGTTTTATATCAGTCTACTCTCCCCCCCCCGGCACACAAACCCCTTCCTCCGAGGTTGCAGACGTCTTTATTTTCCGATACGGTATCCTGTTATCTATCATTATGTACTCGTGACATAGTTCTCATTCCTCGCAGGTCTTCCGCCGATCTTGACCCCCTTTCCGAAGAAACCTCACAGTGTGTGGGTTTCTTTCAGTCTTGTGCTTTTTTTCTAGAGATTGCGAATTTTCTATGCTCTGCATTGAACAAAGTCGGCTCTTTCTCTCTATGAAGTTGAAGCTATCAGGCTAAGCTCCCCAGTTAGCTCACATATCTGACTGTTGCCGGGTTACAGTTAGCGCTACAGCGCGTGCTGCTCTCTAAAAGCTCGGTCACCGAAGAGACCTGTGAGCTCCACTGAGTAACCAAGTGATAAGAAGCTTTTATTTTAAGAAAATAAGGAAAACACCCAAATGGCGGGGGTTATTTTGACCTTCCGATCTCCTCCCGCCGTTCTACCTCTGACGTTAAACCAACATCAGGCTTGCGTGCCTCGCTGCCCGGTTATAGTTTTGACAAGTTGTCTCGGCAGAGCCTGAATGGCGCACGGGACAAGCATTGGAATGCAGGCATTCCCTGCACGACTCAGACTCAGTTGAAACTCGCCTGCGAATCCGAGAGCGAACCCACAGCGATCGACTCCCGACTCTACCGAAGGGGTTGTGAGCTGCCGCAACTACCACTACCCACGGCCAACATTCCAGCTATCCAGGAAACGAGCTCCCCAAGCCCCTCACTGGTGCCCCTAGGGGCCGATGGCCTCACCTGCGCGTCAGTAGATGTCACTAGCCTGACGATCAACACCAGGACCAGCTTTGGGACTGTAGGGGAGCTCCATGAGCGTACGAATGTCAAGGGGGCTATCTACTTCGCACATGAAAAGGCCCATCGCCTCGCATCCCTTCTCAGTCCTCAAAAATGTCCGAAGCAAAGTCGATCTTTGTCTTCAATCGCCTCCACTCCTACTGAGGCGGCATTCGCTGAAGATGGGGATAAGTCTCCTATAATCTCTTTTCCTGAGAAACAACTCTTCGACGATTTAATACATGACAATGAATCGGCCTTCCTAGACGGGCGATCAACACCGCACATCTCTAAAGCACATTATATTCTACGACAAATGTCACCCCGAGACCTCGACTTCCTGACTCGTCTTCGTGCTCCGTCTCTATCTGGTCAGGATACCCCAATCGAAGACAGAGACTCCGAATCCTATGACCGGCCGATTCAGTACCGCGGAGGCATTCTCTCGTCACTACTCAAGCTCTACGACCACTCTCATCATAACCGTGATCATGGTCGTGGTCGATATGATCACTCGCGCTCTCGACAGGGGAGCATGTCCGAGTACAGTGGACGTGGCTTGTCCCCAGACTCTGTCTGGAAGCCACCCAAGAAGTGGTATGAGAAGTCCTCTGCTCGCTCCAGCATTTCCGTGGCTGGATCCTCCCACCAATCTAGCTCGCCTTTTGCGATGCTTACGCGGTCCCGCAGCAGCGGCGCTGCAATTCCGAGCTTAGGTGGTCGTTCCCGGCCTAAATCTCACCTCGAAGATGAGATTCACATCACAGTTCATATTGCTGAGCTCTTGTCTCGGCAACGATATCTTATTCGTCTTTGCCGTGCTCTGATGAAGTATGGAGCTCCAACACATCGGTTGGAGGAGTACATGCGAACGACAGCCCGTGTCATCCAGATCGATGGCCAATTCTTGTACATTCCTGGTTGTATGATCATTTCCTTCGATGATGCTTCTACACACACAACTGAAGTCAAGGTTGTCCGGTCCAGTCAAGGAATTGACCTGGGGAAGCTGGCCGATGTCCATGAGATCTACAAAGAGGTCATTCACGATATCATTGGGGTTGAAGAGGCAATCCAACGGCTGGATGAGGTGATGAATAAGCCGAGCAAGTTCCACATCCTTTTCCTCATCTTCGCCCACGGTTGTGCTAGTGCATCAGTTGGACCGTTCGCTTTCGACGCCCGACCAATCGATATCCCTGTCGCTTTTCTGCTAGGCTGTCTTCTTGGAATACTGCAGTTGATTCTGTCGCCAAAATCGAGCTTATATTCCAACGTGTTCGAGATCTCAGCTGCAGTGCTGACCTCTTTCCTCGCCCGTGCCTTTGGAAGCATCAGGTTCCAGGGCGAGCCTCTCTTTTGCTTCTCGGCTCTAGCACAGTCAGCAATCGCCCTCATCTTACCAGGATACACGGTACTTTGTGCTAGTCTCGAGCTCCAATCGCGCAGTATCATCGCTGGATCCGTCCGCATGGTCTATGCCATTATCTACTCCTTGTTCCTCGGGTTCGGAATTACAATCGGCACAGCAGTGTACGGACTACTCGACTCGCAAGCCTCAACTGCATACACATGCCCTGCCAGTCCCATCCGCAATGAGTACCTTCAACGGTTCCCATTCGTGATCATGTTCACTGTGTGTTTGGCAATAGTTAACCGTGCCAAGTGGCGCCAAATCCCTATTATGATGGTCATCTCTTTGGCAGGCTACGTGGTCAACTACTTCAGCGCTAAGCGCTTTTACTCCAATACTCAGGTTTCCAATGCCCTCGGCGCCTTTGTCATTGGTGTAATGGGGAATTTCTACAGTCGTCTGCGACACGGTCTTGCCGCTGCGGCGATGTTGCCAGCGATATTCGTCCTCGTTCCCTCTGGTCTTGCAGCTAGTGGCTCTCTGATATCGGGTATTACCTCTGCAGAAGAGATGACCCGGTCTCCCTACGCGGTTGTCAATAATGGAACGCAGGGGTTCGTCGACGCAGCAAAGAACCTCTCATCTGATGAGGCGAAGACCCAGAGCTATGGCGTCGTCTTCGATATCGGATATGGTATGGTGCAAGTTGCTATTGGCACTACTGTCGGTCTCTTCCTGGCTGCTTTGGTGGTCTATCCATTAGGCAAGAAGCGAAGCGGACTCTTCAGTTTCTGAGCTGCCAATACATGACCACTCACGCCTGGCATCCCCTTTGCATTTGATATCTTAGCGTCATGCCCGGCTTGCGGGTGTTGAACATTTGCATTTGTGGGCCGTAACTGATCAACCCCTTGCATTGCATCTTGATGATTTACGGTGATCTTCACTCTTATCTATTCCGTCATTGAGCAGCGGATTGAATGTCGCCTTGCATACGGACTGTGATTCTTAGTCCTCTTTGCTTCTCTGTTCCCGTTCAATCGACTAAGTCTATATCGACTCTCTCTCTCTACACCCCCTGACTCTCCGTCTGGACATATATAGAAGCTACGATTCTTACGAGTCACGACCAAAATCACCGAGGACCTCCCCCGTGTATTTGTTCTGTGTTCACCTTTCCTTTTCCTGGGACTTGCTTTGGCCTTAATTTGCGGGTGTCTTTCGGATATGGAGGCAGAAAGAGCAAAATTGTTTTATCTTGGGGTTTGTCTTTGGGCGTCATCTTTGAATTTCAGTTTGCTTTTATCAGCGGGCTTTTGAAGCACGACATCAATTGATGGAGCAGCATTGTCATTTACGTTGATTTTATTTTGTATTCTCTCGTTCTGTTCGTTATTGTTCGCTATATACGAGAGTACATTCTGTCATGTTTGATCTTTGAGATACCTAGGCTGTGTCAGCTTTTGTTATGTTAATTTACGGTGTCGTTTCTCAAGTCTTTCCACTCTGTAGATTGCCTTCACGTTTCTGCAAGGGATCATACAGCCGAGGCTTATGTGTTAGCTTGACTTCGGCAGGCTGCAGAACACAGCCAATTGACATAATCCTATTTGTTAGATTAATCTCCGAGTCATACTCTAATCACTCTAAGCTTCATCCCTTGAATATCAAAAAATTGTGGCTCTAATAATTGATGGCATGCATTAGGCACTACTAGGCTACCTATTTAACCAGCCCAAAATCACCGTTACCTCATGAAATAGATCACAGAATCACAACCCCCAAACTCCGAGCTTGTGGAAACGATGTAAATGCTATCCCAACCAACCCCGTAAATGCGCCTTTCCCCAGCCCCACGGTGTGGACTGGAGCTCATCAAAATCATCGCTATCAGTTCGTTCGTAGTGAACCCTCGCAGTAATTCCCAGATCGGAGAAGGAAGAAAAAGAAGAAAAGAGACGAACGGAGAATCGCCAGAAAACAACTTATTGAGGGTATAACCAGGGAGAATGAATCCCCGTAAACAGTAGACAAACGGCAGTTCTATCGCCTCTCGAGTCGGCTGAGAGCTCCCAGGATAAGACCCAGGTCTTCTCGTGGCCTTGGCACATCTGCTGGCTGGTTTCTGTCGTCGCCTTCGATTGTGAGACGGCTTTGTGTATTGTGCGCGTCGCGCTCTTCCAGTCGTTGTGAGCAAATGCGGAGTATTCGGGATGAGACGGTGTCTGCAGAAGCGCGGTACAGTTCAATGTCATGTACACCAGCCGCGAAGGCGTCGAGCGTTGGTGCTAGGCCAGCTGTAATGCGTGATAGTTGGGATGAGACGGCAGATGGGGTCATAGGTGGTCGGTAAGAAGATGAGGTAGAAGAAGATTCCTCTTCTGATGGCTGAGTCGGAGGGTTGAGAGATTTCAATATCGCTTGTTGAGAGGGGTCTAGAAGAGAGGGATCGACTTCTTCCCTAGATTTCTGGGAGGATCGCTTCGTCTTTTGCTCATCGTCCGGTTGCGACGCGGATTTGAGAGCTGGAATCGCTGGTTGACGAAGGATTGCATTGAGGGATTGTCGTTCTTTTTGTAGTCTGAGATCTGTTAGCCAATGTGTCCTGCGCTCAAATCAATGATCAACTTACTTTTGGATGTGCTCCTCCAATTCCTTGATCTTATCTGTGTTCTGCACGTTTCGTGGGTTCGGTTTCTTCACGATCACAGCTGGGGGATTCAACTCTTCGCGAGAAAACCAGTTCGAAAGCTCTGAATTGGTCGAGAATTCCCGGAGTAGCTCCTCTTGTATCACACGCGCTGTAAAATTCCCGGTTAGCATCTTCTTAATGCAAGCCCACAGTATCCACATACCTGCTAAACGCGCACTTTGGTCATCTGAATTTGAGGCCCCTGAAGGCTTGTCGCCAAGCGCACGAGTCGCACACCAGATCAAAAGCTGGCGCATCCTTCGCGGCTCCGGAAGACCTTCATCGGCGATGTGTTTATAGAAATCTGCCACACTGACTTCTCGATGGGGTAATGCTATACGATAGAGAAAATCAGTACTTATCCCTTGGTAATCCTCGACAGACAAGGAAACCTACCGTTTGATGTACCCGAGTCAATTAAATCACTGGCCCGTCGTCCCCGTCTGCTCAAGCTGCTTCGTCGTCCTTTTTTATCGCCCTTCCCACCCCGCAGCTCCTTGTTGCGCTGGATCACTGGGGTATCGGCCGTAGGTAGTGCCACCTTGGTTCCCGCGGGCGGTTGTTCTGGTGAATTGTATCCGTTCGTCTCTGGCGCTTTCGCTTTGGGGGTCGTCCTTTCCTTGGTTTCTTGGCCTCTGGCTGGTGTTCTGGGCTATCGCGGTTGTGCGATGAGCGCGTCGCAGTTACGGGTTGAGCTTCTGATTCTGCGTTCGTCTTCCCCGGCCCCCTCGTTGGTCTCCTACTCGGGAGCTCCATGGATACCCCCTTCGCTGGCATCCCGCTAGGACCACTTTTGTCTTCGGGTCGCTTCTTCGGTGGCCGCCCTCGTCTCGGTGTTGACTTTGGAGGCGCATTCTCAATATCCGAACTGAGGTTTTCGGGAATCGCTTTAATTGAAGGCCGGGGCTTCTTGGAGGGTTTCCGCGAGAATTGAAATCCATCATCCTCCTCGTATTGCACTGTAGTCGTTGAATTAGACATTTGCCCTACGCGATCGCGCAAAAGCCTCATTCAAAGCAGATTACTCACCAGTTTTCCGCTTCCCGTCCTTTGTCATCTCCTCGAGCCCTTGATTACTTGCGCTTAATCGCGTAGTCCTCCGTTCCACTGTGCCTTTGGACGCGCCCGCGGATTGCGATTGCGCCTTTGGGGCCGCCATTGTAATCGTCCCCAGCGGTTCGCGACGCTTTGTGGTAGTCGTAGTAGTCGCCAGGACCGCGATTGTCATGTCAGGAGGGGTGCACGCGGGGTTCTTTTGGTCGCTGATAAAGGTCGAGATGAAAGAGAGTACCCTCCGTATCTGCGTTGGCTAGTTGCTTCGTGTTGTCTTTTTCTCCAGCCGAATACCCCTGGTTGAAGAGGCTTCCTGGAGAATCAACAAGCTCAACTCCCCTGTTCGGAAGAATGCCGAACCTGAATTAACTCCTCTGGGCAGCTCAACTGACTCGCGATACAACTATTGAATCGTTTTGAGTAGTCGCCTAACCCTCAGCTGGCGTGTATATTGGTGGTGGCACGGTCAAGCTTGTCGGTGCTCGGGGCAATCGGTTGGCGGTGGGCGGAATGTTAGGCGCGGGTCGCGTCAAGGTGCAGTGCTGCAGGTAGTGAACAGCAGATTATGCGATGTCGTTATTCAGTTCCGCGAAAAGATACGCAAGGGGAGCGCAGCATAGGTCGGAGGTGGTGAGTGGTGGGTTGGATTCTCGCACGCGGTTGTTTTGGTCGGGCGCGTGGGGACCGCGCTAATCTCCTTCGGGATTTGCAACCGTTATACTTCACAATCTTTTACTTTGCTATTCTCCTTCTTGCTCTTATAATTGTTTTAATCAATTGAGACCGTATGAATAAGCGTAAAGTTATTATATTATTTACGCTTAGTAATGTTTTTTATAGGTACACTGTTGAAATTCGATATCCGAGGCTATACGTTGAGTGCCTATTTGTTGATGCTTGAGCAGCGAACTTCGAGGAGAAAATGGATATAGAATAAGAAAGACTTTGAAACTCAATGTATGAAAAAAGGAAAATAGGAAAGGAGAATAAGGATGATAATCGGAATAAAAGATGAGACGATAGCTCTGTTTTGAACATATATATATATCTAGCTTGTAGCAGATGAAGTCAACAAGTCTTTACTCATATTTTGAATATCAGAAAATACATATACAAGGACCAACAAATCGCTTTATGCATATCTCTTTAGATCAAACTGCCTCTCACCACTACAGTGCACCGCCTAGTCTCCAATGCTCGCAATGTGCAGATGCTGCAGATGAACGCTATGATGTGTAAAATGAAATGATACAAATGACCCCGCCAGCGCCAGTGTTGAAAAATATGTTCAGTGAAAGAGTGTCGGATGGTGGGAGTTGAGTCCCCAGGAGAAAAGTAAGACAGATCATTGGAGTGTCTTCATCACGGTGGAAGGATTGCTCGGGGGTGCCAGGCTGCCCTCGATACGACGCTTGGCATCTTGCATTTCCTCGGCGGTGATGTTCTCGGCCTTCTTGGGCATGTCGGGCTCGAATTGAGGGATATCGGGACTGTGTCCGACGGACATGCCAACTCGGATCTGAATTATTCGGGTTAGCTTCGCTGGCAGAAAAACACAGACTTGACATTTACCAGAGTTTCCAGAGGACCCTTGGAGTTATCCACCAGGTCCTTGTCAAAATTGACCTTGCCCTCTTCGAAGAGAACGAGAAGGGTGCTACCGCCGAATTTGAAGTAGCCCAGCTCTTCAGCGCGTGAGACCTTCTCGCCAGGTTTCCGGGTGATGATCGTGCTGCCCACCATCATGGCGCCCACACAGACAACCATAACCCGACCATGGGCGACAGAATCAATGGGAACGAGAATGCGGACATTCTCGCCATAGACGTCCAGTGCGGAGCGAATTGCCATTGGGTTCACAGTGTAATACTCACCCTCGATGGTCTTAGGCTCGCCCATGATTCCATCGACGGGGATGTGGAAGCGGTGATAGTCCTGGGGCGCCAGACGGAACACACCCATGGCACCATTACGGTACCGAGCTGCGTCCTCTGGGTAGGCGTTGCCCAGAAGCCTTTCGATGGAGAACTCACGACCCTTCACCCAGATACTAGTTGCATCGCTCATACGGTCAAAGACGACTGAGCGACAGTCCGCCGGAGATACAACGATCTTGGGTTCCTCGGGAGCGGAGCATGGTCGGGCCTCGGGCTTCAAGGCACGGTAGAAGAATTCGTTGAAGTTACGGAATTTCTCCAATGGAAGCAGTACTTCGGACATATCCAGCTGGTGGAAGTCGATAAAGTCCTGGATCTGGGATGCAGAGGCTGGGTCGTCATACTTTCGACCCTGCTTGACACTCAAAGAGCGAAGGACACGGCGAATTCGCTTCTTTTCCATGTCACGACTTTTGATACCTTTGTAGAGCAATCGAATTCCCAATCGCACATAGACACTCATACGCTCCTCGTTGATCTGGCCGGTGATACGATCCTGGACAAGGATATTGGCCGAGTTCGCTCCGAGTTTGTATCCACCATATGAGATCTTTGTAATGACCTTAGAGTACCACTTGCGCTGTGCCTGACTGGAGGTCACGAAACCACCCATGACCAAGTTGTCAACCTGCCGCCAGTCGCGACTTGCGCATGTAGCAATGTGCGTGATGATATCCGCATCAGAGCGCTTGGAAAGACGCGGCTGGTGGCAAAGAGGGCATTCGCGGATTTCAATAACGTGCTCCTCACCCCGTTCATCAGCGAGATCATCGGGCTGAGTGTACTCATCATTGGAACTAGACTGGTCTTCGGGAGACAGGGTCGGAATGGCTGTTCCACGTGGATCGGCATTAGAAGGGGCACTGGTGCTGGTTTCTAAGTGCTCATCGCTGCTAGATGGCTCACTTCCTTGACTTCCAGAGTTCGACAGCGGTGGGATCGGGGGCAGGTTAGGAATCGCCATTGAGTTTCGCTTCTGCAGAGTCTTAAGCGTGTCCTCGAGGCAAACCACTGCCTGGTCGAACGAGAGATCATCGGTTTCATTGGCCGCATTGTCTTCGCTGAACCGCTCGAAGAAGCTGTCGATGGTCGATTCCTTCAGGGTCGAACCGAGAGTGTCAAGCATTGTCGTCATTTCAACCTTGTCAATGCGACCACTCTCATCTGCATCGTATTGCTTGAGCATCAGTCTCCAGAATTGCTGACGCAGAGCACTATATGGTAAGAACTTTGCCTTAACATGCAACTCTGGTGAATGCTTGTCTTCCCAACGCTCCCGGTTCTTCAGAATGAGAGGGATGGTATAAGACCGGAAGCCGTCCTTGTCAGGGGGCGGGGCCGAATCGCTATCATACGCAGTCGTTGTGGAGGGCACCTGCAAAGTGCTGGCGCTATCCATCCCTGCAATTCCTTCTTCTGGGAGGGAGGAGGGTGCGATGAGAGTTGGCACAGGTACGTCCTGCATGGATTGGCTTGAGACTGAGGTAGCGGAGCTACGAGTCTTCAATATAGGCCTAGACATTCTTGAAAGATTTGAGGAAGAGGCAGAAGGGCTGACTCGCGATGACTTCGTGGTCGGGCTCGGCTCTTCTACCGCCTCCTCCGACTCTATGAATTTATACAGCCCTGTCTCGGGGTCTGCAATAGGGCCGGACTGAACGAGGTTTTGGAGTGGGAAACCAGCCGAGGCGACGAAGTCATTGCCGGAGAATTTGTCACGATCCATCACGGTGAAACTAATGGTGTAGTTTTGTTCGTGTCGCATGACCTGGAACACCATTTTCTCATAGTAAACTGGATTCAGGTTATGGCGTATAACAGGAGTCCTCAAGGTCTTCCTGCCAAGAGAGGTCACGACGAAGGGATCCATATCGAACGATGTCCGCGTGACTAGTAACTCAATCAATCAATCTGTCAACATTAGGAGAGCCGGGAATCCGTACCATTACGTTCAGGGGGCAAATCGGTCACTTTGACAATCTCCATGAAGACAATGCCTTGCACCCCACTGCCTGAGCCAGAGAACTGGTATGCACGAGCTGCCAGGGACTTGCGCCTCAAGCGGGCCAGGCGAAGTCGACGGCGACGCTTTTCCACCACTTCTGGTTGTGTTAGGTCATCGGCTTCATCGGAGGTCTCTTCATCCCGATCGAGGTCATCGAAATCAACCGGGGGGATCTGGTCATCGTCCTCTGCCGAGAATACGAGTCGCTTGAACTTGCGGTATGTGTCTGACGGCGACGCAGCGGGGCTCGCGGAATCAACGAGGGAGAACTGCAACAGGATTTCGCCCGAGACAGTGCTGTCCTTCTTCTTGGCCGGCTTCCGTTTCGATTTGAGGGTATACCATTTGGGCTGTGTCTAGAATCAGCATTGAGACCCCGATGATCCGAACATGTCCCTCCCACCTCTGGATTCAATTGGCCATCAATGAAGATGTCCTCTAGTGCGATGTCGAATTCGCCCAGGTAATCCTTGCCGAACCGATCATGATCCCAACAAATACATTCCAACAGCGGTACACCCACGATGGGCATTTCGAACGAGACGTTCCATTCGGGGTTCAGGGTCTTGAATATTGTCGGTGTTGACTGTCTCGCGTCTCCCAATGTAACCACCAAGTACTGTACGTGTAAGCGATCACGGCCGAAGTTGCGTTGGGGGAGTGTTGAGGGGTGCTCACTGGGTCGCTCGTGCCACCTCGGTCTTTGGCTGCGAGGTTTTGTCCCTATTGAGCGCTATTGTCAGAGTCCAGTAGAGAAGAGATAACACAATGCATGACTTACCCGAATCACAGAAACCTTCAGCAGTAGAGGTTTTAAGTCTGGTGTTCGTAGCGGACTGGTGCTTCTGCTTTGGCCGGGTGTTGACGACGCGCTCCTCGCGGAGAGATGCGAGCTCAACCGTGTGGGCAATCCCAACCGGACCATGACGGATATGTAGAGGACAAAGGTGGAGGGAAAAAGAAAGAAAGGAGTGGCGGGGAAAATAAGTGTCGTGGCTCAGGGCCCCTAGTCAAGGTGGCTTGTTCTTAGACCCCAGGTCTCCCAGGTCTCCCAGGTCTCGATTCTCGATCTAAGATCTCCAGCCGATCGGCAGCATAGGCTGTTGTGGCAGTACAGTACAATCCACCAAAGTCCAAGAGAAGAGCAAACAGTAGTGTTCGTAGATCTCAACAATATATAGAGGAGAGAGCAACACACTATGCCATTGAGCGGATCTGCTCGGTATCGACGTCAATTGTTCCCCACACCGCAACTTGGATAAGATGGATGCCTACTGGGAATGTTTTAGGTGCATAGTGTAGTGTTACGGAGTACTGTTTCCCCTAAGATGTCACAGTTTCAAACCTGCTGCGAGCCATCTATGCAGTACACAACCCCCGCCCATGTATGAACTGGAACTATTTACGGATTTATGTTGAGACGTGTTGAGAAACCGGAATCAAAGTTGACGGGTAAACGGTCGATCACTTTAGTCTTGTCGTCGGTCCGTCCGATTCCAGACTTCATCAGCATTGGCTTTGCCTTTGGTCTCTGGTACATATCGATAGATGAAGCCACCTAGTAACCCTGCCATAGCTGCAAAGACCCAATAGACCTTTCCGCGGCCCCCGAGAGCATCATTGAGGATGGGGAAGAATTGCGCGACCACAAAGGTCGCAATCCAGTTGGCACCCAATGCCCAACTCTGCGCTGCGCCAACTGCTTCTGGTCCAACCAGCTCGGAGGCCAGAATAAAAGGGACTGGGCCAAGTCCGACCGCGAAGCATGCCACGAAGAGCAATGCTGCGATCGCAGTCAGGATCTTCGCGTTTATGTAGATGCTAATTGCGAGAAGAATAGAACTGCTGCCCATACCACAGATGCTCAGCATGAGACACGTCTTGCGGCCGATGCGGTCCGGTAGTGGAGAGCACGCCAGCGTGATCAGGAGATTGATAGCCGAGATCATCACTGTCAGTAACGCGGCTGTCGTAGGTAGGATGGTCTGCAGCAGGGACACACTGTACATAACAATGCTGTTCATTCCGGTCAATTGTTGAGCCACCATCACTCCAACCACAGCGACAATGGCCGGGCGATAGTAAGGGTCCTTGACAACCTGCATGAACGTAACAGAAGGCTTCTTGGAAGATTGAGTCTCTGATGGGGCGAGCAAAGACTCTTCTTCACCGGATGGAGCATCCGAAATCCTCCAGCTAGCAATCTCCGCTTCAATATCAGCATCTCGGCCGCGGATCCGCTGTAGGACTCTGCGAGCATAGCCAACCTTCTGGTGTTCTGCGAGCCAGGCAGGACTCTCCGGTACCAAGAACAGCCCCAGAAGTTCCAAGGCACCAATTATTCCAGCCACAGCTAAGATCAGTCTCCAGATGTTTGCTTCGCTCCAGAAATACCCCAGGGTTTGGGTCAACAGTATACCGACATTGGTCATGATTTGAGTAAAGGCACCGAAGAAGCCTCGAGCACTGGGAGGAGCGATCTCTGAGATATAGATCGGGCCAACCACAATGGCAGCACCGGAACCAATTCCGGAGAGGAATCTACCCAAAATAAGAAGCGGAATGGCGGGCGCAAGTGTCTCTGCCACAGGGCCCAGGGTGAAGAACACCGTAGTCGCCCGGAGGGCAAGGAGACGCCCGTACTTAGTCGAGACAGGTCCTGCCAGCAGAGCCCCGACCAGACCACCGAGCGTGTAGATTGAGGAGACCAGGCCGAATTGGGATGGGCTCATCGCAAGACATTGCGGCAGACCATGGAACGTAATGCCTGCAGAATGAACACCTTTGCGTTCACATGTTATCACTGCTTGAGGGGCATTTAGCTCTGCCTGTTCATGGTCTCAGTGATGTTCAGCAAATGCGGGGACTAGATGCCCTACCAAATGGTAGCCGAATTGAAGCGGGCCAAGCGTGGTGATGAATACGAGATAGACCAAATACGGCGTCACGCTTGACTTGGTTGATGTATCTGACATCGTGAAACAAGTCTAAGGCGAAATGACTGGGGTACGGGGGGACGGAGGGATGGAGGGGTGGATCGGGATGACGCCAATCCCACCCTTCGCAGTTGGGATTAGATAAGATCAGATCAAACTGAATAAGTGAAAATTAACTGAGTTACGAACTATGGAAGCCCGAAACAGAAGTACATGTAGACTCCAAGTTGTCATATCAAGAGTCCCGAGGTGGCCGGGGAAGCTGACTCAGCATCTCCTGTTTCAACCCTCCAGCTGAACTCATCGCCTGACAATAGCTTCAAGACCGACAATATTCCACTTTACTTGAAACCTGTGGACAAACACCAATGGGTGCAGTCAAGGCCCTTCTCCAATGAGTCTGACAAACCCGCCCTCCTCCGGCTCTCTCTCTGCCCGAACCAGAGTCAGCCAGAACTTGAAACGCAGTCTGCAGGCCACTGATGGTAATTATATATTTCCTGTGCCTATCTCTTAAATTTGGCTTGTTTGTATAGCAGTGTTTTCTCTTTCCATCATGTTTGGAAAGGGCTTTCCTTTTTGAATTCTGGAGGATTCTATTCTCGTGGTAACTCTTTCCCCTTGGTTCTTTGTGTCGTGGATTTGGTTTGCACCTCTCTATGCAATTGGCACGGTCAAAAGGCTTGAATATTGTGATATGTTTCCGTCATCAGGCACTTTCTCCTCACCAAGCAGTTTGCTGCAAATTGTTCTGGGCTGACATGTCTTGGTATAGATGCCATCGAGTCTCGGAGACCTGGTGGATATACCAGCAAGGTCCGCGTTCGGGATCGATATCACATCGTAGGTTTCATCAGCAGCGGAACCTATGGCCGAGTCTACAAGGCTCTCGGCAAAAACGGCAAGAAAGGAGAGTTTGCCATCAAAAAGTATGAGCCGCGATGTATCACACTTCTTCATGTCTAACCTTGTCTAGATTCAAGCCTGACAAGGAAGGCGAGACGATCCAGTACACGGGTCTGTCACAGTCAGCCATCCGTGAAATGTCACTATGTACAGAGCTCTCGCATCCAAATGTCGTCCAATTAGAGGAAATCATCCTCGAAGACAAATGCATCTTCATGGTCTTCGAATACACGGAGCATGATTTGCTCCAGATCATCCACCATCACACTCAACCCCAAAGGCATGCCATCCCGGCACGTATGGTCCGATCCATCCTGTTCCAATTACTGAACGGGCTACTTTATCTACACACCAACTGGGTTCTGCATCGCGATTTGAAACCAGCAAACATCCTCGTCACCTCAAGCGGAGCCATCCGAATCGGCGATTTAGGACTCGCTCGTTTGTTCTACAAGCCACTCAATTCACTGTTCTCCGGCGACAAAGTCGTCGTCACAATATGGTATCGGGCACCAGAGCTACTGCTAGGAAGTCGCCACTATACTCCTGCTGTGGACATGTGGGCAGTGGGTTGTATCTTCGCCGAACTCCTCTCCCTACGACCAATTTTCAAGGGCGAAGAAGCCAAAATGGACAGCAAAAAGACAGTCCCCTTCCAGCGCAATCAAATGATGAAGATTGTCGAAATCCTTGGCCTTCCCCGCAAAGAGTCCTGGCCGGGCCTGGTCTCTATGCCCGAATATTCCCAGCTCCAGTCCCTAGTGCTCCACCGACAACCTTCACATTTCCACCGTGGCTCAAATCTCGAAGGCTGGTACCAGAGCTGCCTGAAAAATGGCGGGTACAATTCTACCTCAAGTGCTGGTACACCCGGCTCCGATGGATTTGATCTCTTGTCACGGATGCTTGAATATGACCCGGCAAAGCGGATCACCGCCGAAGAGGCCCTCGAGCACCCCTACTTTGCCAATGGAGGCCCAATCAGCGGTAACTGCTTTGAGGGTATCGAGGGTAAATACCCCCATCGTCGGGTCAGCCAAGATGACAACGATATCCGCACTGGCAGTCTTCCCGGTACCAAGCGCAGTGGACTACCGGATGATTCGTTGATGAGAGCCTCAAAACGCCTTAAGGAATAATATACTTCTTTGTTGTACATTTGCATTGGTCTTTCATTGGTCTTTTTCAGAGCGTGTGACGGACTGGTCGTGATATCTACATCATCATAACGTGACATATTGAGTTTCGGCGTTTCAGTTACTAGCGAAGTTGGGTTTATGATTTACGTTGAAATCCATTCTGGGTATTATGAGATATCATCTCTTTTACAAAAAGCGTAGTGACAGTATGTATGCAGGAACAAGTAGATGGACCGTAGCAACAACTGGCGAGGAAAAGAGACGCGGAGGCTATGTGCTGATAGAAAACATGCATTTAATGCCTAAGAATGCAATTGATCAAGATCTCCGAAGTCTGCTAGGTCATGTAGCCACTCGTCCCTTATTATGCGCCATAAAAGTCATAAGCGATTTGGATTGCCCTTCCCGAGTCCCATATCCATACAAAATTGTACATGTCCCATCCATAAATAGATTCTCCACCCCCGAAAATTCTCAGTCCGTATAAAATACATCAAGATTCGTAATCAATATCCTATCAGAAAACAGAGAGTTAGCTGTAAGTGCCAGAAACTTGCACACAAGTTATCGATATAACTCACCATTCTGCTCGCGTCGACGATCTCCATCAGTACCATCATCGTCACCACCACCACCACCACCACCAACAGCAGAGGCATGACCAGCAGCATCTCGAATCCCCTGATCATCACCACGCAGCTTCTCAAAGTGACTCTTGATATCATCAGCACTAACAGCCTGCCCACTCTCAGCGAACGGCCTCAGGAACTCCTTTAGATTGTCGCGGAGGTGGTTGTACGCCATTGCACCCTCGATAGCGCGCACACGGTCAATGTTGTTGAAGGCTGCCTCGCCGCGCTCAAGAATACTGCCTGTGCCGGTGCTGGCGGCACCGTTGGCTTCGCCGTCGTCTGAAAGAGGGGGCTCGTAGGTGTCTTCTTCTTCGCGGAGTTGAGGATGAGGTGCGAGGTGGGGGAAGCAATCTGCGCAACGGCAAAGTTGGCCGTGGAAATCTTCCAGGGCGAAGAGGGAGAATGATTCGGTTGGCGTGGTTTCCGGGAGGGTGGTGTGTTTGGGGACAGAGGGAACCCCAGGCGTCTTGGTATCTTCCTCTTCCTTGACTGATCTTTCTTTGATGGATTGGAGTTCAGGTTTTGGTTCTTCCGTAGACACCGGTTCTTCCTTGGTCCGCTTCGTAGTGTGATCTTCCTCAAGGTGATCCTCGCCATCCGCCTTGCGCTTCTTTGAGTATGTCTGCTCTGGCTCCTTGGGCTCTGTTTCTTTGGGCTGGATTTTCTCCGACTCAGTTTCATCGGACTTGGTTTCCTTGGGCTCGTTGATGGCAGCGGAGTCATTCGCTACCACCTTTGTGTCCCTCAATCCACCTTCCTTGAAAACCGGCGGCAAGAAACCGCGCGTTCCTGCATATGGCTTGATCCAGGGATTTGAGTCAACGCACTTGAAGCAGATCAAATGATGGAAGTCATCCTCAGTGGGGAATCCAGGTGGAAGCGGAGTTTCTTCTTCCTCGTCCTGAGCATTTCCGGCAGTGTCACCACCACCGACTGTGGCCTTGGGAGTAGCCTTATGCCAATCGCGCGGTAAACCGATCAGACATTCTGGGTGCCACCAGTCCTCACCACAGCCTCCCGTCTCGACGGTGCCAATCCCCAGGCACTGGAACATGATTCCCTTCTCTTGGTGAGCATCATACTGTTCGCTACAGCCGCAGAATTGATTGCGGAAATTGTGGTTGTAAGAGTTGCCCGCAGCAGCCTCTTGAGAGTGAACACCTTTCTTTCCAGTCTTAGGATCTTCACGTAGCGTGCAAGTGGAAGAAGATGGGAGGCGAGTGGTGCCGCAGTCGCAGACAAAATTGCGCTTGTTGAAGAGTTCAACTAGGTTATGTTCCCCGTGGCAGGAGATCGAGCAGGAGTAGCAGACAGCAGCGGCATCGTAGGGTTCGTCGGGATTGGTAGGAGGAGGGTTGCAAGTGAGGCAAGCGAAGAGGATCTGTCGTAACGGCCCAAGGGCATATGTGCAGGAATCGAAGGACTAAAATGCGAGATGTTAGCTATTTACCACGCTGCACTGGAGACTTCATGGTGGACCACTCACATAAGGCAGAGCCTCGCGCGCATCGGCCTCTAGTTGAAGCTGGGAGTCAATAAACCTGGTGTGGATTAGCATCGTCATCAGAAGGCTTGGAAGACATTGAGGAATGATTCATACTGCCTTGCGGTTTGCGAGTTCTGGGAGCTGAAGCTTTCGCGTCGGCCATCTTCAGCCTTGATTTGATCACTCGCTGTTTGTACGGAATCCATCTTCAGAGCTCTGCTTATGTTGTCCGAACCTGGTCAATATCTCAGTGCCGAGGAGAGTCGCCGGTCGCGACGTGCCAAACAGAATGACGCAATGTGCGGGCAGCGCAACGATCGCACGATCGATGGCAAACAAGCCTAGGGATGTGGACACGATTAGGGTAATGTTGTGATTGCAAACAGTGGGAGATATCGGCGAAGCAGAGAGGCGCGGAGTGGAGCGGACAATCGAGGTTGTGAACAAGGTAGGTTGTGTGGAGCGTTGTCAGGAACGATGCGAGCACTGATGACGAGGTGAATGCTGTTTGAGTGTCGCGCTCAAGGTCAGTGAGCAAGGTCGATGTTGTGGGAGCCAAAAATCGCGTGTCGTAGGATCGGACAACCGCGAATAAGGTTGGCGTCGCGGACGTGATGAGGCGCGGTCAATATGGGAGGGCCGCGATTGCCAGAGGACGTAAGGGGAGCACACGATCCAAATCAAGCTTCAACTCGTGTATAGAAAATCGCACAGCCTTGAAAGAATCACACTGGACGTACGAACAATCTTCAGTGAATCTTCAGAGCCGCAGTCATATGTCGGCTCCATTGATGCGCGAGAAGTTTGCCCAGTTTGCAATGCCCCCATATAACTAGATCTCAGGTTGAATATGGTTAGCCCTTGATGTATTTCACATCTATTTGCTTCAGTGATTACTGTAAGAATAAGATAATCTCAAGCAATATCTCTAGGCCCAAACACTCCCTCGACTACTATCGGTTACCGCGTTATCACGTATTTGGACAATTGAAGTGCCTTTCAACAGAGAAATACAAAGTTTTTCACTTCACCCTGTCCTTTGAAGAGAATGCAATACGCAATAGGATAATGGAGGATATTTAAGTCCCTATGGGGCAAACAACGCAGTATGAAGTACAACAGTCCACAGCCTGGATGCCTCAGAGTATATATCATGGGAGATAATATTTGTCAGCTTATTGACCGACTGGCCAAGTGGTTAAGGCGTCCGTCTTACATGTTGAGCACGGAAGGTCGCAGGTTCGATCCCTGCGTCGGTCAATGTTTTTGCCATTCGAAAGTCTACCTATCGTCTCGAGGTAGGTGTATTTTTGCCATTTTTATCCAAGGGGGGTTTTTTTAAGAAGAAAGGGACAATCAGTGTACTTCGAGAATAACTCCCTGGGTACACAGTAGAACACGGTTACCCACCTTCCCGATTAGGGCTTAAGTGGAACGCGTCTTAGACGCGTCGCGATTTTGACGCGAGGAACTGAACTCTGCCGCTCCCTTTCCCTTTCGTCTCAGCCACACCACATCCAACCCACCAAGAGTCAAGGGAGGATACCACCAATTTATCATCCTTTTTTCCCCTGGTGCTTGCCTCTCTTTTATTATCGAAAATTGCTTGAAATCATACACGCACACACACACACAATGGAGTCAGTAGCCCCTTATGAATTCTCTGTCTCGAATGCTGACACACCGCAGTCCGCTCCGACCCAGCGACTCGGCCGCAAACCGTGGCCTGAGGGCCAACACTCGTAAGAGAGACAGAGAAGATGATGATATGTCATCACCGGCCCCATTGCCTCCGTCAAGTCGTATGCTTGCTCCCATGTTCACGTTGCTGGGCCAACTTGAGACTGACAATTTTTTTGCGCAGCCACTGCTTTGGGCTCGTCCCCTCCCCCAATTCCCTTTGACATGGGAGATGAAGATGACGAGGATGAAACGGGGCTTGTACAGGATATTGATGATATTGATGAGTTGGCCGAAGACGAGGATGGTATCGACCTGTTCGGCGACAACTTCGAGCGGGATTACCGCGATGCAGCACATGACCGCTACGAAAATGAAGGATACATCGATGACGACGAAGACCACGAGGAGATTGACGCCGCCAGCCGTCGGCAGCTAGATGCTCGCCTGAACCAGAGAGACCGCGAATTGGCACGCAGACGCCGCATGCCTGCAGCCTTTTTACAGGATGACGATGATATTGAAATGGACTTGTCTCGGCAGCCCCGACGACGCAGACACCACTATGACGAGGACAGGGAAGATATCGACATGGCCGATGAGGGCATGGAAGAACTTTCCCTGGAGGAATTGGCTGATGTCAAGGCAGCCAATATCACGGACTGGGTGACGCAGCCCCAGGTTCTTCGCTCTATTTACCGTGAATTCAAGGCCTTCCTGACAGAGTTCATCGACCCAAGCGGTCAGTCCGTCTACGGTAATCGGATTAAGACCCTGGGTGAGGTCAACTCGGCTTCTCTTGAGGTATCCTATGCCCACCTGAGTGAAACCAAGGCAGCTCTGTCATATTTCCTCGCCAACGAGCCCACCGAAGTCCTCAAGGTGTTCGATCAGGTGGCGCTTGATGTCACACTCTTCCACTACCCCCAGTACCACGACATTCACAACGAAATCCACGTCCGCATCACCGATGTGCCAATCATTTACACTCTGCGTCAGCTGCGTCAGTCGCATCTCAACTGTCTCATTCGCGTCAGCGGTGTGGTCACTCGTCGAACCGGTGTTTTCCCGCAGTTGAAATACGTTATGTTCCTCTGCCAAAAGTGTGGTATCACCCTGGGTCCATTCCAGCAAGAAGCCAGCGCAGAGGTGAAGATCTCGTTCTGTCAAAACTGCCAGTCTCGCGGTCCCTTCACTGTCAACTCGGAAAAGACCGTCTACCGCAATTACCAGAAGCTGACTCTGCAGGAGTCGCCCGGCTCGGTTCCCGCTGGTCGTCTGCCGCGCCAGCGCGAAGTCGTCCTGCTTGCAGATCTGATCGATACTGCCAAGCCTGGCGATGAGATTGAGGTCATTGGTGTTTACCGTAACAGCTACGATGCCCAATTGAATAACAAGAACGGATTCCCCGTTTTTGCCACTATCATTGAGGCCAACCATGTGGTCAAGGCCCACGACCAGCTGGCTGGTTTCCACCTGACAGAAGAGGATGAGCGCGAGATTCGTGCACTCTCGCGCGAGCCTGATATTGTGGATAAGATTATCCGCTCCATGGCTCCCAGTATCTATGGTCACCTGGATGTCAAGACCGCTGTTGCACTTTCACTCTTTGGTGGTGTCAGCAAGCAGGCCCAGGGCAAGATGTCAATTCGTGGTGATATAAACGTTCTACTTCTTGGTGACCCCGGTACTGCCAAGTCTCAGGTGCTCAAGTTTGTGGAGAAGACAGCTCACCGTGCTGTGTTCGCTACTGGGCAGGGTGCTAGTGCAGTCGGTCTTACAGCTAGTGTCCGTCGGGATCCACTCACTAGCGAATGGACTCTTGAGGGCGGTGCCCTCGTGTTGGCTGATCGTGGAACTTGTTTGATTGATGAGTTTGACAAGATGAACGACCAGGATCGGACGTCTATTCACGAAGCCATGGAACAGCAAACAATTTCTATCTCCAAGGCTGGTATTGTGACAACGTTGCAGGCACGCTGTGCCGTTGTGGCCGCCGCCAACCCCAAGGGTGGTCGGTACAACAGCTCAATTCCCTTCTCGGAGAATGTCGACCTAACGGACCCCATCTTGTCTCGTTTCGATCTCCTCTGTGTTGTCCGTGATCTTGTTGATCCTGCTGAGGATGAGCGCCTAGCCAACTTCGTGATTGAGTCCCACCACCGTGCTAACCCGGCTCGTCCTCTCCGAAATGAGAAGGGCGACATGGTCGATGCTGACGGCCATCTCATTGACGGCGAGGGCTACCGCATCAACAGAGATGGCCAGCGACTGCCTCCTTCCCAAGAGGAGGTGTCCAGACGTGCAGCAGAAAAGCAAAGGGCTGAGGAAGAAAAGGAGGGAGAGATCCCCCAAGAGCTCTTGCGGAAGTACATTAAGTACGCCCGCGAGCGTTGCAACCCCAAGCTCTACCAGATCGACCAGGACAAGGTTGCCCGTCTCTTCGCAGACATGCGCCGCGAGTCCCTTGCTACTGGAGCGTACCCCATCACAGTAAGTTATCTTTATACATACAATCTACGTTGACATCATGCTTACCTATATTCCTAGGTTCGTCACCTTGAAGCTATCATGCGTATTGCCGAATCCTTCTGCAAGATGCGCCTGTCCGAGTACTGTTCTGCGCAGGATATCGACCGTGCCATCGCTGTTACTGTGGATTCGTTCATTGGCAGTCAGAAGGTCAGCTGCAAGAAGGCACTCTCACGTGCATTTGCCAAGTATGTTTCTTTCCAATCCTTGAACTCGTTGGAACTATGCTAACATTCCTATCAGGTACACACTCTCCAGACCCAAACCCCAGTCCAAGCGTCGTGCTGGTATCCCCGTCACAAACCCTCACCTGCCACGGGCTCAGTCCACTGTGCGGTGAACATCCTAACTGGAGATTAGGCGCGGCTGGTTGCATGGTTTCTTTTGTTCAATACCATCTTGTTTGCATTTCACGTATGCGGCGTTTATGACAGGGTTCTGTTCTTGAAATCGAACCATGATACATTAATGAATGGGAAACCAATGATGATCTTTCAATTTTATATTCGGTGCTTAGACTGTAAATTAGTAGACAGAGGCTCTAAATCATGGTCTTTGTCTTTGTTCTAAATGCATAGAATAATATCGCACAAGAAGATCTAGACTGTTTCCGCAAGGACAACCCTTTTCCGCACCTAGCTCGGCAACATGAGCTGCCTAACACCAAAACTGTATAGACGAAGGGAAGGCTCTGGCGGAGGAGTCCATCTGAAAGTCAACTAGACCTGGACCTAGATTCACCACCTACCCGATCGTCAACAACTCATATCTCTTTAGTTGCCAACAAGCCCCAGTGGACGAGTCCATTTGCCTGCTAAAGGCAAGGCACAGAGTGAGATGTTGGAGGCAGTTTTATTGAAGTGGACAACTCTGAGTAGGGAAGAGATGCGAATTGATTAAGATGACAATGAGATATACTAGAGCTTGTACCGTTGACTTTAAGATATTTCTGCGCAATGACTTCCTAGGACCCGTGCCGGGTAAAGACCTAACGCAAAGGCACTTTACTGAGGAGTATGCAAATATTCAATGTATCCTGTCGTCTCCACACTACGTATAAATAAAGGAAATGAGGTGGGTGAAACCACATTTGTAGTCCGCCCTATTTCGATGTATCCCAAACTCCAAACTCTCAAAACAACAGCGTATATTAAACATGTCAATCTCGGAGATTACCAAGGAGCTTATGTCCAAAATGGCAGCCATCCCCATAGAACTCACACTATGATGAAGATCTCGCGGCCCAGTTGTAAAACAGTTAGGGCAGCGGAAAAGTCCTTACCAGGACCAATGACCATCACCGCACCTGCATCTATACTCCTCCTCAGACTCCAGAAAAGCCACCAATTCGCTACAGACCGTCGTCCTTCTGTCATTTCGGACATGCAAATGTAGTAGTTTCCCCCGCAAACCCTGGCCCGGTATTGTCGTCCGGTCTCCAGCCTGGCTGAAAAGAGACTAGTCTGCGTGAGAAAACCTGACAATTGCTTCAATTACCACCTAACCCCAGGCCTCATCCCCACGATCCCACTCATGAAGCTTATCCCCGCGTCTACTGTGGAGATCCATTTGTCCGCTGCATGAAGCTCTGTTCGATTAGCCGGGTTCGGTACATGGAGCTGTCATATCGTGCTTTCCCCACGTATTAGCCGGTGCATGCAATTCATGCGCCGACTAATTGAGAGACGCGGGGATACGAGCTCGCTTCAAGCGAGCTTGGTCCTGGACTATAAATACCCAGGAGGATGCAGTATTGCAGACAGACAGCATCAATTACAATCCTCTTTCTCTATTAGGGCTCCACGGGTCCAACGATGCGTTTCTCTCTCTCCAATCCCCAGGCAGCGGCCCTCGCTGCCATTGCGTACGCTACCGCAGTGACAGCAGCTTCTCTCGAGGACGTCTGCACTGTGGAATATGCTCGGTCTCACCTACCCGCATCGACATTCATCCAAGGCATAACTCTCGACCAGTCTTCCGTCACGACAAACATAGTCAAAAACGCATCCACTAGTGCGACCTCGACATTCTATCCTGCAGCAACCTTCTCGTACTGCAACCTCACTCTGGCATACTCCCATGACGGCCGGGATGACCAAGTCCTCATCCAATACTGGTTGCCCGACCCGGGCAAGTTCGAGAACAGGTATCTGTCCACTGGCGGTGGTGGCTATGCCATTTACTCTGGTGCGCAGTCTCTGCCTGGTGGTGTGATGTATGGTGCTGTTGCTGGAGCTACGGATGGCGGGTTTGGGAGTTTTTCTACGAATGCTGATGCGGCCATGCTCCTTGCTAATGGGACGTTGGATTATGAGACTTTGTATATGTTTGGGTACAAGGCTCATTGGGAGTTGAGCAAGATTGGGAAGCAGTTTACGCGGAACTTTTATGGTATGTCTGATAAGACTAAGCTCTACTCTTATTACCAGGGTTGTTCGGAGGGTGGTCGTGAGGGTTGGAGTCAGATTCAACGGTATGGCGATGAGTGGGATGGTGCTGCTATTGGTGCCCCTGCGTTCCGTTGGTCTTTCCAGCAGACTCAGCATCTTTATTCGAATATCGTTACGAAGACTCTGGGGTACTATCCTCCGCCTTGTGAAATGGAGAAGATCATCAATGAGACAATCTCGGCGTGTGATTCACTCGATGGTTTGAAAGATGGCGTGGTTTCTCGCTCTGACCTTTGTCAACTGCACTTTGATATCGACACTGTTGTCGGCAAGCCATACTATTGTGCGGCATCCACTAGCAGCGGATATGGCAAGCGCAAGAGGCAGATGGGTGCTTCATCCACTCCAGAACAGAATGGAACTGTCACCGCAAAAGCCGTCGAGGTTGCCAAGGAGGTCATTCGTGGTCTTCGTGATACCAAGGGCAGACAAGTTTACCTGTCATATCAGACAGCTGCTGACTTTGACGATGTGACCACTCAGTACAACTCCGAAACCGGCAAATGGGAGCTCGAAGTGGATGGCCTGGGTGGCGAGCACATTGCCCTTCTGGTGGAGAAGAACGGCACCAACCTTTCCAATCTCGACGGCGTGACCTACGACACTCTAAAGGAATGGATGCTCTCCGGCATGGTGGAGTTTGCCTCTACCCTGCAGACCAACTGGCCCGATCTGACGCCGTTCCATGAGGCTGGCGGCAAGGTCATCCACTTCCACGGCGAGGCAGATGCCAGCGTTCCTGCTGCATCCTCGGTTCGATACTGGGAGTCTGTTCGGAGCATCATGTACCCCAATCTTTCTTACAAGGAGGGGGCCGCCGCTCTCAAGGATTGGTATCAGCTTTACCTTGTTCCTGGTGCGGCGCATTGCGGTACTAACCCGCTTATGCCCAATGGCCCATTCCCGCAGACGAACCTGCAAGTTCTCATCAATTGGGTCGAGAAGGATGTGAAGCCCGTGACGCTCAATGCGACTGTCCTTCAAGGCGAGAATGTTGGAGAGAACCGCCAGATCTGTGGCTGGCCCCTTCGGCCTAAGTGGAAGGGAAACAAGATGGAGTGCGAGTACGATCAGACCTCCATCGACACATGGCACTATGACTTTAATGGCGTCCCAATGCCGGTCTACTAATGTTTTCTGAGTTCGGCCTTGGGATTGTGGGGGAAAGCGTTAAGCTAGGGGGTTTGGACCTGTCATCTTAATAGTGCGGTTTAACTGATTCATAGTCCACATAGCTTGTATCTACCCAGGTACCAAGGTAGATGTCCCATGGTTAATAACAGAGCTTGCGGATGACCTCATTTCAGATCGCATTCCACACTGAGGAATGTTCGATACCTTCCCCGTTCTAGACGGATGTGCCTCGATCTGGAAACTTGAGACATTGGACAAATAGTGTATATCAGCGCGTGTCTCGAGCAGAGTATCGGACTGGTCATAATTCTAATGGGACTGCATCCGCCATGCTCTTGATCCGGGCTGCACATGATTGCGTGGATAGATCCCGTCACCGCTATGTTGAGCACATTGCTCTAAAGCTGGTAGACCGAAGTGGGAGCCTGAACATGACGTTTTTGCCCCTTCGGCAGTGTACATGCCCGACATTGGAGATGTGGAGGATGAACATCTCGCGTGGGAAGTATAGATCACCACATTCCGGAAGGGGAATGACATCAGGGAAGGTGGAAGGGATGCGTCATGCCGGCCTATTTTTGGTAGCCGAAGAATCTCAGATACTTTGGCGTGACAGTGACAGTGATAGTGGTAAGAGAGTACAGTAACTTGATGCCTAGGGTGGAACCCCGTCGATCCTGGCACATGCTGAAGTTGGAGTCGAGATGCTGCAGAAGAACATTAGCAGTTAGCTTCAAATGCAAGAGATTTAACTCAAGCGCCACAGATACTGTGCACACATGTACATGTATAGTAGAGTGTTGGAAAGGGGAGATCGCCAGGAGTACTCCGTAATTCCCAAGCCGATCCCCTTTCTCCCGTCCCCTTGCCCCCCTCCTTTCCTCTCCTTCTTTTTCTTTCTTCCTTTAATTTCTTTAACGTTAACTAACTTAACACTTTGAAGTCTTCGATCTGAGGATAACTATTGGATCTATTGGCTGTGATCAACTGTCATTCCACTGTGACCCCTGCCCGCCGTTTCAGAATCACCTCCTGCCACCTTCCGCCGCATTCGTGCGACAGCCTAAGACTCACTTGACGCACTCTCTCTCCACACACACCTTGTTTCATTGTGATAACCTCACAATGAATGCCGCTCCAGCGCTTGGGTATCCCGGCGTCTCGCTGGCAGGTACGTAATCCTCCCCCTGGGTCATATAACTCCCTCTATAACCCCCACAACCACCCCCTGGCAACTTTATGGGATACATTCAGAGTGACTGACTCGAACCGTCTTGGCTGTAAACAGAACCCCAATCATCTCCCACTGCGGCCAGTTTTGGCTCCAACAATCCCTTCCGCAACCGTGCTCTCTCACCCTCGGTTCCTGTGGCATCCAACAGTCGCCCAGAGCGACCACGATCAACCAACCCCTTCCTTGACGACACAGATTCGATGTCGCCGCAATCAGCTCCCGGAATGTCTACAGGCGTGACCATGTTTTCCCCAGTCGAGAAGACCGACATCTCGAGCAACACCCGTGAGCTCTTCGTAAGTTGACCTTTCGAGACGTGATGGAGCCAGATCTAACATATCGCAGGAGAATCTTTCACTGAAACCTGCCCCTCAACCGCCTCGTTCTCGCCCACCTCCCAACGCCACCCACCGCACCCCTTCAAATCGCGACCGACCCCAGCGCCCGCCCGGGCGATCGGCAGAGCCAAAGGAGAAAGACCCGCTTGACATCTTCGCAGACCCTCCCCGCTTGAACAAGGCCGCGACCATGGGCTCCCGCGACAGACCCTCGCGCAGGCCGCGCCGGAACTCTGAGTCTTCTGTGATGGACCGGGCTTCTACCATTTTCGACGATGAAGACGAGAAGCGCCGACGTGAGAGACGCCACCGTGAGCGCGAGAGTCGCAACAAGGATGGCAAGTCTCGCTCAACCCGCAAGGACCGCAGACTTGATATCATTGATAAGCTGGATGTGACTAGCATCTATGGAACGGGAAGTGAGTATCCAAGTGTCCGAGCCAGCCTCCACATTCGTATACTAATTGTAATCCTAGTGTTCCATCACGATGGTCCGTTCGATGCCTGCAACCCCCATCGCAACCGCCGAGGCCTGCGCACGGCGCCCATGCAGGCCTTCCCCAAGGGTTCTACTAACATGGCTCTGGGCGGCGCCGGCCCCAACAACTCCAACATTGACCTCGACCTTTTCCACGGCAGAATGGAAGAGGGTCACACTGACTTTGCTACGGCAGCCCGCCGCAATGCCGACTCAGGCAACAATTTTGATCCCACCGCTCGTGTGGAGCCCGTTCATGGATCAGAGAGTATGGGACTGGGTACCAGTACTTTCCTCGATGGCGCCCCGGCCAGTCGGTCTGCCATGGCGCGCCGCCAAAGCGAGAACGAGACTTCGATGGGACAGAACGGTGGTCTTGCACGGAAGAAGAGTTTGGCCCAGCGATTGCGTGGAAGAGGACCCGGCCGTATCACATCTCCCACCGACAACAACTACCCTCCAGCAATCGAATCCAGCCACTCTGCATCTTCCCGAGGGAATGAGCGCAACCCATACTTCCAAGATGACGATGAGGAGTGGGAAAAGAAGGGTGCCAGCGTCGAGTCTCGCCTTGAGGGCGGCCGTCTCCGATCTTCCAGCAGCCCCAAGCGGAATACCGGCTTGGAGCGTAAGGCAACCCATGAGCGAGCATATGAAGAATCCAAGCTCAACCCTGGTGGTGGCGGTTTCCTGAACCGCATGAAGAGTTTGCGCAAGCCAAAGCCCGAGCGACGCACCAGTGACTGAACTCTTAACGAACACTTTTCTACCTGCTTCGAGTAGGTATCATTAGGCACGCCGTGCGTCATCCTGAACCCTAGGTTGACTTGACAATGTGCGGCCTATTTTTGCTTTTTCCCGTCGCCATCTCCTCCGTGAGGAGTGATGATTTCTCATGTAATATCCAGCATCGAGTACTGCAAAAACAGCAGTGCTCCCCATGGCGTTAATTTGAACTGAAAGAGAATACTTGACACTGGTTCTGGTTTCAGGACGCCATGAAACGCCACGCCCAGTCGAGGATCGGGTCATGATTCGGAGTTTTATTCCTATTTTTTACGTCCTTCTTCCCTTCTTGTACTTCATTTGAGCCCTGCTTTGAGGATCTGTATTCTTTACCCATTGCTCTTTTCCTCTCTTTCTTTTCGCATGAGATAATTAAATCAGTTGACTCCAACATCTGTCAATGTCCATCTGTAAACCCCGAGGATTAAGTACCGCTCAACCCTTGTTTAATATCGGGTTCTGTAAAGTGTCCAACGTCCTTTACAGACTGTACTGGCGCCTGGGCACTGGCACGATACTCCGCGCCTAGAGAAACTGCTCGATCCCGTATATACGATATTGATATTCCTCTGTTATAGATATTCATAGATCATGCTGCTTGCCCAGAGGGAGATTCAAGAAAGGCCTTTCCCATACACATCGATTCCCACCATCTACATTCCAAGTCCATTCCTCACAAGATCCCAAACAATCAACAAGTCTCTGCTCTCTCCTCTTATCAGTGCTGGCCGCTATTAACCACCGCCTCAACCCCTCATATCTCATCTCTTAGATGACGAGAATCCACAACGCCTATGTTGTCAAATATCCCATCGGAGGCAAAGGGAAAGTGCCGGATTTTGCTCTTCATCCAAACCCATGAGACTTATGCAGAAAGAAAAGGCACTATCCACTATGTCTTACCAGATCACGACCCCAACTCCCCCTTCGGCATGTACAACACGTTCCAACATGTGGGCTTCCAAAGAGGAAGCTCCACCTCTTTGGGCGAATTGTGGCTATTGACGCTTCATCGTACTACAGCAACGCTGTGGACGATGCCGCGCAGATGTGTCTCACCTAGCTCAAAACAGGCCAAACTTCTCTCCTCATCCCAACTTCAACACTATATCGACCCATCGCTATTTTATCCATCGGTTGGAGAATCATCAATTGCTGAGGCGAGAGCTGGAGCATAATCTGGAGCTGGAGCCAAAGCTGGAGCCGAAGCAATCAAAGAACACATCGTGTTTTGTCATCATGTGAATGGAACAATGTTTTGAACGTCAGAGATGTTTAGCCAGAGTACCTAAGATTGTGATACCAAGAGAGGCGCTTACGCCTTTGAAATCACATCGTAATGAGCTGAAGTGAATGACAGCAAAGAGTAGCCGCTGCACGAAGTATAAACCATATAAATGAGACATGTCTTCGGCCACGGTGTTCTTATTTAGTCCTCTTTCCTTTCAGTTGATACCTTTATCAAGGCATTGTTGTCTTTTCCTTGAAAAAGATAGAAGGGAGTAAAGCAAGAGTGTACATACAGTACAGTATGTGGGTTGATCACGCTCCACCTTTCCCGCAGTCCCTTCGCGACTTGAGCTTCCAACATTCACCTTCACCATGGAGCCTCCCACCCTCACCAACCCGCGCTTTACTCTCGAGTTGGAATTTGTTTCTTCTCTCGCCAATCCCTACTACCTTTCTCACCTTGCTGTTACCTACCCTAATCTCCTGGGCATCTCCCATGCCGACGACGATGACGACTCCGGTACTTCACCAGACGCCCAGGCATTTGCAGCCTACCTAGCCTACCTCTACTCCTACTGGAAGACACCGGAGTACTCCCAGTTTCTCACACACCCTGGTCCCACGCTACGGGCCCTGCGATTGCTGCAGGAGGACAAGTTCCGCCGCGACATCATTCTCCCGCAAGTCATTGAAGGGCTGGCCGGACTGAGCATGCCTATCGAACCTGTGCAGGCCGAGGCTGAGACAGAAGCGGCAGAGGAAAAGCCACACGATGGCCAGGATGGGACCAAGACCTGATGGTTTGCTGGAAGCCCTGAACCTCCGTTCATGGAGGATCTTGCGCATGCAATCGGGGTGTGCTTGTTTGAGCGCAAACCATACAAAATGAACCAACCAAGCCAACCGAACCACAGAGGATCTACACTACACTGTACTTGGACAAGAGCCTTTACCGTCGGCTGAGCTACAGCCCACACGGCTGCGGGGAGTGCACACGAGGTTCATGTGCGACCGAGGCTCCACGACCGTCGATCAACCAACATCCTTTTCGAGCATCACAGCTTCTCACCCCTGGTGGCACTTGATTGCGGGGTGGGAAAAGGACCAAGCGTTGTTGGGACGCAGGATTCCCTACTTACTCGTACATCATACCTCATACCTCATACCTGTACCTAGCTAAAATCGCATTTATACCTGGAACGAATAGAATAATAGCGTCAATTCTGAGAATCAACAGTAACTAGCGAATAACATGTTGTGTCCCAAAATTGAGCAATAGAAGAATATAATATAAGCAGAAGAGACATGACGCAGTACAGTACAGTACAATTGGGCTCGTGTCCAGCCCGAATAATCCGAACATTGTTTTTTTTACCCTTCTCCTGATTGTCTTCAAGTCTTCATCGTCAATCCTCCACGTATGTCATGTATTTCTTCTCTTGATATTCGCCCATTCTTCAGTCACTTCTTGGGGTTACAGCCCCACCCCCTGGTGATCGGCCCTGAACTACCTCATCGGTTCCCGTTCACGTCCACGTTGCGACCTTTGACAACGTTTTACCCTCCCATGGCAATCCGACCCTATACACTCCCTTCAACCTCATCCTACCGATCAATCTCCCTTTCTAAGACCACCGTGAAGCTCGCGCCTTTCTCGAGTCCGCCACCCGGGAGCTGCATGCGTCACCCATACTCTTCCAATGGAGTCCGTACGCCAGTCATGCCGGCCCAAGCACCAGGTCCTGACGTTGAAATGCTATCCGAAATACCAGAAGGGGGTGGCGGAAGTTAGGCCGAATCCAAGTGAACTCTCGTACCTGCTGTACTATACCAGCACGCGCCGCAGTAAGCTGACCAAGGTCGGCGCGTTCCTGGAGAAAAGAGTGGCCCGGGATGTCTGGAGACGCAGATTAGGGTGAGCAGAGGCCGAGTCAAGAAGTATCGCGCCCGAAACTAACTGACTGATTCCATTGCAGAAATGTCCAGGTGGCGCTTCATATCCTGGCCGCACTCATCGAAAAGGTCCCCCGCGATCTTCCTATCTACGCGCGTTCTGTCATGACCGTGATCGAGACTGTCCTGCGTTCGAATGACATAACCATGGTGGAGGAATCAATTGTGCCCTTCGAAATGTTCTGCCGGCATCAGGACATTTCGGCCATTGCGGCGGACCAGGGGCTTGCTTTCCAGTACCGAGAAGTCGTTCGGACATACGCCAGCTTAGCCGATCCAGCTTTTGTTTCCAACTCAAATACAAAATTCAGCCCGCAAGTAGCCATTCGGTGGAGAAACGCGGGGCTGCGAGCGATCAGGGGCGTGGTCAGCTCAGAGAGCCTTGCTGCTGATGGTGGCACTTCGCTGAAGCTGTGTCTACCAATCATTCTGGAGAACCTGTACTCCGGCGATGAGGACCTGATTACGACACTCAAGGCCAAGCTACAAGAAGCTGACACGAATGAACGGGATGGGCCCAAACCCCGCCGCATGAGTGTTAACACCGTGCACACTGTGGACACAGCGGAGGGTGATCCCGAGCTCGCAGCACGGTCTGCGGATGATGCAGATCGAAAGGCAGAGATGTGCGCTCGGCTCATGGCCCTGCGCTGCCTCGAGCAGATTATCGTCTCGGGGAGCAATCGCGGTCAGATTCGCATCGCGGTAACGGTCATTCTACGCTTCGTATCGACCAAGGGCTTCCCGCAGTGTGAAAAGGAGAGTCGATTGAGCTCGGCCAAGAACGGGAACTGGGCCACCTCTTTGATTGAACTCATTGCGAATTGGTGCCCTGTGCAGGTCCGCTTTATCATTTTGATCACGGCCATGGAGATCTTGCACGATACAAGCCCCAAGGAGGATGACCTGGGGTCGGCATTCACCATTCTCTCTGTGGTGGATTGGTTGCTCAGATCCTCGGTGAACATGATTGGTCTCAGCGTCATTGATATCCTTTTTGGTCTCATGCACTATGCTTCCGATATCCTTTCCCCTCCGGATCATGCTGGGTCTGCAGATTCAGAGAGGAAGCCTAATGGTCCGATCGATATGGTTATCTCCTCCCAAAGACAGGATCTTCTCACACTCCTGGAGCAGAGTATTGGAGACCTCGCAACGCATATTTACTACGGCGAGCAAGTCGCTGACATGATGCGGGCGATCCTCAGGCGCTTCAAACCTGCTTCCTTCCATGATAGCTCTGCACAATCTGCCTTGGCTACCGTTCAAGAGTCCGGGGTTGCACACGTTGACTCGAACTCCGCCTCGGAATCTAATGGAGACAGGGCATCAGCAGAAATCTTTTCACATGCCGCCGCGAAACTGACCGCTCTTCGAGCAGTCAAGTCCATATTGGTTGTGGCTAATCTCAGGACGCCATCAACCATGTCCGGGGCGGAATCCAGACACCCAGTCGGCATTCATGTGTGGGAGGGCACCCAAGGTCTCTTGCGTGATGCAGACAAGGGTGTTCGTTATGCCTACACCGACGCTTTCCTCTCATGGTTGACCTTCGAAACCAACAAGAACGACCTCAAGGCACGAGTAGATGTACGGAGATACATCAAGACAGGATCGAAGCGAGAGTCCGAGCAGATCGACAAACAAAATCGCCGAAGCACTTCGGCTCCTGGGAACCAGCGAGAAACAGTGGCGCTAGCAGCACAATCGAACTTCCTCCGTCTGCTGCACTTGGCTATCTACGATGCTGCTCTTGAAGGAGCCGCTGACGAATCCGAGGTACTCCTCCTCCATCTGCTTCTGACAAATCTTGTTCAAAACCTTGGAGTGAACGCTGCTCAATTTGGGTTCCCCATGATCCTCAAATTACAAGAAGACATGTTTACTTCTATTGAGTTGAGTTCCTTTGCGGCTCGCGTCAACATTGGAAGCTTGGTCCACGGCTACCTTCTCGCACTGTCAGAGAAGTTTGAAATGGACACCTCCCCCATTGGAGCTGAAATCACCAAGGAAATCCAGCAACGAATGGACAAGGGATACTGGCTCTCGAAGATCCGGGTGCCCCCAGTCGGTCTCGGTGGTATTGACTTCGATAAAGAAAAGAGAGACGTTAACGACTCCACTTCTCCGCCTCCATTGACACCCTTCCGCAACGTAGAGGGACTCGTCTCTCTGATTGACGTATCTTATCGCCAGTCAATCTCATCTCCCCCACAAAGCCCGCCAACCTCACCCGCAAGAGGATTCACATTCCCAGTTCTTGGACATCCGACCGCTCAATCACAGGTCGATGGTGGCCTTCCGTCTCCCGTGAAGGATCAGTTGGTGTCTCCATGGTCTCGCGAGGCCTGCTTGGCAGATGTTGAAAAGGAAAGCGCCAATGCCCTATCTATCAATGGCTCTCGAGGTGGCACCCTCACTACTCGCAACAATAACAACCAAACCAACGGAGTCCCAAATGGCTCGCCTGCTGGCTCGGGCTTCCGCGACAACCACCGCATGAACGTTCCCGAGATTTCGGCCTCGTCATCTTATAGTTCGAGCAGGGGATCTCCCGTTCGCGTCAATGAGCTACGTCGCGTGCTCTCTGTCACCAACGATTCTCACGCTCGGCGACTCAGCCCGTTGCGTGGACGACTTGACGCATCAGATGCCAGTATCATCTCCTCTGGAAGTGACAGTATGGTCAGCGGTGCCTTCTCTGTTTCTGAGATGGGCGACGGTGTCTCCGCCCAACTGCCAGTTGACCAACAAACACCTGACGGCGATGGCGCAGACACACCCCGCGCTTCGGCAGCAGAAATTGTCCTGTCGGGCGACAAACCCTCCGACCAACCTCTCAACGCACCCTCCCTGAGTCGCGTGGATTCAGACGAGCAAATACCCCCCGTACCACCGATCCCCGTCAACTTGTCAGTCCCAGGAGGTTTTCCCAATGACTCCCAGCGTTCATTGATCTCATACGATCGCCCATCCACTGCGCCAGGTCCCTCGCGACAGTCTTCAGTGAAAGACAAATCCGATGCCGCTTCTGGTATTGACAACCTCAAGTCTTTGGACCGCAATAAGAGCCGTTCTAGTAACAACCTCGCCGGCTCTAAAATCCCAGAATTGATGAATGACTATGAATCCAATGCTCTGAATGGCAGTCACCAAGATCAATTACGGAGACTCCTCGATGGGTTCCTCTCGCCTGACGACGGTACAGTGACGAATGAAACTCGTCCAGCAACCGCCATCCCTGGTTCCAAGGGTCCACTGGGTAGAAGTTCAAGCAAACGACAGGTCAGCAGTGGCCTCGGACGTCCACCTTATTGATTTCTCGTTTGCTCCTCTCTGTACTGTCACTTCGATAAGCATGATTCTCCAGGCATTTCACCTACCATTTTTTTCCCTGGTTCATATGTTTATGTATAATTTTCTTTTGTGATATTGCCCGCATCGCCTCCCCATGATGGATCTTGTATCTGGCATCTGGCGTGGACGTGCTGGGTCTTTCAATCCCACCGGTCTGGCATATTTCATTTCTGTTTTGTCGGTACATGTACTTCCTTTTTGTCAGTTGATATTCTATCCTTGTCTTTTCCCTCTTTACATATGTCTTTCTTGAAAGGTCGGGCTTTCGTCATTATGTTGTCGGTGCAGGTTGCCTTTGACAAGCAATTTGATGTTGTATCTAGCTACCCTGTCAGTACAAAATATAGATGCTAAATTGAAAAGATATCCAACTACGGCATGTGTAGTGTACTTCGAGCAGATATGCATCCATCAGTGGATATATAGCCACAAGTACGCTAATGATAACATCGGAGGTGAGCGAACAGAACGTATACTACTCTGCGTGT